TCCCCACCCCCCTTCTTTCATAAAATAATCTTTCTATAGCTACTGTGTTCCTTTTGAATGAGGTGAGTTCTTCCTAGCTGACCTGAGGGAGAGAGGTCAGGGCCATGTTAGCAGACACACTGAAACCTCCCCACTCCCCAGCCAACAGAGGTAAGGAGTGGCTAAGCTTTTAAAAATTCAATCTACCAACCTACCTTAACTAACACTTCTACAGAAGATGGCATGTCTACCTTTCTCCTTGTACAGCTTAGCTCCCCTCTTACCCAAGGTGTCAAATGGAGTCCGGGAAAGTTCCTGCTGCATGTACACCTCCTCAGCGTCTCAAAGGATTGCTGATCTTGCCCACCAAAATCCTACCCTGAAGAACTATGCTCTTCTGAATTTGAAATCTACGGCCATCCATGTCCTTTCTCAGCATCTTCCTCGACCCATTTGATCCTCATTATACTGTAATCCTGATTCACTTATCGTGGGAACATAAGGAAAACGAGAGACTTTAATCATCTAACTCACAACATGTAGGTTACCCCCAAATACTTTCTTCTCCATCATCTTCCCTATCCTTCTGCTAAATTTCCTCTCCCAACTCCACTACCTTTTTGCAACTATTGCTTCATAACATTTTATCCCAACATGTGTAACAAATGCCCCTAAAAAGAAAAGGTTGTGAAGCAAGGTCAGTTTTACTTTGTTATAAACTGTGGAGAGTACTATGTCAGATGTCTAAGGAGCAGATATGTCACATAAAATATTCACTCCTTAGAGGCATGACCACATCTACATTTTCACCTTTATTACTTTCACAAAAAACATAAATTATACAGAATATTTTATATTTCAAAAACATTTAAAAGGTGCCACGTCTATCTTGTACTAGCTCTTGGAGGGAGGGGACTGTATTCTAGTTTATCATACACAGTACTAGTACCAGAGCATGAAGGTGAACGCACATACGTAGACCCCTACATTACGACTAGTTCACTTTCCAATGAGGCCTCCCGATTAAAACATAAAACGTTTTACGATTTAATACTGACATTACAATTGCCTCCTAGACCATGTGGACGGGGCATTTGTGAGTGGGGCATTTAAATAACAGTTATCAGTTTATCAATCTTTTATCACACTAGTTCATGTTTTTTTTTTAGTAGAGTGTAGAAATGATTTTACTTTAGTCTTTATATATCCTTTCATACAAGTGGTAGCTGTTGAGCTGCATAAAAATATTGTGCAAAACTGTGACCATGGATCCTAAACAGCACATTAAAAAGAAGATTTTAGGGGCTGGGTAGAGTAAAAAAAAGATAGAAATTTTCAATTAAATTGAAATAAGAAATCACAGAAAAGCACGATGATGGTGTAAAAGTGGATTAGCAAAAGAATTTGGGTTTTCTCACTCTACTAGCAAGATCTAGGTGATTCTGAGGTAACATTTTCCAATTTAAGTTACTTATTTTAAATTTCATCTAGTTAATGTCAATAAAAACGAAATTCTGAGTATTTTCGTTGTTTTATTATATTAATGAGTCTTATGTCTTACATAAGTTATGTGCTGAAATTTTCAAATTCTGTCATCTTAGAACAAATGACGCAGTATCAATGTATTACTGGGTTCACATTATGACATTTTCACAATATGATCAAGCCTGTAGAACAGATTAGTGTCATAAAAAAGCAGGGGTCTACTGTCTGTGTGTGTATATATGTCATTCCTTAAAAAGCCCCAAGTTATCACAGGCTAGATACCACTCTAGTTATTGAAGTGTTTCCCCACAATTGTTATTAAAGCAAAATTCTGAGAGAATAAACCAGTTTTTCTCGGTCTTTTCCATTTGTCCTCCCGTCACGCCTGTTCCTGACTGATTAGTGTTGATCAATGTCTGCAGGGAGGTCCTGCCTGGACAAACTCTAGATGAATTCTGGCCTAGCACCCCATCAGTTCCTGGCTCAGAGGCTGACAGTCAGCTCTGGCCAGACTACCTACAGAACAGGTTCACTCCTTGTTCAAATCACAGCATCTCCAGTATGTCTGCGTGAACTAGGTTAGGGCAAAAAACAATTAAGGCAGCAACATTTTTATCCAGCGGTTCCATGGAGGATTTAGTCCTCTCACTCTCTAGAAAAAAGAAAGGAGGAAGTTAAAACCAGAAGAGTTTTATGTTTTAAAATCCCCTCCTGACAGTCTTGCCAGGGACTGATGAAGCACTGCAAAATTTGAAGTATCAAAAATACTCGTGTGCTAAAATGCTTTTTCTTTATTCCTGCCAATCTCACACCTGCTAACAAAGGCTGGTTACCAAGTTAGCAGGTTACCAAGTATCATCACTGTATCTAAAACAGAGTCCAATATATATTTGTTGAATTAATGAGGCAAATGAATGAGAATCCTGACGGGCGGCCACAAAGACTAGGAAGTTAAAAATTAAATGCCAAAATCAAAATCATTATGCAAATAGAGTAACTCTGCATTAAAAAAAATCTCAGAGGAATCGATACAGGCAGACAAATACATACTGTTGCCTGGTCTAATTCAAGTGCAAGGTGTTCTTATCCAGATTCACCAGAGTGTTCTTCAAAAAACGGGATATATACTGCCCACCTGGCCCTGGGCACAGATCTGGTACAGCAGGATTTTTTTAACTTGGGGTCCATGAACTTGAACTTGAAGATGACATTCATATTTTCACTAACCTTTAACTGAAATTTAGCATTTCCTTCCATTACAAATGGAAGCAGCTACTCATAGCAGATTTGGTATCTGTGACTTTGTAATCAGTAGAAACCACTGATTTTTTTTTTTTCATATCACACTGCAATTGTCGACCATCATAAAATGTCGTTTACCCTCATCACTAACTTCAAAATTAAACTCATAACAATACTGGATGGTGTAATTTAACGAGTTAATTTAAAAGTACATATTACTGTATCACCACTTCTTAAAAAGATTTTTGACAATTGTAAATATAATTGGTTTCCTTCATAATCATGTATTTCATGCATTTGAAAGCATAATTATGAAAATATGAATACTGGCTGTGCCAAAGGTGTCCACAACACACCCATGAGTTAAAAGCCCAAACTAGATAGGTGGGGGCATGAAAAAGTTTTAATATACTGCATTGCCTCCAGCATACCAGTGAGTTAAGACACAGTTAACTGCTTATTCAGTTACTACTGGGATTATTAGTTTGCATTTCACTTCTAAGACCACACTGTCTGTGCTGTGTCCTGGCACAAAGAAGGAGCTCCAGACAGTTGCTAAATGAAAAGGAGAAACTGGGGTAGAGCTGCAGCAACTGAGGTTTGATAGCAATCACTCCACGGTGAGCCTGACTGTGGCTCAGTTTCTCTTCTCTTCAAACAGGACTACTACTGCTTACCCAAATTGACCCAGGAAATTTTTCAAGGAAAAAAAAAACAAAACCATCGACTTGCTTAAAAAGACTCAAGCCCTTTGAAAGGTGTATTTTACTTATTTTTCTGAACAATGTATCCTTCAACAATAGTTCTAATAGTCTTAATTTTACTGACATGGTTTCCAAATCAGGATCTTGAATTCTATTTCCAACTCTGCTGTCACTATGGGCCATAAGGAAGAAAGGTACAGTGGCAAGAGAAAGAACAAAGCTGTGTCTTGCTCAGAACTCTGATTTCTGTGGGCAATGGGTGACTTCAAGATCAGTGCATACTCCCTGGGATTTGTTTGTAAATTATGACTGTGTAATGTCTGGACAATGAGATCCAGTTTCATCAGTTTTGCAAAGGGAATTCCAAAGAGAACTAACTCCAGAAAAACAGATGTACTCCTAAAAAACTCTAACAACTTACAATGTTCAAATGTTTTTTACAGGAATTTTTTCTTATAAAGCAGCAGCCCCCTTCCTACAACAAACTGTGAGTCAGAAAAAAAAAACCAAAAACAAAAACCCAGACTGTGCAGTGACCCACAGCTAGTCAAGGAGAGGAGGCAGGTTCCAGTCTTAGACCCTGCTCCATGCCTGAAACTGTCCAGTTTTATTTCTTCTAAGGAGTGGTGCTCCGGGACTAAAAAGCCCAGGCTTTAAACAAAACTAGCCACGGCTTTCAAATTTCTCTCATCACTATCAATCACGTTTCCTTGAATGTGATAAAAGGAAGAGATTAAGGGGCAAAGGAAAGAAAACCCTTCCCGTTGACTTATTCGCCAACTTTCAAAGATAAAGTTATGCTACACTGTCAGCTTAAAAGCATCCCTCTACTGCCAGTGCCTGGATGAAGGCTTCTCAAATTGATGGATGTTCAGAAAGTCTTACTCCTCGAGGCTACACATCTGTATTAGCACGACAAAAGCTGAGAAACGTAATGGCAAGAAGCCCCCGTCTCTATCCAGAAAACAATGGTGGGATCACGGTCACAGGCCATCACGTCCCCCCCCAAAAAAAAGATCTTTTGGAAGAGGACGGCTATGGGGCAGCAAAGGCCGGGATCCCCGAACACCAGCTGGGGTGGGGGGGAGTGGGGGCGGGGAATACGGAACAGGCAAGGGTGAGCAACAAGCAGCCCGAATGGGAAACCCAGGGTGCCGGGAGGGCGCTGACCACCCCTGGGGCGCCTGCGTCTCCCTCACCCTCTCCCCTCCTTCGCCCCCGCCAGAAGCAATGCGGCAGGAGGGGAGGGAACCGAGTGATAAACAGCAGAGCGCGGTGTAAGCTCGGGTTTGAAACCCGTGTCCACCACGGCACGGCTGACTCCGGCGGGGCGCAACACCGTGCCTCAGTTTCCCCGTCCATAAAATGGGGGTAACAACCCTCCTGTCTACACAGACGTGCCCCAGGGTTAAATGAGACAAGGAAGGGGAAACCCTCACCCGGGGTCAGACACGGAGCAGCCACCCCCGGGCGCTAAGGCGAGTCCGCGGAGGGTCCCGGAAAGGGGGGGTCCCGGAAGGGGGGGTCCCGGAAGGGAGGGTCCCGGGGCCCGCTCCCGGCCAGCTGGGTTCCGAGCCCGGCCCGGCCCACCTTGTTGTTGTACTCCTCCACGAAGCTGCCCAGCGCCAGGCGAAAGCGCTTGTCGGGCCGCACGCTCCAGTTCATGGCGTACACGGTCCAGGGCGCCTCGTACTTGTAGATCTCCTTCCGTTTGCCGTGCAGGGACATGGTGGCGGCGGCGGGGCCGCAGTGCGGGCCGGGTCGGCGACGGGCTGCGGCGGGCGGGGCGCGAGTCGGGCGAAGAGCCGGGCCTGGGGCCGAGGGGTCCGCGGGGAGGCGGGGCGGGGGCGGGCAGGCGCGGCCAGGCCCGGAAGCGGGGCCGCGGCCACAGACAACGACAGCCGGGCCGACCCCTACTTTCAAACCTGCTGGGGCTCGGACTAACACCACCTTCCGTTTGAGACACCGCCCCTCCCCCTAGAAACGGAAACCACGCGACCCCCGCGGCGGCGCCGGCCGTTGGCTGCCTGACACGTCCTTTCGAACGGCTCCTTCTCCTCATTGGCTATTGTCCCCGCCGCTTCCGAAACCTCGTTGCTACTGGAGCAAACATTTGTCGTTCCAAGTATTTGCCCCGCCCAACTCGGGGGCGGGGCCGACGCCTGCGCGTCCCAAAGGGCATTGGCTGACAAAGATGTCAGTCAGAGAGATAACGGAGCTGCGCGTGAGGGTGGGTGTGTGGGGGCGTGGGTGGCCTGGGGCTGGCGGCTGGCCTGCGAGTCGTTGGGCTGAGTCTCTGAGGGCGAAGGTGCCTGAGCGGTGACCTGCTCAGACTTCCCGCCCGCTGCTGCTATTCCGAGGCCTTCTCCACGCTGGGGAGCAGAAAGTTAAACTCTGCTTCCCGGGGGCCTTCTGCGTTTCCCGGCTCTGAACCCCACGTTCTGGCGGCCTAACCCGCGCCTAACGGGACGCGCCCTCCCCACGCGTGCCAACAGCCCCCCCTTTTAAGTTGGTGACGTGTTCTCTCGGTGCCCCCAGGGCAGACACACACACACACACCCCACACCCCCTCCCTGCCCCCCCCACTCCCTCCCCCCCCTATCCTCAGCCCCTGGCCAGCTGCATGTGCAGCCTGGTCTTCGCGCGCTTTCCTGTCCACCAGCAGACACCCCACCCCTTCTCCGCTTCGGGTCCCGAGGCAAATGCTAATTAAGCCCCAAACTGATGGTGTAGTGAGTTTGAAATGGACAGGCTGGAACTGAGGTAATATATCTATAATCGAAGGTCTCCAATTCAATATTGGATGAGGACTGTGTTGAACTGCTAGGGGATGTCATTAAATGCAATTTGCAATGATGACTGTGATAACAGACAGTTCAATTTAAAAAGCTGAGTGAGAGTGCTATATACAACAGAGCTTTCTCTCCGGGCTCTTAGCTGAACCAATTTTCTCTCCACTTAAGTTTGGAAATAAGAAAATTAGAGACAAAACTGTTACTCTCTGGTCTTATTCTAATAAATAATATTCATCCACGTGTGTGAACCAATTAAGGAGAAAATATCCTCTTTTAAGAGATGCATTCCAATAAAAGTTTAGTTTTTGCAAAAATTTGTGTATGTTCTGAACAATTTTATACTAAGTGTAACCCTTTAAAGCCTTAGGTTACCAAAAAAGTGATTTAAAATTCAATTTGTATTCACATTTGTGTTGCCAGCAGATGATAAGGTTATCAATAATAAACTTTAAAGTACGAAAGGAAGTTTCATGTAGAATAAAACTGGGTGGGATGGAATGGAATTATGGGAAGAGAAAAAGGTGGTGTTAAAAATGAGCTGGTTCTGCTTTTAAAATGCAGGATGTTGGCTCTCTAATCTCCATGCTGTTTGGCTGGAAATGAATCAATACAAAGAAAAGTCTATAAAGAGCGAATAATTATAACACACTGGAAACTACTTCCTTTCCAACTATTTAAACTTAACAATGGAATACTTTACATGTCAACTAAAAACATGACAGAGGGAAACAGATTTTCAAAATTCTTTAAGGGAGAACAGGAACAGAAAGGACTGAACCCAGTACCAGGTTCCTTGTGGAAAAGTCCTTGTCAGCGGAGTAGTTAGCTGCACAAGTCCTCCAGTCACACTGTGGGTTGAAATTATGTCCTCCTTCTCCTATTGTGTGGGAAAGATTCTTTTTTTTTAAATTAAAGTATAATTTACACATTGAAATGCACTTATTTCCACAACCTGAAACATGCTCAGGTAACCTGTACTTAAATCAGGAAATAGAATGGTACCAGCACCCCAAAAGCCCCCCTCCTGTTTGGGCAAGATTCTTAGTCTCTCTCTGCTTCTGAGCCCACATCTCTAAAACAGAGACACTCATACCGACCCCATAGGGTGGGGGTGAGGATTAGATGAGCACCTGTCTGCAGTGCAGTCGGCAAGGTGCTGGGTGCAGGGTGAGTGCTGTGAAGCATTAGCTGTTGTCATGGTTCCCAATGAGCCCCGAGTCAGTGCCTCTCTTTCCTTCATCCCAGCCTGGCAGAGCCACCTCCAGATGACTTGCTCAGCACACCACTCTTGAGAGAGGGGCTTAAAGAAGATTGCAGCTACTCAAGTCAGGACCTGATAACCCACAGGGAAGTTACACATGGGCCCAACAGGAAATGTGCAAACTTCATTAGCTGTGTGACCTCTGCTGCCTACTGGGGCCCCCGAGGTCAGCATAGAAGTGCTAGGGAGTGGTTGAAAGCTAGCGTTCTGTGGCCTCATGTGTTCGCCACAGAGACCCCTTCATCTCGCTGGGTTACAGCCCAGGAGCTCTGAGCAACCTTGGGTGCTATGCTGTGAGGTTGTGAATAGTTTGAGTGGAGAGGTGTTCACACCCAGCCCAGAGTAAGGCTCTCACACGGAAGATCAGAAACTTCTCCTTTCTTCACTGACCCCTCCGTCACACTCGAGGGTAGCTGACCTCCTGACCCCCACCCCACCAGGCCTGCACTAAACAGAGCCCTGAAGGAGGAACCCCTCCAACTCATACCTCTTGAGCCACCTGGGATAGCAGTTTGTAGTTACTCTAAGAGAAGGGTTTCAGAGGCCTATTGTGGTGGCTGTCTGTCTCCTCCAGACCCTGAATTCTCACCTCAGCCACTTTCCCCTGATGGAATCCTCTCTCTGGGGGCTCAGTGGCTCTAACTCCTTGCAATTCCAGGATCTGAGCCATGTCTCTGGAAATTCAGTTGTTTGGGGGCAGAGCCGAGGTATTCAGGGAGGGAGGGAAAGCGGCGACCACAGAGCAGTCCCTGTCCCCCCAGGGGATATAGAGGTGATGCCAGGGGTGACAGGAGCTCCTCCGGCTGCTCCTGCTCTGAGGATAGCATCAGAGATGTGTCCATGGCCACGACCAGGTGAGGCGTCCTGGAGGACAGGTTCCTACTTTTCAGCAACTCATCATATCTCAGGGTCTGGGGGTGCAAGAAAGAGGGGGCAAGCGGTGTTAGGACCCACACCTGGTCAGCCCCACACCAGGGATGGAAACTGGCATGAGCTGTGTCCGGTGACGCTTGCCCCAGCTGCAGTCTGTGGTGATGATGTCGGGGGGCCGTGGCTTGACTCAGACCACAAAGGAGGCCAGACGAAGCCCCAATATTCTCGGGTTCACAGCAGCTTGGACCTGCTGCCACGCTGAGACCACATCAGAGCTGGGGAAGACACACAGCCACCTCCGGGTTTGCCCTGGGGACCCCTCTCCTGCTCACCTGTGTTGGGGACAGGCCATCCTGGGGCAGGCTAGCTCCTGGACTCTCAGTCTCTGAGGCGGCAGGAAATAAGGACAGGTCATTGGAAGTAGCGGCTCCCAGGATGTAGCCAGCGTGGCCCTGGGGCAGGGGCTGTTGAAGGAGCTGCAGGATGAGGCTAAGGTCTGAGGACATGCGGGACTCCAACCTGCGAGACAGAACCCCACAGTCAGGGGCAGGGGCAGGCTTGGGGAGAGCCCTTCAGGTTCTGATGGTAGCTCCCAACTTTGTGGCCTGCACCCCACCCCACCCCCCAAGATGGAAGGGCAGTCTGGGGCCCACCTGAAGCTTTTGCCCCACCACAATCCACAGTCCTTGACCTAATTGCTCTTAACACATCCCCGACTCCCAGTGGAACAGCGACCGGGTGCTGTGCACCCATCACTCAGCACCCATCAGGCTCCGCTGTGGGGATTTCACCCCAGGACATGCCATGGCTCAGAGTGGTTCTAGCAGTTAAGAAACTCACTTGTCCACACCATGCTGGGAAGCTGCAGAGACAGAGTTTGAATGCAGGACTGTACAGCCCCCTAGCCCTGGCTCTGCCACCACAGTCCTGCCATCCACGCGACACTCCATTCCCCAGGGCCCACGGAATTTGTTTCTGCAAGGATTGCTGGCTTGCTCCAGGGTCTACTGGGACACGGAATTGTGCTTTGTGACAGGGCTGGGAGGATTGCCCTTAAAAGGATCACCCTTCTGTAACTCACGGAGCATCCAGTGATGTCCCTGAGCCACCAGGAGAGGGCACCCGTGCCTAGCCTTGCTGCTGGCATGGTCCTCTGCAGCTGCCTACCCTGGCCCTCAGGGCACTCACCTGTTCACCTGGGCCTGGATCTGCTCTAGCCTGGAGCCTAGCTCCGGAGGCCAGCCATCTGGGTCTCCCTGAGGGTGTGGGGGGCTGGGCCTTGGCCTTGGCACTTGCAGCACCTCAGGCCAGAGGTCAGATGCTTCTGAGATGCTCAGGGAAGGAGCTGCTCCTGCTGGAGGGAAAGTGAAGCCTGCACTTTAGTCTAGCTGGTTCCACAGGCCGAGCTGCTCAAAGGGAAAGAGCCCATGCCCTCCCCCTACCTGGCAGGGAACACTGGTTTGGGAGAGTGGGTCTCCTTACCTGAGTGCCCTGGAGCACGATATCCTGCCCCATAAGAGATCTAGCTTCCAGGACCCAGAAGCTGGACCCCAACTTGGGGCAGGGGGCAGCTAGCTGAGTGGGGATTCTTAGCCCTGGCCTCACTATCCAGGGAGCTGCAGCCCAGTGGATCCCCTGTTCCCTGAGGCCTTGGTGTGGAAGCTGGCCAGGGTGGGGGGCTTGGAGACAGCCCTCACCCTGGCCTGGAGGACACAGGGCACATGGTCTTCTAGACCCAGGCCTGGGAGGGAGGGCGGGGGCTGAGGGGCCCCGCCCAAGGGGAGGCAGGATGAGAAGGACCTGAGAAGGGGCAGGAGGCTGGGCGGGCATGGCCTGTGGCAGGATGGACACTGGTGGGAGCTTTGCTCACCTGACTGGTTGTCACTAAGCAAGAAGCCTTGGCGGTCCTTGTCACCTGGAGCTTTTTCAGAAGATGACTGGAGACCCCCGCCTGCCTTGTGGGGAACAAGAGCATCAGGTAACAGGGACCAAAGTGGGGTGGAGCCTTTCTGTTTCCCCTACCTTCCCACCCACCCATGCCCCTTGTGACAATTAGATGAGAACATGTGACAGGTGGTCAGACTTCCCGGTGATGCTCCGGGCCACTTCCCATGGCTCTCTCCTGTGTGGTGGGCTGAGGATGGGAAGATCCCCCGAGTCTTGGGAGAGACTACCTTAAGCAGCACTGTTTTGGGGGCAGAAAGCAGAAGGGCTGTTCTTCGGCCCTCCCTTTCCTGAATGCCCTGGTATGCCTGCCCTCAGCTTGGGCCCGGGGGGACTTTCCTGGGAAGAATCTGGGTCGGAGCCCCCATCCATTCAGGTGCTTTCAGCAAGGCCCTTGGCAGCCCACCCTCCTGGCACCGTGAGACCACAGGGACCACTTCCCTCCTGCCCTGGTGTCTGGTCACTGAGCACTGGGACCACCTGATGGCTCCCAGCCCACCGAGATGGGGTACTTACAAGACATCTGCTGGACAGATCGGGTATGGGGGGGAGATGGCAGGTGGGAAGAGAGCAGAGGGTGGGGTGGGGGAGGGCTGTCCACAGCAAGCACAACCCTCCGAAGCTTGGTTTGGGGCCTCGGCTAGCAGAGCCCCTCCTCCTGAGTCTGGGAGTAGGCTGGGGGGTTCATTGCTGGGGCCTCAAGCAACTGTGCCTATTGTCCCTTCCAGGTTTCCTGTCCCTCCTTCCCACTAGCTGATTCCAGAGCTCCCGCTCCATGCAGCCTCTTCTGGGTGCTCCCAGGTCTGCACTGGCTGTCCCCGCACACCTTCGTGGCTGCTTGGTTATTAAACTGTGTGACTCTTTATTTTTCCCAAGTTGCTATAATCTCCTCTACTGAGAGATTCTAATCTTTCTCCACTGAGCTAAAAAGGAGAAACAGTTCTTTACACCCCAGGGATCTGGCACCATGACACCCCCTGCAGGCAGACAGTCTCCTTTTCAGCTTGGGAGACATGGAGGGAAAAGCCTAGACTAGGGAGTCAACAGAGTTGAGTTTGCCTTCGGCCTCTGCCATCAACTGCCAGCTTATTGCACGGCTGTATGACTCGGTCAGAATATTAATCCTCTCGGACCCTCAGTTTCCTCACCTGGAAAATGGGGCTAACACCATTTGCAAGGAGACCAACTGAGGTCATGTAACAGGCTCAGCACTTAGCAGAGCTGGCACCCAAAAAATGTAACTGTCACCCTTCGCAGCATCATGGTGGCCATGGAGGTGCAGCAGAAATGATGGGTGAGGGTGCAGGATGGGGTTGAGAGGAAGGGAGGGGGCCAGGAGGGTCCCTTTGGCCAAGCAGGCCAGGCTTTCAGCAGGCTGAGAGCCACCACCCACCCGGCACACCCAGCCTAGACTCACGTCCCGCAGGTTGAAGGTGACTTCCAGCTTGCTCCAGAAGCTGTCTGCGAAGGCAGGGTACATGTCCAGCACCTCCAGCAGGTCTGCCCGCTGGATCTTGTGCAGGTCGCAGTAGGTCAGGGCCCGTACATCTGCACTGGACTTGCCTGGCCGGGCATAGAGACTAACAGGCTCCCCAAAGATGTCATTCTTTCCTGCCATCAGAGGGTCCACTCCAAGCTCTCTTCAGAGGAGCCTTCCTCAGGGCCCTTGATCATGACCTTCCCCCCACATGCTACCCCTCCAGCATGGGGATCCTCCCACCATCTCCAGGCCTCTCTGGCTAACCACCCTCTATCAGCACCCTTCTCCTATTGTCCACATTCCACTTTGCATGGCCTCCCTCCTCCCCAGGGGACAGCAGGAAGTAAGGACACTAATGGCTGCCTGCTTGACCTTCCCTCCTCACCCTGTTGTGATGCTGTCAGAGTGCAGGGAACCCCAGAACAAGAGCACCCAGCTCCCCAAGGGCACAGCCTGAAACTTCTGTTCCCACTTCCCATTGTGGGGCCAGGTAACCAGTGTGGCCCTGGCAGAGGAAGCCTGAGAGAAGTCAACATCTGAGCCTCTGGACCCCAGTGTCCTCATCTCTAACATGAGTGTGACCATATCTGCTTTGCCTACTCCCTGTCCCCTCCCCAGCCCGAGGAAGGGACATTGTGCTTGAGAAAGTGGTCTAATAGCCAGAGGCCCCAGAAGGTCAATGCAAAGCCCGGAGAGGACGGATGGCAGGGTGGACGTGGCTGGACATGTGGCACATGTGGCAAGTGTACTGGGCTGTCCTGCCAGGCGCTGTGCTGGCCACAGGATGTAAACATGAATAATGTTATCCCATCCACAGATGCCCCCACCCCAATCCCTGAGAGACAGGTGCATAAGTAGCCAATGATCTAGAGAGCCTTAGAACAGCAGAGAACCAAGAGCCACAGAGGAGGGAGAGGCCCATTCCATCAGGGGTGGCTGGGGGCAAAAGGAGGGGGTTTTATAAAGGGGATAGAGTGAGGGTTGGGTCATGAGAATCAAGGAGGACAGGGCTCCCAGGGCTGGGGGAGGAGGGCCTTAGGGTCCCTTTGACCCAGTCTTACTTTGACTTTACCTCCCCCAGAAAAGTCCAGCTCTTTCAACCCAGTGACATGGCACATGGGGACTAATGGTTTGCACGCACATTGATGGACAGAAGCAGACGGCCTCCGAAAGGACAGGATTGAAAGGGATTCCAACAGGAGAGGGCTGGGGTCTAGAGAGGAAAGGGATCCACCAGGGTCACACATGCAGCCTAGAAGCTGGAAACCTGGGCAACATTATAAATGATGAGGGTTTATGATCTAAGGTTCATTTCCACTCAGGACAGAAGGACAGGATTCATGTCTCTAACTCATACTGAAATTGGACTGACTTCTTAATTATTAATAGTAGTTATTATCCCTTCCACATGAATGGCGCTTCTAAGGTAGGCTGGGCGTGAGGGAAGTTCTCAGAGAGGAGCCTATGTTTGAGTTTTGAGTTCAGCCTTGAAGGACAGCTGGGCCTGCCAGGACAGGGGCTCCGAGCAGAGCGGCAGCATGTGCAAAGGTCCTGGGGTAGGACAGACTGGTGGGTTCAGAGAAGCATTAGTGTTGTTTGGTTGTTTGGGTTGCTTATAGAAAATAAAGGGGTTGTGCCCAGGAAGGAATGGAAAGTTCTGGTCTTAGGAGAGATCAGACCTGGGACAGAGCTCTGTGTTCTTGTGGCACAGCTGGAGGCAGAGAAGGTTGGATCAAGGAGCTGGCAGAGTGAAATCATCACCAGGGTATATTCAGTCAAGGGCAGGCCAGAGGGGGCCTAACCAGAGGGGCTGGAGGAGAGCCTGACCCTGGAGACCAAGGGAGGGGGAGGCTGAAGTCCAGATCAGGATCTTGGGGTGGGCTGAAGTCAGGGGGAAGGCAAGGACGAAATTGAGGCGAGGACACTCTGGGGCTCAGAGAGGTGCAGTGACCTGTTCAAGGCCACTGGTAAGCTGGTTAGTGGCAGAGACTTGTGTGCCCCAATCCATCTCCTGCCCAAGGCTCTTGCCCAGCTGTCCCTGCAGCTGCACTGAAAGAGACTGAGGCCCCCCTCGGTGGAAGAAGACAGGTGCCCCTCACCCTGGAATCCCTGTTGCCACTTACTACTCACTGCCAGCCTCAACTTCCCTGTCAGGAAAATGGGACCTTTGGTCAAGGTTTGGTTTAAAGATCCAGCAAGCTGGGTACGAAGCTCTTCCAGGTACATAATCAGCACATGGCAGGTCAGTAACGGTGCCTGGATCACATAGGAACACAGCGAACCATGCAGGACACCCAGTGCCACCACACCTACCCACTCAGTCCTGGCCTTCCCACCCGAGTTACCCAGGATGGCCACCACCACGTCGTCGCGCAGGATCTCGATGGAGCCGCGGGAGATGAAGTACAGCGTGGAGAGCACATCTCCGACATGCACCAGCGTGTCCCCAGGCGGTGCGTGTGCCGTCTTAAACTTGACCGCCAGCGCGCGCAGGCAGCCCTTGCTGGCACCCTGGAAGGCTGGGCAGTGCTGCAGCAGTGCGCGGTGCAGGTGCAGGCAGATGTCCGCCTGCAGGCACTCAGGGAAGCCCTTCAGCACCTGTGAGGTGGGTGGCAGTTTCCAGCACGGGCAGGGGTGGGGGGCTGGGGCTGGAGGGGTGGTGGTGGGGGAGGGCCCGGGGGTGTGGAGCACCAGTGGAAACTTGGCCTCCAGGGGCGAGGGGCAATAGCTAGGGCTGCCACTTGAGCCTCTCCAGCCCCACCCCCGGAGGCGCAGCGGGGCTCACCGCATTCATGTCAATGCCGTTGGTGTAGGACCAGGCGTGCTGGAAGTACTCCTCCAGGCGCTGCCGCAGTGGGCTGGGGATCTGGTGGAAGCGGATGAACTCCTTGACACGCAGCATCTGCGTGTGGTAGCGCGCGGTGCCTGAGTACAGGCGCTGGATGATGGCGGACACGTTGCCGAAGATGCTGGCATACATGAGGGCTGGGGCGGGAAGCAGGGTTTGGTAAGTCAGCCCCCCCACATCCCCACCCAGCCACACCACCCCTGGGCCTGCTTCAGGCCCCCTCTTCCTGGGAATCGCCCCCCCATCAGGGAGCCCTCTGTCCAGAGTAAAGTCAAAAGTGCCCAGGACAGTGCCAAGGCACACGGGGGCAAAGATCCCAAGCTCCCTGTCCTCCACCCTCGGCCCTGTGCCTCTTGGCATTTATGTGGGCCCAGAGGCCAAACCCCTGCGGATAAAGAACTAGGGCAACAGATTTTTTTAGTTGGATCTGTTTTCTCTTTCAAGTTGTAAAAATATAAAGGGAAAACTCTTGGTCTCTTGTTCTCACCCACTTTTTTTCTTGTTTTTGTTTTTCTGGGCTTTCACATCTCTAAATTCTCTGAACATGACAACTTCACCTATGTGTAAACTTCCACACTGCTTCCTGTGTTCCTAACCCCGTGTCTAGGGAGCCAGGCAGCACAGAGCGGGGTGTGAGAGCTCCTACTTCCGTGGAGGCGGCCCCCCTGAGCTGGAATCAGGCCTCCGTGTCAGCTCTGACAAGTCAGGACCTTTGGTTTCCTTGACCTGTAAACTGAGTATCATAATTTGTTCCTGGGAGGGTTGTGATGAGAACAGGGGGCCTTTGACCAGTGCTCAGAAAAGTGCCTGGCCCGACTGGCTTCTCGGCCGCACAGCCTATGCACAAGGGGCTCTGAGCTTGGCTTACTGCTCTGCTGTCCCCATCTTGAAGATCTTAATACATTTTCAACAAAGGGCTCCACATTTTCCTTTGATGCTGGGTCCTGCACAGAATGTAGCTGGTCCTTGCGCCTGGCCTACAGCCTGGGCTGCCAGGCGTCCAATAGCATGTGCTTGTATGCATGTGGCTTATTGGTGCACACACAAAAAATTTCATTGTGCTGCACACTTAGGATCAGCCTCTCACACACACTGTTACTGTGTGCTATGGTGCACCTATTACAAAACTAGAACCCCAGCGCCATGGATAAGGCCTGGGGCTTAAGATCGCACTTACAGCCGATGAGCATGACGCAGATAGAGAAGACCTTCTCGGAGTTGGTGTTGGGGGAAACATTGCCGAAGCCCACGCTAGTGAGGCTGCTGAAGGTGAAGTAGAGGGCCGTGACATACTTGTCCTGCACCGAAGGGCCTGAGGCTGGGTCGCTGCCATTGTAGTGCTTGCCGAGCTGCGCTCCCAGGCTGTCTAGCCAGCCGATCTTGGGCTCCAGGTAGGGCCGCTCCACATTGCCGATGGCGTACCAGATGCAGGCTAGCCAGTGCGCGATGAGCGCAAAGGTGCACATGAGCAGAAAGAGCACGGCCGCGCCATACTCAGAGTAGCGATCCAGCTTCCGGGCCACACGCACCAGTCGTAGTAGCCGTGCCGTCTTCAGCAGCCCAATCAGGGTCGTGGTCTGGATTGGGGGCAGAGAGGGAGACGTGGAGGCTGGGGGTCAGCGCTTGAAAGGGTGTGTTCTGGACTGCATCTGTTCACTCTTGCATGCCGTCACACAGTCATTCAACAAACCTATATGGAGATGCTGGGCAGTGGGGAACAGTGCAGGACCTTAAGGCTCTCTCATATTAAAGCTCAAAACCACTTTATGGTTGATAGACAAAGTCCAAGGGGAATATGGAGGGAGGAGAGGCTGAGGCTGCAGCGCAGGGCAGGGGAGACTTCACAGAGGAGGTGACACCGAGTTTTGAGGAATGAGACTGGCAAGTGGGAGAAGAAAAGGGTATTCCAGGCACAGGGAGCAGCACAAGCAAAGGCATGAGGTGTGAAAGGGTGATAGCCTCAGGATGGGTCTTAGGTTTCAATGTTTCTACAGCCTGAACCCCAGAGTTGAAGATGGTAGAACATTGAGAAATGAGCCTGGAAGGGGGGCAGGGGCTGATCCTGTGGTCTCAGCATCCCTACAGAGCTTGGCTTTTATGCTGTCATTGGGGAGGCATTGAAGATTCCGAGGTCAGGGTCAGATGAATGAGCTCAGGCTGCAGTGTGACAGGAAGCGAGGCTGACAGGTGGGGAAGAAGGCAGCTCAGTGTCCAGACAAGAGCAGGGGGCTGGAGGGACTTGGGGATCGATTTGACGGCAGCATATAAGCACGGGAGCAGGAAGCAATGAGAGAAACCCCTGCTGGACAGGCTGGGAGATTTGGGGTAACTGGAGCACAGAAAGCAAAGCTGATGGCGTGGAAGCTGATCTGGAACAGGCAGCAAGAGGACACAGTGAGACTGAAGCGCTGAGAAAGCCCGCATGTCCCCTGTGAGAAGGGGCAGGGGCGGGGGCGAGACGGGGGCAGGCTGCATGGAGGCAGCAGCCTTTCTTCGAGGGGCTGGGGCTACAGGAACACCCAGCCCAGAAGGGGCAGGATTCTGGGGCCAGGGGGCCTGCCAGGAGCCTGCACCTGCTCAGAGAGGTGGGCAGAGAGGCCTCTGCCCCAGGGCACAGCCTCAGCCAGTTCTTCTCCGGGGTTGGGAGATGACAGATGTCTGAGGCCCCGCCTGCTTTGAGCCAGGTGCCAGCGCCAGGTCCTCTCCTCGCCAGGGCTGTGGGGCTGGGGTGGGCTCTGCTCACCTCGTCAGAGCCGGTGCGGAAGATGAGCAGGTCGAAGGGGATGGCGGCCACCATATCGATGAGGAACCAGCCCTTGAAGTAGTGGACGGCGATGCGGCGGGGGTGGCTGACCACCTCGTCATTGGTGTTGACATAGGTGGTGCGGAAGTTGATGACAATGTCCACGATGAACATGATGTCCACGATGAGGTCCACCACGGTGAGTGGGCTGCAGGTGTAGCTGCAGTCCCCGCGGCGAGACTCGTCCTGGTCACTGAGTAGGAAGGCGGCCGAGTAGGGGGTGAAGACGGCCGTGTAGATGACCAGCAGCAGGATGAGCCAGTCCCACACGGCCTTGAAGGGGCTGTAGTGCAGGAGGGTCCCCCGGTGGAGGCGCGGCGCCTGCAGCTTGTACTCCGGCAGCACATCTGCCCCCAGGGACAGCACCTGTGGGGGTCGTGGGAGGGGGTCAGAGGGATGGCCACCCCTGGAGAAAAGGGTCTGGGAGGGGTGAGGCCCTAGGAGAGGGTGGGTGACCTGGACTGTGGGGAGCAGAGGGGCTGAGGCAAAGGTGGGATGGGGCTATGTGAGGGGACAAGGTCATAGAGGATGGTGTGTTGAGTGCAGGGAGGCGGCGGGGTACAGGGGTGTAGCTCTGCTCCATAGTTAGCCCAGGTTTGAAACTCACAAGCTCCCTTGAAACAGGCCAGCCCCGAGAGTGTGGAGACGGGGTTAGTGGGGAGAGGAGGGCGGGGCAGGGGATGGTCAGGTTCAGGGTCGTTTTGGAGGAGAGCCCAGATGGAGAGTCGCTCCTCTCTGATAGACTTGGGAGGCTCCCGGTGGCCAGAGTTCCTGGTGGGGACACTTGTCCTCAGGACTAACTTCCTCATGTCTGTTTCCTCCCATTCCTATGTCCCCCCACCGGCTCCTCCAGGCCTGGGAGGTGGCATTATTTATAGGCTGTCTGATGCCAACCCTCTCTGGCTCCAGGCACTAGGCATCAGGGTCAGGGCCTCAGGATGGGTCTTAGGTTTCAAGAATCAGGCTCAAATGGGGCAGGAGGCTGGGGGTTCAGGCCAGGGGACTGGACGAGTTGGCTCCCTCACTTAGCTCAGACCCCAGAGGAGCCCAGAACCTGAGCAGGGCCCCTGAGGCCTGTCCACCTGCGTGACCCTCTCGGTGACGTTCTGTGTCCTCTCCATCACTTTGTGGGGCGCAATGATCTCAATCTCCGCGCTGGAGCCCGAGCGGTGCTTCTCCAGGTTGAACTCCACGAAGTTGAGCGTGAACTGCGGGATCTGGCTGATGGTCCTGTACTTGACCTTGCCTGTGCCGGGTCCCTGTGCACCCAGCCTGCCATGAGAACCCTCTGAAACCAGCGCCAGGGTCAGAGAAACCAGCGCCAGGGTGGCCCCCACGCACCCCTCCCACCGGCACCCGTGCCCCCGTCTCACCGGAGCCGAGGAAGCTCTGGGACAGCAGGCGCTGGGACAGGCTGCGGCTGCCGCTCTTGGCCAGCAGCTGGGCCAGGTCCTCGAAGTTGAGGATGAACATGATGACAGCCCCGTCCTCATTCTTCACAGGCACCACGTCCACCAGGCAGCGGAAGCTGGAGGCTGTAAACACCACTGGGCGGTTACCGAGAAGGGGTCTCCTGCAGCAACCTGGCCAGGGGAGCTAGGGCGGGGGTTGGGTTAGGGCAAGTTAAGAGTGACAGGAGGAGCTGCCCCTCACTGCCATCTCTTGCCCATTCCACACCTCTGGCCAAGCTCCACCTGCTCCCCAGTCCCAGCGCCCAGCCTTGGGACCCTGCGCCCCTGGCAAGTTACTGTCCAGGAGGCAAGTCACTGTCCAGGCCTCCTGGACAGTGACCAGGGCTAAGCCCACCCCCTCCCAGGGCAGAGGTGGGGCGAGCAGCTAAGCTGCTCATTAGGAGATAATGTAGCGAAGGCCCAAGCCCACGCTCAGCCCGCAGCTCAGGGCTTAACCTCGAGGTTTGCTTCTGCTGTGATGAAACCTGAGCAGATGGGGTGGATTAAGTGGGGAGGTGAGGTCGGCCATTCTTCCCCCATGTAGCTCTGGCCAGTCCTGGGTCCAGCTCCCATATTCCTAGCCCGCAAATATGCTCTGCTCCCCTGGAACCAGAAGGAACTCATTGCTGAGAACACACTGAGGGCTGGGCACTGAGCCAGTTGGCACATTAGGCCTCTTTCTCTATGGTGGAGCCCAGTGGATCCTTGGGGGGCAGGTGTGAGAGTCTGAGGTTCTGAAGATCTGACTTGCTGGGGCTGAGAGGGGTCATGGACAGCTTCGAGAATGGACTTGTCAGGGAGGAGGACACTAGAGCCAAGGCGAGGCCAGCCTGGCAGGGGCGCAGGGTCCCAAGGCTGGGCGTTGGGACTGGGGAGCAGGTGGGGACTTGGCCAGAAATCTGTAAAGGGCGAGAGATGGTAGTGTGGGGATAGGTCCTCCTGTTGTTGCTCTCCTTCCCCCCTTGGGCACCCCAGATCCAGGCACTGACCCTATTGTTCCTTTCTCTCAGCTCCAGGGCCTTGCCCCCTCATCCACCTTAGGTGGAGCAAAATAAGCTGAAACTGCCACATCCCCCAGAGCCCAGCTGTGGGCTGGGTGGGTGGTCACCCCGTGAGCCCCCTTCCCAGGAGTCTCATGTCACTCAACTCAAACTGCTGGCAGGTGTCAGACCCAAAGGACACCCTCAGGGAAACAAGCAAATCAGGAGATTTGTGTCTCACTTGCCAGCAGCTGTCCCTGGTGCTGTTTGTTGATTGAAGGAAAGAATGTAAATGTGAGCGGGTGGGAAACTGGCCGGGCGGGAGCATTCTTACTTGGAGGTCCGCTAAATTCACTTTTCCCCAGACACCCTATGTAGTGCTCCCTTTTCCTGGTGCCTCCTCACACCATCAGTGCCTCCCTTCCTCTGGGAGCTCCTCCCGGAGTCACCTGGATCAGATTCCTGGACTCCCAGGTCCCAGGCAGCCATCTGCCAGCTGGCACACCTAGCCCCGGGGAAGACATCCACACTGGGGAGAGGTCAACCCCCTGTGATCACTCCCGGGCTCGCGGTGCTGTGGGCTCTGCTTCGAGCCTGACACTCTTGTGAGTCCGGGGCATGGTGGGGCTCAGACACAGGGACCTAGCCAGGCGGCCTCCTTGACCGATGACCTGAGACACACCTAATGGCCAGACTAAATCCTTATTCTCTCAGAGATCTGGCCTGGGAGGGGGTCAGGAGAGGGCAGAACTGGGCAGAGGGCAGTGCCTCCATGCTCCTGGGGAGCTGCGAACTGCCAGAGTCATCTTCAAGGGCCTGTACCCCTGAGGCTATCTTTGGAGAGCTGAGTGCAGCAATGGACCAGATAGGAGCCCATCAAAGCAGTGAGGGCTGGAGGGGGCAGTGAGTGGTACACCAAGCCTGGGCAGAGACAGGGGGTCATGAACATTCAGACAAGTACAGAGCATTCTCTCTCTCACCCCTAGACTGTCCTTCCTCCCCCGTGACTCACAGCCCACCAGTAACTGTGTCTGGGTGACCAGAAGAGGGTGAGTGTGTCACCCGAGACCTGGGAGGGTGGTGTGCCTGTACCCTTGCTCCATCCTGGAGGGGAGCCACAGACTCTGCATTGTTATCCCTTCCAGGGGCTTCCCCCAGTGCCCACCTCTCTGGCCAAGGGCAGCAGGATCATCTGCCCTGGGACACTGCCTGTGTCTCTGCTTTTCTCAGCCTCTTGGTTGCTTTTATTCCTTCAGTTTCTCATCACTTGACCCCCACCCCACCCCTCTGGCCCTTCCTCTTTGAGCCCAACTTTGTGCAGCTAAACAATGTGGGGATATATGGGTACAGACCTTCCGCTTTGACTTGGAAAACTGTCAGAGGATTATCCCACAGGGGAAAAGAGGATTATAAGTAAGCCAGCTTGTGGTCTGTTCAGGACCCCTTCCCACCTCGCTGGACTCAAGGGGAGAGGAGATATTGACCCGAGGAGGGAAGAAATCGCCACTAAGATGCCTCTCAGTAAGCACGTAAGATGTATGTGAATATGACAAAACAGTCTCTGGTCGGAGTGGGCCACGAGGTGAACAAGTCAATACATTCTCTGAGCAGTACATCCACCTCCTAGAGTAATCCAGGCCAGGAAGCCCCTCTTCTGCATCTCAGGTCACTTGCAGGCAGGTCCAGGTGAGCAAATGCCTGATAACAGGACATGGAAGGGCTTAGCATGGTGTGGCTGAACTGGCATTTAGAGGTAAGGAATATGTGGGTCACTCAGGGCCAGCCCTCAAGACCAGGGCCCCAGTAGATCTGAAACCTGAGTCCTGATCTCAGAGGGCCAAGATCTGGCCTTGACCTCTTCCCCACACCAGGCACATGCACTGTTGAGGAGACCCTAAGGGTCCTGATCTGACATCGTTAGGATTCTGGGCTCGGCCTTACCCCTCTGGAGCTCAGGCAGAGCTCTGGGGTTAAGGAGAGGGACAGAGAAAGACCTGTTGTCCCTCCCATCCTATCCTGTTCCCCACCGGGACCCTTCTCACTCCCCTGACTGTCACCTCCTCCTACAATGATGTGAAGAGGTGAAATCACAGCTTTTAAAAATATTCTGACTTCATTAACCCTGAGTGCTGTCAAACCAAACCAGAGTCTTCTGAGTCTCCTATTTGCTCCCCCTGCCCATTGAACTCCCCAACTGCTACTTCCTCGGGTGGCAGCAGCAGTGGCCAGGACAGTCAGGACCTACCCAAGAAGCACCCAGAAGGCCCTTAAACACACACATACACACACGCGCACACACATGCTTGTGTTCACATTTACACTCATACCACACACACACCAGGCCCCTGGAACTCAGGGTCTGAGCAGCCCCCTGGTTCCAATCTGAAGGTGCCTGCCCTGTGTCCCTCGTATCTCCCTTCCTTGGAGAAAGCCCTCCTCCTCTGGAGTTTCCTTCTCCAAAGTCTCACCTCTGAGCCCAGAGACAGTTGGGGTCCTTTCTCCCCTCTTGGAATTGCTCAGAACAAATATTTTTTAGGGAAGAATTCAGAGACTTGGGTTCCAGTCCCAGGCTGGATGCCAGAAGCAGGACCTTGGCTGAACCCCTGCTCTTCCTTGAGCCTTGGTGTCCTCATCCATGAAGTGAAGGGATTTATCTAAGCCAGTGGTTCCTGAACTGGCAGAACACCAGAGCCACCAGAGAAATTTTTCCAAATACACCTGCTTGAGTCTCACCTGAGTCAGCCTTTCTCTAGGGAAGGTGTGTTTTGGAAAACATGCCCTAGGTAATTCTATGTAGAACCAGGTTGGGCGGGGGGCATTAGTCCAGGGTCCTAGTTCCCACCCATTTCTCCCCTCCCCTCCAATGGAAACTTGGAGATCCTGTGTATGTGGTGGGGGGAGGGGTCTTACAGACTGCAGAACTCTGTGTTCCACCCTTGTCCTGTGCTATTGTGCTTGTAATCAACTTGGACTGGCAGTAACACCCCAAACTGGATGATCCTCAAACCCTACATCCTTAAAGAGCTGGGACACAATATGAACCAGGACCATCCCTCTTTCCCAGCCAGCAGTACCCATACCCGGCCTGGCCACAGAGGCGTAAGGGGGTGACTCCTCCCTTAGTCCCCAGAACAGACGGAGATGAGGAAAGGTTAATTTCCATCCCAGCTGCCTGACAGCTGGGGCTGACAATGACAGAGTGGACAACCAGAAGGCTGGGGACATGGGGGAGGGATGGTGGAGCTAGAGGCCCTGCCCAACACCATGACCAGTCAGTGGCTCAGCCTGGCCCCTGGTCTCTGAAAAGGACCTCAGAAGGCATTGCATCCAACGCCCAGGACTTCCCCCTATAGGTGAAGAAACAGGCCGGGACAGGGCCAGGACTTGTCTAGCCCTTTGTGTCCTGGCTCAGTGGCCTTCCCAGGGCCACTCTGACTGGACAAGAGAGGGGCCAAGCCTGCTCTGCAAGACCTGTGGTGCAAGGGAGCCTCACCATCCTTGCGGTAGTAGAGGATGTCCACCTTGCACTCCTCAGCCCCCAGCAGGGCCTGCGCCAGGCGGGACACAGCGCTGCGAGGAGTGTCGGGACCCGTGAGGAAGTCGCAGGTGCACGGGCGCTGCATCACCTCCATCCTGGAGTAGCCGAAGAGCTCGCAGAAGCCGTCATTGCAGTAAATGATGGCGCAATTCTCCATCTGAGCATTGGCGATCAGGAACTTCCGACCTGGGGTGGGGGTGGGAGGTGGGAAGGCCGCAGCAGTGGCAATGAGGAGTGGGAAGCAGGGAGGTGAACACCATCGGGACCCTTGGCAGGGGCGAGGGTAGATGTAGTGGGGCAGCAGACAGTGACCAGAATGAAGGAGGGGGGGGGTCAGGTCTGGGGAGATTGGGAAGGCCAGGGAGGGGAGTCAGGGGAGTCCTGGGAGGCAGTGTTCAGGAGGGGGCAGCAGGAGTGTGACCAGAGAATTAGGACGAGGGGAGTCAGGTCTGGGGACTGTGGGAACACCACGGCAGCAATGGGGTCAGTGAAGTGTGAGGGAGGCTCAGCCTTCCTGGTGGTCAGGAAGAGGACTCAGGATGTAGCCAGAAGGGTGTCAATCAGGTCTAGAAAGAACTCCTGGAAAGACCATACTGGCTGGGGACATGAGGTGAAAACAGGGAGCCCAGGGGACCTCCGGGAGCAGTGGGGGGAGGCCCCGGAGGGGTAGACCAGACAGTGATAGAAAGGGAGGTCAGGGCTCAGGGCACAGAAATAACTCTGGGCAGGGGAGCGCAGCTTCTCTCTGCCCCTGCTGTTCCAGAAGAGAGGACGGCATTTGAGGTAAGTGGGGTCCGCTGGAGAAAATATTCCAGGATGTCAAAGGGAAGGATTTTGCATTTCGTGCCGTCCACCCTGCTCCATTCGAAGCTGGTAAAGGGATAGGCCCCTCCAGCCACCGCACCAGGACTCCAGATCCCCCTGCCCCGGGGCACACACTCACTCTGGCCCTCGAACTTGCGGATGATGGTGTCCAGGTAAGTGTTCTGGGGAGCGACGTGGCCCCTGCGGACCGGCATCTTTCAGTCTCGGCCACTGCCCGGCGCCACCAGTGCCCCGGCCGCCCGGGTCTCCGCTTGTCCTCGGGGCTCGGCGGCGTCCGGCCCGGGTGGGCGCCGCCCCGGGTCCGCGCCCCGCCCGCCCGCCCGCGGCGCCCGCCTCCCGCGGCTCCCCCCGCGGCGCCCGCCGGGCGCTGTCCGCGCCGAGGTGCTGAAAGGAGCCGCTCTGCGTCGGCGGGGCGGGGGCGGGCGGGGGCGGCAACTTCTCCGGACCCGCGGGGCGGGGGCGGGGCTTCGGCTCCTGGGGGCGGGGCTTAAGGGAGCAGCGATTCCCGAGGCGCTTGTCCTGCAGGCCAGTGCTCCAGCCCGAGGAGCCGCTACCCAGGAACAGGACGAGGCCAGCCCGCCTCTCAGACAGGGAGGGGGCGGCCTGGAGTGTTAATAGTCTCAGGTGGTCTTTTACTGAAGGTTCTTTCAGGGGCTGAGCGCTGCGCCTGCCCCTGGTCTGCCCAGAGCAGCCCTCCAGGTGAACTCCAGGGCTCATGCTAAGCTGCTGTGGCAAGTCCATCTAGTCCTGGTCCTGGGAGAGCCGGGTAGCAATACACATGGAGGTGTACAAGAAATGTGCAATAAGGTGCTTTCTTCAGAGGCCTGAGCGCTCTTAGCACACAGGCACCGGAGAGAACAGATTTCAAACCACCTATTAGCAAGTGACCACTGATAAGTGTCTGAGTACTGACCGAGAGTGAATACACTAAAAAAAGCAGATGGGGATGGGGTGAGATTTGTTGAAAGCGGTTTCTTGGAGAGAAGGGGAGCACTGCTCGTTGAACTTGCTTTGCTGAGGGTCCACTGACCAATGGAAGCCAGGCCTTGGAGGGCAAGCGTTCAAATAGGCATGCACCTTGGGGTAAGGCTGGGGGTGGAATCAAAGCAAAAGTGGGGGGTGAAAGAGGTGAGCTTGGAGAAAAGGGGGATTGATTTAAAAAAAAACCCTGAGATGCCAATTTGAACTTCTACATTTAATTGATGGACAACCAAGTTCTTATGCAGTGAGGCATAAAGGAAATAGTCCAGTAAAAATTTCTTACAATGATGGGGGGGGGGGTTGACAAGGAGGCTCAGTGAGGTTTTTGCTGGAGTCCAGATGAGAGGCTTGGAGTCCTGGGCTGGTGTGCTTTTGCCATGCTGAGCCACAATGCCTGGTGGGGGCTTCTTTGGCCTCTTGGGGAGCCTCTGGCTGGGGGATGAGAGGGCTTCAAGTGTGGCCTCCAGGGGGGGCAGAGGTGTCCTGGCTGCCCCTGTGTGTGGAGGGGCAGGCTGGCTGTGGAGAAAAGGTGGGACTCAGTGTGCAGGGCGCTGAGCTTTGAGGAGGGGCTTGGGCAGTGGACACTCATTCATTCACTTCTCAAATATTTTCCAAGTCCCCTCTATGTGCCATGGCCTGTGGTGACTACCGGTGTGACCTGGAGGCACAGTCCTCATGGGTGTCCTGCCCTTAGAGAGCTCACAGCAAATAATGACATTATAGCAGAGTAAAGTAAGTGCAGTGACAGGGACATCAAAAATTTTCAAAAGCCTGGGTGGGAGCAGGAAGTACTTGTGCTCAGCCAGAACTCAGGAAGACCTCTTGAAACCTAGGCAGAGGCAGAGTCCATGGAGATTTCAGCCCAGTGCCTCTGTCTCCTGGACCCCGGACTTCTGGACTCAATCCTTAATCCAGAGAGAGTTGGTCCCATCTTCTGGATACCCTCCTGCCAGCTCAGCTGCAGCACTGGTGCCTCCTCCTCTGTAGTTACTGGCTGGGTTTAGGGTTTTCCCCTGAAGGCTCCCCCAATCTCTGACAGGCACTAATTCTCAGACTCCCCAGAAGCCCCTGGAGCTATAGTTCAAACTCAATGAGTGCCCGTGTATTGGGTGTGGCATCCCTGTGGCAGGCAGACCCAGCCTGGAAAGAAACAGCTAGAAGGGGCAAGAGCAGGGGCCTTCCCTCTCTTTTCCCACGCTTACTCTAGAATACTCATCCCCAAATGTCTTCCTATCAGCTCACCCTTCCTAGAGTTCCCCTCCCCCACGAAGCCTGGAAAGGTGTTGTTTGCCCTGTACTCAGTCCCCAGGGCAACAGGCAGGGCAGCAGGTGTGTGTGTGGAACAGGCCATCTCTGGAGCAGAGTGGCTGGAGATGAGCTTTGTTTAAATATTAAAGAAGTCAATCATTAATCAGGCCTGGCTCAGTGCCCAGCTACCCACTGGCTCCATTTGGGAGGGCCTGGTCTAGGGCAGGGAGGGCTGTGGAGTAGTGTGCAGGCTACTTGCATTTCAGTCAGTCAAAAAGCAGCTTTGGTTATGGGGAGGCGGGGGGGGGGTTTGGATTATGCAGCTCAACACAGGGCAGACCAGGGGGCCAACAAAAAGATGTACCAGCCAAAATGTAGAGCACAGTGCTTGTGAACTGGGCACCAGTGGTTTGTAAAGGAATGTCCAATTCTACTGGAATACATTTTGCAAAGGCACTGAAGCAATGTCCTGTGTGTAACTGAGTACACACCCTTCTTGGACACTGCCGTTGTGTCCAACCCCGCAGGCTGTGTGAATGGCATGAACTGGGCATGAACTGGGATGGGGGCTGGTTCTGGGCATGAATTGGGATGGGGGCTGGTTTAGAAGAACACATCCACCAGTCACTAAAACTGTGATTCAGGGGAGGAGGTTGGCCTGGAACCCGGAGCACGCATGGAATCACTCAGAGCCAGTCACCTGTGCACATGGCCGTGCATATATAAGTTCACAAACACACAATCACAATCCCCCATGTCCCCCTCCCCCTCCGTCCCCAACTGTCTCTGGCTTGACCACCCTCCTCCTGACCCCCAGCCTCACCGTCACACTTGAGTCTAGGCCCAGCTCCACCATTGAGCTCTCATCCATGGAGGCTTCCTGTTGTGCTGTGTGAACATCCGAATGACCAGGGCAATTGAGCACAGCACCATGATGAGGCAGACACACAGCAGGATCCACTGTCTTCTGGTGACCTGGCGGGGATCCATGGCTACGCCCAAGAAATAGGCCTTGGGCACTGTTTGGGGTGCACTGGTGTCCTCAGAGTCCGGTGCACTGGTGTTTTGTGTCAGTGACTGTTTTTCCCGGGAGTACAGCCTGCAGGCCAGCACCAGGGCCACCAGGAACAGAACAAAGCTCACGACCAGCAACACCCACTGTCCAGTGTTGGCTTGGTCGTTGTCCAGCTCCAGACCCAGAAATGCCGCCTTGTCTGTGACTTTTTCTGTGGAAAACATGGGCATCTTATAGAGGAGGTGGAATTGGGGAGAGGACCCTGGGGTGCCCTGTAGTAATCAGAGAGGATCTGACTGCTTTTCACATTCAACCAAACTTGCAAGTTACAGGTAAGAGCATTGCCCTGGGAGGAGGGTGAGAAAGAAGGAAGAGCAGGAGGAGATGAGCACAGGTAGGGTTCTATGCCCCAGGGCACCCAGCAGGGGCTTTAAGCAAGGGTCAGAAGGCAAGATGCCAGCCAGGTGCTCAGATGGCAGCATGGCAGCTGTGAGGCCAGACAGTCACAAGGAAGCAACTAAGCCAGCAGCTGGGCACAGGCTGTGGTCTCACCAGTGTACAGATGCATTCAGGGCCACCAGCAGCAATGCTGTGCTCCTTCAAGCTAGGTCATAGGTGATGAGGGGTTAAGGATAGGTACACAGAGGGGCTGGCCCAGGGCAGGCTAGGGAGGGGTTGGGGCAGGATCAGAGCTGGGACCAGGGTCAGATTATCAAACCTTCAAAGGAACAGCTGAAGTCTGGCCAGCCCAGGATCTCCCCTTCCCGCACGTTCTCAGCGACCAACCAATTCATCAGGGGCTTGAAATATCTCATGAGGGCCTTTGCAGACATCTTTGTCTGCCCGGTCATCTGTTGCAGGACCTCTGGCCAGGGCTTGCTCGAGCCCAGCTTTAGGACGTCCCTGGGGGAGGGAGTAGAGCTGTGAGGCCATGGTGGGGGGGGGGCGGAAATCTGCTGGTGCTGCTGGGACCCTTCAGCCTGCCCAACCCCGGCCTCAGGGCTTTGCTGGCCACTCTTCCCACAGAGCTTAGCATGGTGGGTACAATCTAGAGCTGGGTTTGAATCCTGGCTCTCACTTAGTAGCTTGGGAACTTAGGCCAGTTAACTGAACCTTTCTGAGCCTCAGTTTCCATATCCACATAATGAGATAACAATAGTACCCACCTCCCAGGGTGGTTTTGACAATTATAGGCACAATGCTGGGAGTGTGGCAGGCAGGTAATGAATGTTGCTAATTATTACAATGGTTATTATTGCCCTATGATGATGTTGATGATTCTTCTGGACTCCAACAGGCTAACGAGACATTTTTTTTCCCATGAGGTGCCAAGTGCTAGTAGGAAGTGACAGCTCTTCAGCCTTTTCTGGTCCCACCTGGAGTATTTCGGGAGACTGGAGAGGTTATGCATGTGGGGTGTGCTCTGCACACTGCTTGCAGTGCTATGTGAATGCCTGCTCTGTCCCAAGGCACACCCAGTACTTGAGGCAGGGGGGTGAACTTAAGGGGCACAGTGGGGGTATAGTGCAGCCAGCAGCAGCAATCCTCCTGTCAAGCTTTCTTGACCTGTTTCCCCAGCTGAGGCTCCGAAGGCAGTGTGTAGAGTCTAGACTAACAGGATGCAGATTCAAGACCTAGCAGTGAATTTATGGCTGCAGGAAACAACTTAACCTCTCTTAACCTAGTTTCATCATCAGTAAAATGAGCCCCAGTGATACCTGTCTTTCGTTATGGCGAGGACTGAGTCACATAATGGTGGCCAAGGAGGGCATGCAGCTTGCAAACACACACACACACAATACTTAATAAAACCACTGGGAAAGAATGAAGTGGGGACACTAAAGGTCGGTCAATGGGTCCAGGAGTCAGAAACCACTGGGGAAAAAAATATAGTTAAGCTCCTAGCAAAATGGAAGACACAAGTCATCAAGATTAAAAGAAAAAACAAAAACCCACAACTAAGTGTAGGTAAGAGGATTACAGCAGGTCAGGCTCGTCTCGGCTGCCTGGGTGAAGCAGGGGGGCTTTGGGAATTGGGAACAAGTCCAGTTCAACTCTCCATTCTCCGCAAATCAGCCTCCAAGCCTGGCCCAGGGCAATCCCATTGAAGACCACGAGTCAAAGCAGCAAAAGCATGCTCGGCGACAATTAGACGAAAGAACGGCCGATTATCTAGCCCTTTTTCTCCCCTGTAAGCACTAACTCCCCTTCCCTCCACAGCCCATGCTCTGCTCTGCTGCCATCTGACTTCCCCAAAGCTCACGACTCATGACAGCCCCCTTTTTCAGAGACCTCTCCTCTGCCTAGCGCCCCGAAAATGGTATTCAAAGTCCTAAACCTGGAACCCAGGGTCTTCCCTGCCCAGAGGTGTGGACAGTGATGCCTGAGGACCCATGGGTGCAGGTCAGTGATGACTGGCCAATCCTCTACATGCTTTTTTGCCAAGTCAAACTCTGGGAACCTTGAGTGTCCTGGATGGGGTGGGGGTGGGAAGTGGTAAGATGCCTGAGGTCAGTGTCCCGCCAGTCAAGTAGGATGAAGGCTGAGTTCAAAGTGGCTTGAGGTAAAGAAAACTGATGTCTGCCTGGGTCTTGCACTCCTGCCTTGGGCACAGAGATCCCTCTTCAGTCCCCTGACTTGACCTTCTCATCCACTTTACAAGTTCACTAAAGCTCTTTCCGACCACACCGCTCCTTTCTTGTATTATAGGTATTGATTTATCCTGTAGCCCACTGCCCACTGCAGGGCAGGCTGGCTGGCATGTGCACAAGCAAATGTTTACTGAATGAATAAATGATGGGCATGGGAGACATGAATGCGGAGAGCACTTGTGTCCCATATATTCACAAAAGCTCAAACCTGGACAATTGACGAGAATAAACACCTGTGATGTGAAAAGACAGAAAAAGCAAATAGACTAAGGAGATAATAGGCATGCAAGGTGCAGCCTCCCTGGGAGCCAGGCCAAGGGATCAGTCCTGCAACCCCATCTGGCCTAGTGGCTACTGACAAATTACATGGTGGAATCACAAATATGCTCATTAAATTTGCAAAAGACACTATGTGGCTTTGTTAATCCTCTGGGAGACAGGAATAAAACTCCAGATGACCTTGGCCAATTAGAGAAATGGACCTATTGAAACCCTGTGGAAATTCCATGGGGTAAAAAGACCAGGCCCGTGGGTGGGCTCCACATTGGATCGCTGACCTTGGCACCTGTAGACCCAGGTCTGGCCTTCCCAGACCTGTATCCTTTGACCGATGGAAGCAACCATGAAAGATAATGTTCTGGAGTCATTTGGGGTTCAAAGCATGACTTTGTCACTTGCTAGAGGACTTGCTAGATGAGTGACTTCAATCACATCACCTGTCTTCAGCGGCATCATTTGTGAAACGAGGTTAATAATATCCACTTTGCAAAGTGAAAGCTCTGGAATTTCACTCCCTAAAGAAGTCAGTAACTGCTTCCCACCTTCAGGCCAGTTTCCATCCTGTTCCAGGTTTGCTGCCGCACCAAAACCAACCTCGCAGAGGCAGGAATGGGGAGGATGGTCTAGACACCAAATGTAGGAAAAAAAGACTTGGGGGAGGGGCCAAATGGGACAGAGAGGAGCTCTGTTGAGATTTTGGGGTGAAAGCCACCTGAGTCAGTCAGGAAATGGGTCCGGGCACCTCCAAGAAGAGATGGGAACAGAAGAGGTCTCCAAGGGTGCATGAAGTGTGGTTGAGAGGATAAGCAAGCACCCGCAAGGGAAGAACATGGGGGTTCTGGTGAAGGTGGAGGCGGAACTCCAGCTCTGCCATCCCGCCTAGGACAGCTTGCAGACTGGCGCCGAGAGCAAGCGTGCAGGAGGGGCTGCACATGTCAGCATGCAGGAGACCGGAGCCTGACCCAAGGAAGAACTCCCACTAGCTACAAACTCAGTGAATCTCCACTGCTGTCTCTGGGGTGGCCGGGTGAGGAGCGGGGCCCTGCAGCTTCCAGCAAAGGAGGGCAGGCAAGGGTGAGGGTGAACACACGAGGGCACAGGGCACTCACTCCATGAGCTTCCCGGCGATCTTCGAGTTGTAGATGTCACACCGGTGCAGGGGGCCCATGTGGCCCGAGGCCATGCACAGCGCTTCGTGGATCTGGAACTGGAGCACCAGGCCTAGGAAGTATCTGGGGAGAGGAAGGTGAGGGCAGGCTAGGGCAGGAGACACGAGCCACAGGGTGCCTCTGACGTGCTACGGTCACAAGGGCCCACGCAGCAGTTGCGACCCAGAAGGGGCTCCTGCGGCCAGGTTTCACCTGGGGCTGGTCCTGGAATACCACCATATTAGCCTCCGGCACTACCTGTCGCCCTAACCTTTGTCTCCCTTTCCCGTCTTCCTCTTGGGGACGCAGAGGTGCTTTGGAGTATCCCCATCAGCTTTGCCCTTTATGTGGGATCACATATAAAAGCCTGAGGATTGCAGGGCAGGGCCCTCAGAAGGCTGGACAACCCAAGGGAAGGTGGGGGACAGGGGCGCAGGGGACCTCAACTCCCAAAGCTAGCCTAGACCTTTACCGTAGGTAGGGGACGCTGGCAGAGATGTGGAACTTGGCACCTGGATCGAAGTCATCCTCTGACCGAGGAACAGGGGGGCAAAGGCCCTGGTACTTCAACCTGTCAGGGAGAATGGGGGTTTCGAGTGTGCCTCCTGGAAGGGGTCTCAGGCCTGCTCCTTTCGAAGCGCTTGCTCTGCTTATCACGACTGGTCCTGGCCTAAGAGGACACTTAATGCATTTTTGTTGTTTAATGAGTGAAGGAAAACGCGTGCACCTGGGGAGCAGCGCAAAGGAGTAGTGCAGTCGCCCTGCAGCACGTCTGCTAGGCCAGAAAGCGGCTGAGCCCTTCACTCCTCGTCCTGGTCTCTGGGATGCAGGCAGGACAGGGCTAGACAAAGTCCCTGCTCGACTCTAGCCCTGGGGGACAGTTGTAGACCCATTGCCAAGGTCTCTCCTGGAGTTAGAAGTTCCAAGAAGAAAACAGTTCAGGCCTGGATTTGCCTCTCTGACCTGTGGCTGTAGGGAAGTGACTGTCACTGAGCCTTGGAAAACGCCTGCGGCATGATGATAGCATGACCCCTGATTGGGGTGAGACAAGTCTATGAAAAGGCTCATTGTTTTGTCCTCACAGGGAGCTGCTCCCCGTCTCCATCGGTCGGTGGAGGTGGGTGAATGACGGAGAAAGGGAGATGCTGTCAGGTGGCTCTGGGACACGCACTGGGTCGGTGCGGGCCAAGCCAGCAGTGAGTCCCGGTCCAGAGGGGGTTAATAACAAAGGGAGGAAGGCTTCGCTCTCCCAGCCCTGATTTGCCATGTGACCCCGGGCTGGGGACACTCTTCCTTATGCCAATGCCCACAGGTGGGATAAATATAAGCTGCTGCCAGGCCTTCATGGTCGGGGTATTTATTGTCTAATCCAAAGGCCGGGGGGGTTATTATCTAATCAGCTGGCCAGGGGTCTGTGATGGGGTGTGGCGGGGGCGCCCCTTACTCAAGAGTCAGTGGCTCATTCAGCAGCCCCTCTGACATCAGGCGTGCCTGGGGAGGCTAAGCCAGAAGCAGGGGTGTGGGCGGGGCAGCAGGAAGAGGGATTTAGCCTACCCCTCTCTGTGGGGACTTTTTCCTGAGGAGGAAAAGCGCTCAAGTCCCCCATCCCACCCCAATCCCTTCTGCTGGCCCCACTGGTAGAAATAAAAAGGAAGGGAAGGAGCAGGAAGCCTGCCTGGCTGGCCCTGGCTCTGTTCTAGGAGGGAGGAGGGGCCTAGGGAGGTGAGGGGAGGTGGGGGGCATGGGGGCTGAGGGTGGGGGGGGCGTGCACTGCCAGGATTTCTAGACAGGTTAAGAGGCCTGCTCAGAGCTGGATCAGATTCCACACGAGGCCTCATGCTGGCCCTTCCACTGCAGCAGGGGATGCTTTTGATCGGGGCCAGCAAAGGGCCGAGACTGCCCAAGGGCTTCCCCGGCCCCAGGTCACCAGCATGGTTTAGCCAGGTCGGCCCAGATCTGCCCTCCAGATAAGGCAGCACCTGCCCTGGCTGTGGGCGCCCTGGAGGCTGACCCCAAAGCCCTGCACATGGGGTGGGAGGGGCAGCCGACCTCCCCACCTGAGGTTCCACCACTCCTGGTTGTAGATGCCCTTGTGGATGGAGCCGTCGAAGACCTTCCAGCGAAACAGGTCCATCAGGTAGGCGAACGGGATGAAGGGGATCTTCTCCAGGGCGATGCCCATTAGGAAATTGACCTCCTCCTCTGGGGAAGTGGAGCAGTCAGCAGGTGGCTCCTTCCCTCCCATGGCTTTGCCCTGAAAGCCCCCGCCCCGGCCGCAGCCCCAGGCTCAGGCCGCCCACACAGGTCCCCTGGATGCCATCACCTGGATCCTGGTGCTGCTGGCTGAGCAGGCCTTTGTTAAGCATGTGTTTGTGGGTGGAGACCGACAGGGTGATGACCGACCCCATGGCCTCTTCAAAGGCTGGGTTGGCGCCTGCGCGGAAGATCACAGAGAGGTTCCTGTACTGCATGAAATACTGGATATGGCCCATCTGGTGGAAGACGGAGAGCAGGTCTTCTATGGTCACCTCGGTGCACTTCTTTATCCTAGGGTTAAAGGGCAGGGGTCAAGGAGCATGGGGATGCCCCAGGGAGACTCTGTTAAGGGAGGACATGAGGGGTGGACTGGAGCCCGGAAGGGTCCTGGCTGCTGTCCTTTCTCACTCCAGGACCGCAGGCAGGCGGATGGGTGGAGGCTGGGGAGGGGTGCAGAGGAAGAGCTGGAAGGAGCAGAGGCTGCTGTTGGCCGCACCTGAAGTCCTTGCCGTTGAAGAAGTCCCAGGCGGAGGCGTGGCACTCCACTTCCCGCCCGTCCGTCGGCCTTTCCAGCATGGAACGTTTCCAGAATTCAGGAGGGGTGGGGAGCAGCCCCATGGAGATAAAGAACTTATCAGCCTCTTCGAACATCTTCGCTGGCCTCCAGTGCTGTGGGGAAGAGGGAGTGCATGGGCCCTGCCCCGCTGGCCGCGGGGTGCTGGGGGGGGGGGGGTAGCTGCGCCGAGACCGCACTGACCTGGACTTTCATGATCTTTGTGATGTCCTCGAGGGGCTTATTCGGGAAGGGCAGGACCAAGTCTAAGATGTTGACCCAAGACTGAGCCCACATGTTCCCTGCAAGGGGACGGAGGGCTAAGAGGAGGCCTCGTGCAGCTCTCCTGTCACTGGCACCCCTCCCAGAAGCCTACTGCACCCCTGCCCACCCCACCCCTGCAGCCAGAGGCCTTTACCCAGGAGGTGCGCTGGGATGGGCCCCCTCAGGTCGATCATGTGGGGCCCGTAGTGGCGGTGCAGGGCCCGGCGCACGTAGGCGTGCAGGTTCAGGTAGAGCGGCCGCAGCTCCTGGTAGAGCTGCTCCAGTTCCCACTCCAGCGTGTCAGACTCGTACTTGGCCCGCCACATGGCCCCCATGTCTTTGTAGCCTAGGGCAGGAATGGGGGCTCAGGAACGCTCACCACCCCCAGTCTGGAGGCAGGAGACCCCAGCACCTTCTAGAAAAGCCACTTGACCTCCCACCTCCCGCTGAATGGGAAAATACCTCCCAAGATCACTGTCCATACTGGATGAGATGAGCTCTGGACAAACTCTTGGTGAAGAGCGTACCCCAATATCCTCACCCAGCCTGGCTGGATGGGTAAGACCCTGGGCCCCTCTTATGCATATTGAGCTCCATCCGCCCAGGCCCTCCATCCTCTCTGGCTTCTTTAAAATTCTCCGAAGCACTGGTTCCCTCTTGGCAGAGCCCCACCAGCTCCTGTTCTCTGGGCTCTGGATATACATCAGAGGCCTGGCCTGGACATGAGCCTGAGGCGGTCTCTCCCGTTCTCTCCCTCAGCGGCCCCTTTCTTCTCAGAGCTCACCCCGGTATGGTCAGATTGTGCTGCACAATATTGTCTATCTCCCCAGTAGACCCTAGAGGACCAGGCGCTTTCTCAGGCGCCTTTTCACCCACACATGCTCAGAGCCTCCTTAGCACCCTGCAGGTGGTAGATGCTCAGGTGGTGTCTGTAGAGCAACACAGTGAGTGAAACACCTGAGGGCCCAGCTGTGTCCAGGGTTCCTATCTCCAGGTCTTCTACTCCCCACTACAGACTCTACACCGAGGCACTACTCTGAGGCCCTAGAGGGGTGCAGGCTCAGAGAGCCTCACCGTTGAGGTTGGCAATCTTGTTGCTGAGTTGCACATAGTGCTCGAAGATGAAGCGGAGTGGGCGGCCCACAGCATCCCGCCAGCCCTGCCAGGCCCACACCAGCTCCCTCTCATCCTGGGAGGTGGCCATGATTTCTTGGAGGTCTGTAACAAGAAAAAAGAGGCAAGGTGGGACCCCCCCCACCCCCCACTCCTGCCTGCTTTCCACCCTCACCTGCCCTGGGCAGCTCTCAGTGCCCCGAGAAGGGAGAAGGGTTTGGGAGGAAGAAAGTAGGAGTTGAGAGCCCCATGGAAGGATGGGTTGGGTTAGGCAGGGCCTGGGCTGGGCACTCACCAGGCTCCAGGGACAGGCAGGGCCCCTCATTCAGGCACACCTGGGCCATGCTGTACGTCGTCTCCATGTAGGCCAGAAGCTGGTTGTACTGGAGGGAAGGTGTCACCCAGGGCAGGCCCAGACCCAATGGCCCACCCCTAGCCCCACTGGCTTGGAGAGGCCGGCATCTTGCCATCAGCCTCTGTTTCCCTCCTCCCCCCAAGGAAGCCCTAGCCCCACCCCAGCCACCCCCCCTCCCGCCTTCCCCAGACACTGGCTCCCCACCCAGCTGGTTCACCCACCCCTGGGGTGGGGAGCATGTGCCTAGAGACCTGGGGGCTCCATGCATCACCTCCCGGAGGTCGTCCTGGGGCAGGGCCGCCTTGTCTATGTGCTGCAGCTTACTGAGCATGCGCTTCACAGTCGGGCTCTGGATGTTGGCCATCCGAAAGAGGCGGGCCCGGGAGCCAAAGTACAGCATGTGCTGGGACCGCTTCACGTCCTTGAGCAGCTGAAAGGAGGGTCACTGTCTTTGTCATGGGGAGTTGGTGGAGACAGTAAGGATCCCACATTGAACCTCAGAGCCACAGCCCCCCAACCTCCTCCCAGAGCCCACTTTAAGGGTTCAAAATCATTAAAGATTTGCTGAAAGGGAGAAGGGAAGGAGCTTGAGTCCCTAAAAGGCCTGCTTGGACGTTGGGGTATCCCTCTGTCCTCTACCTCTGGACAGGGGTAGAAGGTATGGTTCTCCCAGCCCCCAGAGACCCCAGAGGAAAGCAAGGGAGAAGGGGCTGGGCGGAGGTGGTACCACACCATCTCCTCCCGATTTTTCTTAGTGATGTTGGTGACATAGTTCCAGGTGGCCTCCATCAGCTCGTTCCACACCATCTGGGCAGTAACCTCATAAAACTCCAGGAACGACGTTGCCATGGTCTCATTGTATATTGTGTCTGGGTTGGGGCCAGTCACTGCATTGTTTGGGACGTGGTTAGTTACTTGCTGGTCCTCTTGTCTGACCTCATTCTTCACGGTCCCAAACAAATCATCACCCTCGGTCCTGAGCCATGGCAAGAGCTGCCCATAACAGAAGAGCACAAGTAGGGAAGGTCCATGGCAAGTCCATCTTGTGCCCATGACCAAGAGAACAGCAGAGCTGCGTGAGGCTATAGGCCAATCACAACCCAGCTCCATACTGTGACATCAGGGGCTAAAGGGTCAGTCATGGAATGTCAGAACTGGAAGGCCCCCACCCACCTTCTGGTCTAACTGTCCCCATTATACAGGTGAGGAGATTGAGGGCCAGAATGGGCAGGCCATCCTTTGTTGTAAATATAATGACCATATATGTGTGGGCTTGTTTCTCAGTTTTCTATTCTCTTCCGTTAAGCTCTGTTTTCACACCAATAACATATTCTATACTGTAGCTTGGTTTGAAGGCAGAAAGTGTGATGGTTTCCAACTTTATCTACTTGGGGTAGATTGCTCAAGATTGCTTTATCTACTTGGGGTAAAAACATTGTCTTTTAAATCTGCAAAATGCAGAGCTGAGGAGGAAAGCAAGAAAGCAGACTCTTTAGATACTAGAGACAAAGTGAAATGATGCAGCAATAAGTGGGTCCCCTCTGGGAAATCAGGGTGCATCCATGCCCTCAGGGCTGCAGCACTGGTGCCAACTTGGAGATGACAGCACGAAACAATGGTGGAACGAGTCATTGTTATAAATTTCAGAACACATTGTTGTGTTTCTCCAATTGCTGATCTGTCAACTCCCCTAAAACAACCTAAATCAAACTTCGTAGCACTAACCTTCCTCCTTTTGAGTTGTTTCTGTTAATAGATGAATTGAAAATATATGAAACAGCAGGAAACCGTGACCACTATGGCTACAACTTCCACCTGTTCAGCATCCACACAATGGTGGGGAAAAGCAGCACTCCTGGCCACAGGAACAACCCAGTTGGGCAAATCCCCTGGAAGCTCATCTCCCATCCTGCATTCTGCTACAAAACTCCAAGCCCCTGGGCCAGAAAATTGAGGTGAATTCTTGAGGATAAGTCCCCCATCTCTTTAGCTCAGCGGTTTTCTGAATAAACCTCACATTTCTAACCCCAGATGGTGTCTCTTGTGACTGGCTTATGAGAGGCTAGTAGCTGAGCTTTCCTGGCTTCAGAGATACCCAATCATGGCGGAAGTGATGCCTGCATCAACCTGGGAGCCATATATGGTATTCTTTCTAAAGGAGCTCCTGCAGGAAATAGCCAAGAAACTGACTGTGGGGACGTCTTCACAAGCTGGTGTGTGCTTGGGACCCTGAAAAAGGCTGTTCCCACTGAAGATAGTCTGCAAGTCGAGATTACCAAGAACAAGAGAAAGTCCATATTGTGGGGTGCAATAAAGATCATCAGCCCCCACTGAGCACATTTCAGGTGCCAGGGACACTTTGAGGGCTTTTAGTACACAAGCCATCACAACAAATCGTGAGAAAGCTATTGTGATCAACACCCACGTTTTACAGATGAGGAAACAGAAGCACAGAGAGGTTGAGGAGCTAAGTCAGAGTCACGCAGCCAGCAAATAATGGAGGTGGGATTCAGATCCACATGGTCTGCCCTGGTGCTTGTACTGCACCACAGACAGAGTGAAAGGAATAGACCATGCTTGAGGAAGGACAGGCCTTAGAGCAATCTGAAAGGGACTTAAAATACAGGACTTTACACCATAGACAAAAATTAACTCAAAAGTTAAACATAAGGGTTAGGTTAGAAAACTCTTAGAAGAAAACAGAGAAGTCTTTACAATGTTGGATTTGGCAATGATTTGTTGGGTATGCTGCTAAAAGCACAGGTAACAAAAATATAAACAGACAAACTGGGCTTTGGTAGTAAGAACTTTTGTGAATCAGAGGTTGCTATCACAGAGTAAAAGGACGACTTACAGAATGAGAATGAATATTCGCAAATCATGTATCTACTGCGCCATATATGGGTACAAATCATGTATCTAAGGGATTGCTATCCAGAATATATTAAAAAAAACTCTCCAAAATCAACAACAACGAAACAATCCAATTAAAAGATGGGGGAAAGAATAGACGTCTGTCTAAGGAAGATACAAAGAAAGTTGCTAAGCACATAAAAAGATGCACAATGCCACTAATCATTAGGGAAATGCAAATCAAAACCTTGAGATACCAGCAGGATGGTTAGTATAAAAAAAATAAAACCAGGAAACCTCAAGTGTTGACCAAAAGGTGGAGAAATTAGAACTGTTGCATATTGCTGGTGAGGATTTTGAGGAATTTTTTAATCCCTCAAAAGATTAAACATAGAATTGCCGTAGGAGCCAGCAATTCTGATGTTGGTTATCCATAGACCCAAAGGAATTGAAAGCAGGGACTCGAACAGGTACTTGGGTGCCATTATTCACAGAAGACAAAAGATGGAAATAACCCAAATGACCACTGCTAGATGAATGGATAAGTAAAATGTGCTGAATGCATCATTACTGACTCTTAAAAAGGAATGAAATTCAGCTATAGGAATGCTACCTGGATGAATTTTGACAACATTAGGCTGAGAAAAAAAAGCTAGACACAAAAGGACAAGGTTTGTTATCATTCCACTTAGGTGAGGTAGGTATGAGTAGTCGAACTGACAGAAACAGAAGGTAGAACATAGGTTGGGGGTGAGGTAGAGGTTATTATTTAATAGGTACAGAATTTCTGTTTGGGAAGATGAGGTTCTGGAAAGGGATGGTGGTGATGGTTCTCTAAACAATATGAATGTACTTAATGATACCAACTGTGCATTTAAAAATGGTTCAAAGTCCTCCCTGGTGGCCTAGGGCTTGAGTCTTAGGACTATCACCACTGTGGCCTGAGTTTGATCCCCAGCCAGGGAGCTGACCCATATATGGCGCAGCAGACCTCTCCTGTCTCACCCTCTGCTCCCCTCAGCAGTGTATTTCAGTAGATCTGCTTTTTCTGCTCCTCAATCTATTTCTGGTGAATCTTCTCACCCCCTGCACTTCTGGCCTACTCCTCGGTTCTTCTACTAAATAAATAAATAAAAATTAAAAAAATAAAAATGCTTCAAATGGTAAATTTTATATTAAATAGATTTTACCACATTTAAACACACACACACAAAACACAGGTTGTAAAGTGATAGAAAGAAACAGAATCCAAGAAACAAGAACAGGTTTTTGTGAAAACATAGGCAGTTTGAGAGAAGGGGTGATGCGGAAGTGAAAAACATAGGTACTTCATCAAAAGAACAAAAACCCCAGTGGACAGATCCAGCAGCTGGCTGGACCACATAACCAATTCTGCAGAAGTTGCAGCTGGGGCAGTGGCCTGGAACTCAGGACAGAGAGAGAGAGAGAGAGAGAGAGAGAGAGATGAGAAATATGAGCAATAATTAGGAGAAATAGGGGACAAGACTAGAAAGTGCCAGGCAGGGTGTGGTGGGTGTCCCCAAGAGGAGCCGAGGTGAGAAGGTATCATTCCTGGAGCCGATGACTGTTTCCAGAACCGAAGCAAGCTAGTTCCCGGGTGAGGGGGCCCACTGAGCCCAGGAAGGAGACAGTGGACTGCACGGGAGGAATCAGGAGGCTGTTCTTGGAAGGCACGTGGGGACACAGTGTTGCATGCAGCTGTCAGGGAACTGCTCCAACCTCTTTCTTCATCCATGGACAGCCTGATCCTGGCTTGACCTCCTTGCTCTCATTGTGTCCTGGGGATACTTGAAATGTGAGGCTGACATAAAACAATCTACCAGGAGATGGTGCATCCAATATAAAAGAAAGTACAGGCTGCACCTTTACACGGTGGCACTTCTGACTCACCACGGTGGAGGCACACAAGAACCATTTCAGGGGTGTGAGTATGAAGGTTTTGAAAATTGAAATAAATTGCTTGAGGTCACATTAGTAGTATAGGCAGAGGTAGAACTTGACCCAGACCTCTTCTAAAGCCTTTGGCTTCACTCATGTCAGAGCCAGGGTAGGCTGGGATGCGGGCGGGCATTTGGAGAAAGGGTAGGAGCTGGGAAGGTAGGAGATCAGAGAAGTTGTCCAGCAACCCTCCCCCGCTGTGGCCTGAGTGGGTGAGAGCTGGCCATGGAGGAGCCACTCGCCCCCAGGCCTAGGCAGGCACAGCATGGGGAGGGGCACAGACTTCAGGGTCACAGGTAGAAAATGCTGGAATGGCCCCTCGTAGCACTTCCTTTTCCTCTGCCAACTTCCAGGTAGACCGGGCCTCGGCCCCTCTACCCAAGGAGACAGAGATCAGTCTGAACAATTTCAATGTTTTTTTAAAGACCTCTGAATAAGGCTGGTAAGGCTGAGCCCAGTGTTAACTTTCTTTGCTCTCAGCTATAGCTCAGCAGTCTGGGTGCTGAGCTTGGTGCCCTCGTGCTGCCCCCCAACCTGATCTTGACAGGCAGCAGGACCCCTCGGATTCATGAAGACATGAAAGTGATGTGACAATGACCTCTGTCTGGCAGACAAAGAACTTTCTAAACACTGGGCTGGGGGGGGGTAACTGAAGAAGTCTTTAGTGGTAGAGGACTGGGAACTAGTTGGGATATGTTTATAAATTCCATTGTCCTAAGTAATCGTAAACTTCCACCCTCTCACATATCCAAAATACCTCGGCTCCACATCCTGCCCTATGGAAGAGGCCGGTATAAGTCTACATGCAACATACAGACACACTCACACTCTCATACTCACACACTCACACACACACACACACACACACTAACACACACATGGCAGCTGCAGATGGGGGGAGGGTGTTAAAGGCTGTGGACTAAAGGATATTGGGGGACAGATATTGGCATCAGGGCCTGGCTTGGGTCAAGGCCTCAACAAAGGCAGGAAGAGACTCAGGGCGAGGGTCCTGGCCAGAAGGGCCAGGCTGGCCAGGGAAGTCTCTGGCCAACTTCCACTTGGCCAGGCCCTGGGTCTGACATTTAAATATCTGAAAAATAGATCTGGTTGTGTTAACTGAGAAAAAGACACACAACTACAAAGACAGTGCGAGTCTATCTAGACTATGTGCTGAGAAAAAAGGAAAGACACCAAAATGTCAACAGAACGTGTCTCTCGGTGTTGCTGTACAAAGGGCTTTTATTTTCCCGATTTCTACAGGGAGCATGTAGGTAGAAGTTATAAAAATGTCCCTCAAATGACACTCCCTCAAACCCTTGTTGGCCTTCCAAGGCGGGCTCAGGATAGGGGCTGCCTGGGGGATGGGCAGGGTAGTTTCTGGAAGTTCCTCCCTGTGGGTACCAGTTACGGTCACACTGTGGTCTTTAGGGTCCTGCTCCAGGTGGGACAGACAGGCCTGACCTTGGGCCCCTTGGCAATGCTCGAGCGGATCTGTCTACTCACGTAAGTGGACATGGAGCTGGTGTAGGTCGGAGCCTGGGGTGACCATGGGGCTGACTCTGCATGCTCAACGAATCAGGTGCCTTCCACTTGGACCCAGAGGCCAGCCAGGAGCCCTCCCTCTTGGGGATCTGGCCAATTAGGGAAAGAGCTGGGGGTGGGTGCCAGTGTGGGACAGCGCCTGAGGCAGGCCTCCCAAAGCAAGTGAAAGCTAGGCCAGAAGCCCGGAATGTCTGCTCTTCTTTGCTTGTCAGAGTTAGGGCCCAGCAGGGCTGCCTGTCATGGCAGGATGTTGAGCAGCTGCTGGGGTTTGAGGGGAGATACGTGGGCCTGTGTGATGTGGGGCCAGTGCTCTGGGGGACCTCCCAGGCTTTTCTTAGGGGGTGGCTGAAAATGCCCAGCCAAGTGACTTGCTTGATGCCAGGAAGTAGGAGAGCGGGCCTCTGTCCCTGTCCTGGTTTCCCTGGAGGGACACAGACTCAGGTGGGGAGGGCAGGGACTTTAATTGTATTCACAGAGAGGTGGCTGGTGCCTGAGGGCTGGTGGGGTGGGGCAGGGCAGGCAGGGCCCAGGGTGGTGGGGTCTGGAGGATGATCCTGAGCACAGGACTGGAGGCTGTGGGCTGAGGGGGACCCGGGCAGGGGGACGAGGAGGACTGGGGTGAGCTGTGAGAGGAGCGGCTTGTCCTTGGCTCACGGCAGGCCCCCATGCCAGTTTCTCAGAGTCTAGTGCTCCCCAGCAGGCCTGCTCCAGCTCAGTCCCCTCAGGAGTGTCTCAGCTCCACCTCAGAACCAAACTGGGGCCCATGGTGGCGGAAGCTATGTTTGCGAATGCTGAAGAGCCGCTGGCTGAGGCCCAGGGTGGCCACCAGCAGGGCAACGCCCAGGAACAGCAATATCCACTGGCCCACGCGGGCCTGGTGCTCGTCCAGGTCCAGGCCCAGGAAGTTGACACGGCCAGTATCTGTTAAGGAGCCTTCTGAGCGACCTGGGCAGGAAACAGGGAGAGCTGGGCGATGGGCGGGGAGGCGGGCAGGACAGGGGTCATTTAGTCTGACTTTCCTGCACTGGCTCGGAGGTCAGCTCAAACTCATCCGCGCTGGGGAGGGGTTGCCGCGCTGGGGAGGCTCTGGGGAGGGCTGAGGCTAAGGTGGGGTGGGTGGCAGTACCGGTGTATGGCAACCAGTTGTACTGCGGCCAGCCTAGCGTCTCCTTGTTTCGCTGGTTCTCATTTTGGAGCCATTCCAGCAGCGGCTGGAAGTAGTTCATCATGGGTAAGGCCGACATGTTGGGCTGGCCTGTGATCAGCTTCATGGCTTCTGGCCATGGCTTACTGGAGCCCAGTTTCAGCGCATCCCTGGGGCAAAACGATAAGAGAAACTGAGTCAGAAGGTCAGGTGGGGAGCTCAGTGGCCCTCCTCTGCCAGCCTATGCTTCCCCTTGGGATTGGGAGGGGCTGGGCAAGGGTTGGGGGTTGGGGAGAGATGACCTGGACCCAGAGTCCCCCTTTGGAAGTCCCCTACCCAAATGCCAAAGTGGCAGGTGTCCCCAGAAGAGCTGACTGGCTCCTCAAGGTTGAGGGGGGTAGGTCAGGGAGTGGAAAGGGAAGGTCAAGAAAGACTCACGCCAGGAGCGTCCCTGCCTCCTTGGACTGGTAGATGTCACACGTGTGCAGGGGGCCCTGGTGACCGCTCGCGTTACACAGTGCCTCGTGGAACTGGAACTGGATGAGGAAGCCAATGAAGTACCTGCAGTGGAGGGAAATCTCAGTGAGGGTGGGGCCTGTGCCACATTCCAGCCACACACCGTCTCCCACTGTAGTTGGGACATCAGGGGGAGCCCCTGGCCCTCGGGGTCATTGAGGCCCCCTACCATGCCTCTGAGACAGGGCAAGCTAGGGTTATTAGGCGGTTTTAGGGACAGTGCAGGAGGGGACCTCTGAAGAATTTAGGGAGGCTTCAGAGATAAGGACAACCCAGGGAAAGTAGCCCATTCCACTAGGAAAAACAAACATCCCAGAACCAAGGACAGCATTGTTAATGCTGGTCCTGGTTTCCTTCAGGTGGTAAAGGGAGGCGGAGACTGGAGAAATGGAGAGTGGTTTAATATATGGACACATTTGAAGGGCAGCTGTTTAACTTCAATGCAGGGATGCCCATCCAGAGGACTGGGCCATAAATTTAAAGATGCAACAAATGGGGAAAGAAAAAGCTGTTAGATAAGGAACGTGAAGATCCCCTACTCAGTAGCAAATTAAGTGAAACAGCCGAGAACTGACCAATCACACAGAGACTGGTGGAGCTTTAGAATAATGCCGGGGAAAGAAGGTCTATATTCCCTGAGACACGACTCCACTTTGGCTTCCTTGCCCCTCCCAGGCCTGGTTCCCTGGTCTGGGAGTCCCACTTTATTTCTGTTCTTTTTCTCCTCAATAAACTTTTTCTTCTAAACAAACCTGCCTTTGCTCGCTTGCTTGCCTGAGCATCTGCGAAGTTCCTGCTGGCTTCGTGAGACACCAACCTGTGGGGGGTCTAGCGGCTGGGGCTCAGCGCTGCCCTGCAGCCTGGAATCAGTTCCTGGCTGGGAGACTAGGCCTGACAATTCCGGTATCATTTTGGGGGCTCGTCCGGGATCTCACAAGATTTTGGGTGAGTCAGCTGAGAGGCACAAATTGTTTCTATCTTCAGCTTGTCCTAAACTCTTCTTGCTAAACATTTTCTTTCTCTTGGAGCCATCAAAGAGGCCATAAAAAGGGCACAGGATAGTCAGTAAATGCCAAAGGCGACCGCCTTAAAGACTCCTGTGAAAGGATAAACTGGTGACCAGACCAGGTAAGGGGACTCGCCCATCTGCCAGTCAAAGAATAAAAGTCTGGTGTCGTCGTATGAGGGACTCCGGTCTCCGAAGAGCTAGGCACATACGTCATGTAGAGGCCGTCCGGGAGCTGCACATAAGGGGCTGATCTCCCAGCAGCTCGGGCCATCCTCCCTTGCCTTCAGCAAAGGGGGAGCTGCCGAGACCCAGTGGAGGATGAATGGTCCCAATGTGACAGTTGGGAAAGTCATTCCTCACTAAGCACCACACAGGATCCGACACAGAACCCTACCCTGCCCTCAGATCCCTGTTAGGATTATTTGAATGGCTCCTCTTATCTTTCTTTGCTCTCTCTCTCTCCCTTTCCATTCTTCCTTCTCTTGCAATGCGACTGATTTACTTCTCAGTTACCTGTGGACTTCAGACAGGCAGTAGATATTTCAAAAACTTTCTCTCTGTCCTATATTTGATTGCAAAAATTAATGGGCACCCGTCGGCCCGGTAAAAGCGACTAGCGTGAGGCCGCCATTCTTAAAGTCTCGAGTGACAGGTCTCTCAGCTGGCAAGACTTCCTGATCCCCCACTTGCTGAGTGGGAATGTCGGGACTCTCTTGTCACTGATTCCTACTTTCCTCTATCATCCGTGGACTCCGAGGGTGCTCAGAACGACCAAGCTGTGACCCTTGGAACCCTGGACACCCAGGAGATCCGATGGCTCAGACAAGGCGTTCTGCTAGGTTGGCACCTAGGCGAGAGTCACGGAGGCCAAACAGAAAAAAAAAAAAAAAAAAAAAAGAGACTTTCACCTTCTTGATCCCTTCCCTATAGGACAAACTTCTTTCAGCTTCTATCAAGGCAACTTATAAGGTACAAAATGGTCTTATAAAAATCTTGGGGCACCTCTGGGAGCCTTTTCCCTGGTGTCTGTTTTCATCCTGCTGGTTGGCACAGGCAGGAGAGGCTGAGTTTCATATTATGACAGGAATGTATGTACAGGTTTGCCTCAAATCCTAAGTCCAGCTAATTAATTATACCTTTGGTATTATAAATTTGTCTCATGGCAGTTTTTCAAAAGGGAGTTTAAAATAAGTAAATATCAGGTTCTGGGCTACTGCTGCTTCAAGGGCTATGACTTAAGAAAAAAGGAGTCAGTTTTGTTGTCTGGCAAATGGACATCATTAAAAGTTAGGTCGCAGGACTCGGTCTGTGGCTTGTGTTAAGTCTCTACTGTTCAGGTTGTGTTCAGGGTCTTTCATCAGATGAGGAGAATGGCTTACTATAAGCTCGCTAGAAGCTTGGAATAGATGCCCTTTGCACAGAGACTGGTTAGGGGACGCCGGTAGGGTCCCACAAAGTCCGGTACCCCACACCTGTCTGTTCGGTGGGAGACAGGCAGAGATACATCAGTCACACTGGAAAGGAGTGGTTAACTCCAGTGGACTTTTATGCGAGGAAACTGTTGATCACTCACAGTTAGAGCTCCGGGTTTAAATGGAGGGACGCCTCCGGTAAAAAGGCAAGGAAAAAGTGGATTGAGAATTGGGTTCAATTTGACCCTAAATCCATAATTTGACCTGTCTATAGGCTTTCTCCTATAGATAGAAGGGGAAAGAAGCTGGTGTTGGACGCCCGCTTTCATTCCTTTTTGCAAATGGGAGCCTCCTCGTCAGCCATGCAAAAGAGGCACGCATCTCTCCTGCATCTTAGAATTGAGACCAATTTTCAGGAGTAATTGGCTCCTATCTCACCTGTTGCTTCTCTTAGTAAGTCACTTAGACCCAAGTCTCGACATCTCTCCTGGCATCCTAGAGTTAAGAGTCAGTCAAGAGACCATGATATATGGTCCTGGTCGAATGGGACGACCTCTGACTTAACTGCAGGAATGTCCCTGCTTTGTCTCTGTGCTGCTATTGCGGGTACCTTTCTTTTATTGCTACAGAGACCATAAAATGCTCTATCTCAATTCCATGGGACATGCCCGTAAGCCACATTCTTAAAAACTAGCCCAATTTGGCCATAAATGACATCTTCTCCAGCTAACCCTCCTTGGTCACAGTCAAGACAAAAAGACAAAATGCTGGGGACTAATAAGTAAAGGGGTCCACTACAGCTGGCTGGTAAAAAAGACTGCCTCTGCTCTCAATAAGCAGCTGCCTGGATTATTTTTTTCCAGTATTGAGATTATTGGTATGTCTCTGCTGCCTTCCAGTTGTGGGGGAACTAGACTCTCCCTTTGTCCACCTTAAAAAAAAAAAAACTGTTTTGATTCATGCTAGGGAAAAAGTTCTATGTCCCTGTGTTTTTCTGATTTTAAAGTCTAAAATGTTAAAGGTAAAAACTGCTGAGTTACTTTGGACTTGCTAACGAGCCATAAAAGGTGATTTTTGGTTAAGTGACAATTTCTAAACTGCTTATTGGACCTGTAAAAGTTTAGTTTCTTATTAAGACTAATTAATTTCTGATAAGAGTTAAAAAAAAACAGGCAAACTGTACAGGAAAAATCTTATTCTTCCTCTTCTCCTGTCCTCTCCATACATGGTTCTAAAAAGAAAAATGTCTTTTGTCTTAAAAATGTGCTTGGTCTCAGTGTGACAAAACTAAAACAATGTAAAGCCAATTGATAATACTTAAAAATACAAACTTAAAAATGTTTTTCTTGTCTAAGAAAGTTAGTACAAACTGCTTAACTTTGAAATTGTTGTGGTTTTGGTTGGACCCTCGGTTTTAAGTAAGGGTTAAAATTGGGTACTTGTTCTATGTAAAATTCTAATTTCTATGTCATTAAAAACCTGCTTGATATAAAAAGGATATTAAAAACTTGGTTAAATGAATGTGTCAAACAAAAAAATTGTTACTAAAGAAGGGGAGTTTACTAAACTGTAGTTTCTCAGTGTCTTTGCAAATATTGGTAAAAATAACTGTTTCTTAAAATTAATGCACATGGCCAAAAGTTTTAAATAAAAATCAAGAGATCTCTTTGTTCTTGCTTTTTGCCTCCAGAGGATAATTTTAAATGGCGCATATATATATATATATATATATATATATATATATAAAATCCTAAATTTTGAGATCGCGATCTAAAATTGTGGTAAAAAAGGCTAATTCAAAATGTAATGGTTTAAAAAGCATACATGCCTTAAGGTTTTAATGTTGGGTATTAATACTTTACTGTTGTTTGAATGTGTTTACTCATGCTCTACTAAGGAAATAATAATTAACCTAGCCTATGCAAACAAACAAACTTACTTCTAGGCTTTTTTTTTTTTTTTAATAGAGGCATGTTTTTTTTCTTTATTTATTTGTTTGCTTGTTTGTTTGTTTTGTTTATACATGCACTGGGTACAGTCAGAAGCGCGGGAGGGTGAGAGAATTCACCAGAGCCAGAGCGGGGAGCAGAACAGGCAGAAGGACCGAAGTACACTGCTGAGAGGAGCAGCGGGCGGCAGGAGAGGTCTGCGCGCCATGTGGGACCCTCCTCCGGTGGCCGGGGAGCAGCCGGGGATTGAACCGGCGCCGCAGAGGCCGCGGGCAGCTTCGCAACCCAGCGCTCTACCGCTGCGCCACCGGGGAGGCCCACTTCTAGGCTTTTATCTAAACTTCTCTTAATAAGATCTTGTTTCAGGAAGACTGATCTACTTGTCTTTTCCCCTTGGAAAAAAAACAATATATTCTCCCAGTAAATGACTATATTTCTTTACAGAATTCAAGGTAACATCTAAAGCCATATAGACAAGTTACTAAAAAATGTTTATGATATTAAGTGTCTAGTTTTTTTTCTTGCTTTTGTCAACCTATCTAGTGCTTGCCTAAGAAAACTTGGTATATAAAATTGTTACAGTGGCAACTCTGCAGTTGACTTAAAATTCCAGTTCTAAGAAAAAAAACTAAAGCTAAACTAAGGTTTTTGCTAAGTTGAGTAATAAAATTTGTTAACCATTCTCTGAAATTTCAGGTTTACATTTTGCTCCTTATTGTAAGGAAACTAAAGTTTAATGTCATCTCAACAACAACAACAAGACAAAAATTTAAAAAAGTGTGTCTGTGGGTTATATGGTCTAGAAAAATGATAGTGTGGTAGCTATTGTGGTGTCTTGCAATGCAGAGATTGGAAACTAAGGTGTGATGATTCTGAATGTAAGTAAAGTGAGGTGTGTTTGTGTTTTAAAAGAAAGAAAAAAAAGGTAAAGGAAAGTGTTGAAGGTCTGAGTGAGGGATTTTTGACAGAAAATTTTTGTGTTCTCAAGTGACTTGTCATAAAATATTTTGGTTAACTTAAATGTCAGTTGTGCACCTGCGTGGCACCAGGCTTTAGTTATTTTGATATATAAAATTGTTTCTTGTTGTAAAAACAAACTAAGTCAATTTGGGTATATTGATACCTCATAGACAGATTCTCATAAAATTGTTTCACCTTTTCAACATAAATATACACAAATAAGATTATTCTAAAATACATAAGACTTCTTAAAACCTAATAAGCCAATCATTTCAGGCTAAAGTTACTGAGGCTATAAAAAGGTGTACTAATCTAGACCCTAAAAAGGACAAACAATTTAAGGGTCTCAGTCTCCTTCATTAGTCAGCCTTGCTCTAACATCAGGTGCAAACTTCAGAGACTAAGTCAAGGGTCTAAAATCCTTTTAACACTTTTAAACACGGCCTTCAAGGCCTATAGTAATATGGAGGGGACTAACTAGACTAAAAAGAAAGGGAGGAAGGCAAGAAAAGGGCCAGTAAATGGCAGTTACCATTGTTCGTACCCTGCCACCTCAGACTCACCCAAGGCCCCATGCGCCCTAGGGCATTTGGGACCTCAACCTCTTAATGGGCTGCCAGCTTGCTTCCACTGCCTGCAACCAGGACATCTTAGCTGCAAAAAGCTGTCCCCAGGGCCATGCCTTCTGTGCCATCACACAGGGCACTAAAAAGGGACTGTCCCACTCTCCAGAGAGTGAGGGGCCAGCCCTAACCACGGGCCAGGATGGGAGGACAGACTTGACCGTCAGCTGCCTCTGACTATGAAGAACCCAGTGCAGGAGATCTTCTCTGAAGAAGCCCAGAGGTGAGAGAGACTCCCCCGTTTACTGTTTATATGGACAAGCCTCGGGTGACCCTAAAATGGCAGACATAAAAATTGCCTTTTTTGTAAATAAGGGGCCACTTATTCTGCCTTACTCCAATTCTTTGAACTGACCGACTGGTCAATTGTCCCCCTCACTAGTACAAATGGCCAGCCTGAGCCAGGATACTTTACAACACTGCTACCTTGCTGGCTACAAGGCTACTTGTTTATACATTTTTAGTTTTGTTTTCCTAACTATTAAGATGGAAAAAATTGTAAGTAAAATCCAAACTAGCAGCCTCCACAGCCACTATTGGCTCTCCTAGCTGCTGCTACTAAATATAAAATGGTACTGAAGTCCTAGGTCTCACTGATTCTGTCATTTTGGCTACAGCACCTCCAGGTGTTTGGGGCCCTAGCCCAACATTGCTCCTTAACATCCCCAGTCTCAGTGGTAATATAAAATCGCAAAACCCTGGACCTGCTTACAGCTGTAGTAGGGGGAGTTTGTGCCTTCTTAAATAAAATATGTTGCTTTTGGATAAATACTTCTCATGAGGTAGAAGAAAATTTAAAAATACTAAAAAATATACGAATTGTGGATGATCTCAAAAGACAGGCAGGGCAAGGGCTTAGCTGGACACAGACAATCTTTGATTCTATAAAAGGACAACTTCTGTCCTGGCTACTGCCTTTTCTCGTTCCCTTACTAATTCTCTTTATTGTTCTTTTGTTTGGGCCCTGCATCCTTAATACTCTCTCCCGAATCATCTCCCCTCTCCTGGAGGCCATCAAGCTCCAAATGGTCCTTCAAATGAAACCCAAAATGACGTCTCCACAGTCCATCTTCCAGGGTCCCTTAAATCGTCATCCTACTTTCGCCCACTTTCAGCAGGAAGCAGTCATTGATCAGATCTACGTCCTTTTCCCTAACTGCAGTTAGGGCTCCATTCGTAGAAGGGGGGCATGAGACAGGGCAAGCTAGGGTTATTAGGCAGTTTTAGGGACAGTGCAGGAGGGGACCTCTGAAGAATTTAGGGAGGCTTCAGAGATAAGGACAACCCAGGGAAAGTAGCCCATTCCACTAGGAAAAACAAACATCCCAGAACCAAGGACAACATTGTTAATGCTGGTCCTGGTTTCCTTCAGGTGGTAAAGGGAGGCGGAGACTGGAGAAATGGAGAGTGGTTTAATTTATGGACACATTAGAAGGGCAGCTGTTTAACTTCAATGCAGGGATGCCCATCCAGAGGACTGGGCCATAAATTTAAAGATGCAACAAATGGGGAAAGAAAAAGCTGTTAGATAAGGAACGTGAAGATCCCCTACTCAGTAGCAAATTAAGTGAAACAGCCGAGAACTGACCAATCACACAGAGACTGGTGGAGCTTTAGAATAATGCCGGGGAAAGAAGGTCTATATTCCCTGAGACACGACTCCACTTTGGCTTCCTTGCCCCTCCCAGGCCTGGTTCCCTGGTCTGGGAGTCCCACTTTATTTCTGTTCTTTTTCTCCTCAATAAACTTTTTCTTCTAAACAAACCTGCCTTTGCTCGCTTGCTTGCCTGAGCGTCTGCGAAGTTCCGTGGGGGTCTAGCGGCTGGGGCTCAGCATTGCCCCTGCAGCCTGGAATCAGTTCCTGGCTGGGAGACTAGGCCTGACAATTCCAGTATCACCTCCAACCCTCGGGAAGGCCTGTTCTAAGCAGCTCTGGGGATTGCTCAAGGGTGAGGGAGCCCTTCCAAGCTTTGCACACTGCTGTGGAGGCGCTGAGGCCTCCGCCCTGGGGTGGTGGTGTCTGGAGGGTCACATGTATCTGTCTTTTTAAACCCAAAGCAGCAGGGACTCCCTGGCCAAAACTTGCTGGCCAAGGCAGGCTCTCCAAGTCAGGAGAGGCGTGACTGTCCTGACCCCCAGGATGAACGCTGAGCACCAGCCAGGCGCCGCTGACTTGCCTGGCCCTTCCTGCAAGTGCTTTGCCGAGGCTGCTGACCAGAACTTGGAATGTGTCTCTGTTGCCTGCCCCTGCCTGGAGAATGACCTGTGCTGAGCCTGGCAGCTAACCACCATGGGGGTCTAGCTTCTGTGTGAAGGTGAGTGCCAACTTAGAAGCCCCCAAAACCACTCGAGAAGGCAGAGATGGTGCTCCCTGTGGTCATCCCAGTACACTTTTGAGGTCAGTCTTCTTGATCCCCTGCCCACTGCTGCCCACATAGATGGAACACCTGAGCCTGCTTTCTCACCTTTCCTGGGCTCTGGGGGACAGAATTCACTCACCCCACATTTATTTATTAGGTTCTCATAAAGGGCTGACATCATGCCAGGTTCTGGGATGGAAAGGTGGTCACTGTGGGCACGAGCCCCCCTCATTGGGCTGCCAGGAGGGACCAGAGACAGTAAGGGCTGGAGGTGGCACGGGCTTCCTGGGGCAACTCTCATGGCCCTCTGTGTCTTGCTTCATGGGTACCTGAGACTACCTGTAGCCTGGGGGCACCTGGATCTCCACAATCAGGTGTCCCCGCCTCTAGGAGGCCCCGGCTCGTCCAGTTACCCTTCCTGCAGCACGGCACATAGAAGGCAGGGGCTGCCCTGATAGGCCCATTTATGCTCCCACTTAAGAGAGACCTTAGCCATAGTGGATGGCGGCCACGTGTCCTGAGCATACCACACCCCAGACAGGACATGAAGAAGCTAACTCCTGCGACAATCTCGTGAAATGGGATTTCATAGGTGGGGAAGCCGATGGTCGAGGAGACTGAGGAATTTGCTCAGGGAAACAAGGAGTAGAAATGAGATTTGAACCTAGTTCTGTTAGATCCCAAACCCTTAGCAACGCAGCCTCCCAGCCTCACTGGGCCTCTATGCCAAAGTTTAGTGTAGAGAGGGTCGTCCAGATGCAGCCCACAAGCGATCATCAATGCAGGCTTGTTCAACCAAACAGTGCGCCCAGGTCCTGACCAAGACTCTCAGTTCACATGAACTAGCCACGGCCTACAACCAGTAGCCAACTGTAGGTGGAGTTTCTGCCCAGGGTGTCAGCCAGGGGACAGGCCTGGCACTGAGTGCCCTGCAGCCTGTCCAAGGCCACCTGACCACATAGGCAAGGGCAGTTTGAAGCCCGTCCTGGTACACGACTCTCTCCCTTCCCTGTCTTACCTGAGGTAAGGCACATTTGCAGGAATGTGGAACTTGGCCCCTGGGTCAAAGTCCTCTTGATTCCTGGGCACTGGGGGGCAGAGGCCCTGGTACTTCAGCCTGTCAAATGGGAAGGAGATGTGGAGGGAGGCCTTGGGGACAACCTAACCAGAAAAGCTTGTGCTTTTTGACTCAAAGGATAGTTCCCAGCCCTGGGACTCCCCGGGGCACTCCAGGTCCTATAGGCTATGCCTCTGCACCATCACCCCCACACACGTGTGCACACACACACTTGCCACATGCACGCAGACAATGCACAACACACAGGCATGTGTGAACACCGTGGAGAACCACACTCCCTGCTAGCCCACACCCCACGGGAGCATTCTAGAACCTGAGGCTCCACCACTCCTGGTTGTAGTTCTCCTTGGTGATGCTGTTGTCAAACACCCTCCAGCGCCACTGGTCAACCAGGTAACTGAAGGGGATGAAGGCGATCTTGTCCAGCGCCATCTTCATTAGAAAGTTGATGTCTTGCTCTGCAGAGGGATAGGAGGCCGGGGTCAGCTCTGCACCTGCTCCTGCTGTGTCTGAGCAGCATGGCAGCGGAGAGAGCAGCAGTGGGTGGGGAGAGGTGTGGGCTGTACCTCTGGGTCCTGTGACCTACCTCCTGGCATGGTCTGGGTGCCATCCTCCTGGCTCACCCTGTGGGGGCCCCTTGCTCCCAGCTGCTCTGTCCCAACTTCAGCCTGTGGGCTGTTTAGTCCCCCCTCCCCGCCTCCCAAGCTCTCTGCGCTTTTGGTCGCTCTGCCCGCTCCAGCCGGATCTCCTGCTGCTCTCACCGTATTCGCCACCCTTGCTGCTCAGCAGATTGATGCTGCGCAGGTGCTTCGGGGTAGACACTGAGAGGGCCAGCACGTCCCCAATGGCCTCGTGAAAACCAGGATTGGCGCCCTCCCGGAAGGTCACAGGCAAGTCCTTGTATTGCATGAAATACTGTATGTGGCCCATTTCGTGGTGAACCACGATCAGCTCCTCCATGTTCACAGAGGTGCACTGCTTGATCCTGGGAACACAGGGTGGGGAGAGGGCGTGGAGGAAGGACAGTGAGGAATCCTGGGCCAAAGGGGCCTGCTGTCCTCACTGCAAACAGGGCAGCCCTGACCACTGTCCTGTGCAGGGAACACAGCACTGTGGGAGGGGAGGCCAAAAGGAGCTAAGAAGTAAGCCGGAGAAAGAGGGAATCTGGGGTAGAAGCCCCTAAAGTGTGGTCATTCCTCTGCTCAACCCCCAGTCCAGTTATCAAGTTGCCTTAGAGACATGAGGACATTCAGTATGCTCAGGGCAGAACTTTCTAGAATGTGGGTCGTGTGGTTTCTCAAGTACATGTTTCATCTCTCCTAACACTTGGGCTCCTGGAAGAACACCCCTGTGCCCGCAGGACTGCATCCCACCTGGCAGCCCCGGGCGGCCCGGCATTCACTGCAAGATTCCTGTGGCCAGGACCAAAGTGGCAGCTGGAGGCCTGTCCAGAAATTCCACCTCCCTCTTGGCCTTTCCTCCTTCTCTTTTGTGAGCTGACCTCTCCCTTGGATCTAACCAGAGCCCTGCAGTGCAGCTGACCTCATTTTTCTCATTCTACCAGGGGCTGGGCGGGGCTGCCTAGAGTGCCGCTTACAGCGAGGGTGGGGCCTATCCTCTTCCTATGGCTCCCCATCCAAGGGAGGATCCCCCAGGAGCTCTCACCCCTTTGCTTTTGTCCATGCCCAGCCTGACAGCTGCAGTCCTCATGCCCTGAAGAACCCAAGGCCAGGTGACCCAGCAAGTGCCGTCTGGTTTGTTCCAGGCTGTTGTGCACTCACGAGACACGCCATCAGCTGTGGCAGATCATCAGCTGTGGCTGCTTCTCCCTAGAGTTGGGTTTTTTTCCCTTCTCTTGAATGGGGGTTCACCTTGTGCCTTGCTTTGGCCAATAAAATGCAGCAGAACTACACCTGTGCCAGTGTGGGACGACACCTTTAAGAGGTCTGGCTGTTCCTATTCCGCTCTGGGGGATGCCAGCTGCCAGGCAGCAGAAAGCCAACTGCCTGAGACTGCCACACTGTAGGAGACTCAAGCTAGCCTAGAGAGCCAGCCACCAGCCCCCGGGTTCCCACCACCCAGCTCCACTGCCCGACACGGGAGTGAAGAAGCCGACTTGAACATTCCCACCCTGGCGTGTGCCACGGTGAGAGAAACTGAGGCACCCAAGGGAGAATCGGAACCAAGGCCCCATATGGGTGGCTCACTGAGCCACCCCTGCCACCTGCAGCCACCAGAGCTTTCCCAGCTGGGGCCTTCATCACGGCAGAGCAGGGATAAGCCATTTCTACTGCATTCCTGGCACAGAAAATGCTGAGTATAACCAGATGGTTTCACAGGCCCCTTAATCGGGGGTAGTGGAGGCGGGCTATGCTGCACTAGATAACCGAAGCACCAGGCTGCAAAGGAGACCGCTTCTGAGCCTGCTAGTGGTGAGCTCCGGCACCCTCACATGCCTCCCTGCGTCAGGGCACATGCACCCAGGGAGAGGGCCCGAGGGTGCCCACGGTGCACAGGGGCCATCAGTGAGGAAAGGCTGGGCCGCTCTCACGGCACTCAACGCCCAGGACCTGGAAGCAAGTGCTCACCCCTGACCCAGGTGACAGAGCTGGTGAGCATCCAGGACACCCTCTTACCCTCGCCTGCCAGAAACCAATGGTTTGGTCTGGTCCAGGCCCTTGACTCTCCACGCCTACGGACAGCAATGGAGCCTTCACTTGGCTCATCTCCTTGCCCACTGGGCTCAGGACCAGGCCCACTGGCTGGGCCAGGACGCACCTGAAGTCCTTTCCGTTGAAGAAGTCCCAGGCGGAGGCATGACATACCACCTCCCGCCCGTCGGTTGGCTTCTCCAGCATCGACTTGTTCCAGAACTCAGGGGGCACTGGCAGCATCCCCATGGAGGTGAAGAATTTGTTGGCTTCCTCAAACATCCTTCGGGGTGTCCAGCCCTGCAAGAGGAGGGGGCTCTGTCTAAACAGGGGACTGTGGGGATCAACTGTGTGTCCAGCATATGGGGTAAGCTGGAGAGAACTCCCGAAACGGAGGGCTCTCTCCCACCCAGACAGGGCGCACCCCTCCCCTCCGCCCTGGGTCTCCCAGTGCTAGCCTGCTTTATCATGTTCTCCGTGACATCCAGCTTGGGGGCTAACGGATAGGGCACCACCAAGTCATAGACGTTGGCCCAGGTCTGCGCCCACATGTTCCCTGGAGGCAGAGAGGAGACAGCGGTTACTCTTGGGCTCAGCACCACCAAGCAGGTCCCAGTCTCCAGACCCCACATCCAAACAGTGTCTCTTGAGTACCTACTCCCTGCAAACTGTGCCAGGCATTTGACAGTTATCTCTGCCGGCACATCCAGCCTACAAGGTCTTTACCATCCTGGCTCCCAGGGGGCCCTCAGTGGCCTTCAGAGTCAAGGCAGTCCTCCCTGGCCATCGGGGGTACAGCCCAGGGTGTCTTGCAGCGGGGTGTGAACATCAAGCTTCATGTCCATACTTCTGTGCATAGTGGCCACCACTGACGGTGTAAGCAACCCCCTCAGCTCTCAGGCCAGGGGCTGGGGTTTGAAGGCAGACGCGCAGGCTGCCCCACCAGTCACTGGTGAGGTCCCCTGAGCTCGATGTCTGCAGCACCTGTCCACAACTCTGGTGCCAACAGCCAGTCTCCTTCAGGAGGAGCTGATGCCTCTGGGTTTAGAACAAGAGAACCTCGTTCTCCAGGACAGGGTGCAAAGGAAGGTGCTCATAAAGAGAGGACAGGCGCAGAAGTAGGTTTGGAGGAGAGTTTTTCCACAGTCAGAGGAGGGTCAGCCAGAGCTGACGACAGCTGGCGTCTAGAGGCGAGTGAGTTAGGGGGAGAGCTTGAGCTGGCGAGTGGAGGAGAGAGGAAAGCAGGGGGCCCAGCACCCCAGAGTCCCGGTCTGTGCTCCTCGGTGACCAAGCTGAGGGCCGCTCTGACATGTTTGGCCTCACCAAAGAGGGACCAAGGAGTGCTGGTCTTTGGGCGAAGACCTGAGGCTGAGCAGGAGCTAGATCCAAAGCTGAGCCAGTTTCTTGGGTCCCCCAGAATTTGTAAATGGTCTGTGGCTCCATCTGGTCTCCACTCACAGTAACCCCTAGCCCCAATGGCCCAACAGGGATCCCCAAGCAGTGATAGGTGACGGGGTTTCTCGTGATTACCCCTCCACACCCCCACCCATGTGGCCCAGATGCCCGCCCCACTCCAGCATGGCTCCAGGCCTGACTCCTTGCACACACCCAGCCTGAAGTGCCACCTTTGGGCCCTTCCCAGCCTGCCCTCGCCCTCTGGCCAGCCCCGGCCCCCTCGTACTGGGGTGTGTCTTCACCCCCTCAAGGCCCAATGTGCTCTCACCCAGCAGATGCGCCGGGATGGGGCCCTGCAGGTTGATGTACTCGGGCCCATAGTGGCGGTGCAGGGCCCGGCGCACGTAGGCGTGCAGGTTCAGGTAGAGCGGCTGCAGCTGCTGGTAGAGCTGCTCCAGCTCAGCCTCCAGGGACGGCATCTCGTACACAGCTCTCCACGAGTCTCCTGCATCCACATAGCCTGCGCAAGGGACACAGCCAGGCCCTCCATGCCTGCCGTTCCCCGAGCACCCCACCTGCCCACTCCAGGGACACCCCAGGCCCCCAACCCCTGCTCACTAGGCTGGGGTCTCCGAGGACCTCTCTGGAGGCCCCCCAGACCCCTGAGGCCAGAGACCCAGGGACTCACCGTTGAGCCGGGCCGCCTTGTTGGTGAGTTCCACATATTTTGGGAAATGCAGGAGGATGGTTTTCCCCGCCTGGTCTCGCCAGCCCTTCCACGCCCATAACAGGTCGTCATAGTTCCGGGATGTGGCCATGAGATGTGTCAGCTCTGGGGGCAGGGGGTGAGTGACTTGACCCCGGCCCTTGGCTCACCTCCCACCCCCTCTTCAGGGGAACTCAGCCAGAATTTCAGCCGAATGACACCCCCTGCTCACTCCCTCTCTGGGAGACATGGCTTGGAGCTCAAAAGACCCACGTTCTTGCTCTAGTCTCCCACTCACCCCCTCATTGCCTTGCCAAACAAGGGGTGCCACTTTCCCTATCTACACTGGCCCTCACAGGGCAGTGGAAATCCAACAGGAGCATGAGGCCCCTGAGCAGGGGTGTCCCCGCAGGCCAGGGCTATCGTTCGCAAGACGGATTGAATACAGAACAACTGTGGAGGCCCAACGTGCCAGGAACCGCCCAAGCAGGCCGGGGAGCTGGAGAGCCTGGCTGGTGTCCTGCAGGAGGACTGTGGAGGGGCCTCTCTGGCGGGGTACCTGAGCTGAGGCAGCCTCACCGAGTGGGCTGGGGGTGGCGTGAGCCTCACACAGACCTGCCAGGCTTCCCTTCCTGCCCTGGCTGCTTGCGTGGGACGGCTGCAGACAGCATCCAGTGCCATCCACACCCCGTTATTTGGCTGGTGCTCTCCCCGTTTGGGAACGCGCTACGAGGGGCTCTGCTTAGCGCAGAGCGCGTCTGTTCGAATTAATTCTGTTTGAGGAAAATGTATTGTGAGACGTTCACAGCTGCCCTCAGAGGAGGCAGGCGCTGTTTTTGGAGGTGCTTCTCATTTTAACTGACCTGACGGCCCAGCCCCGAAGTGAGGGCTGACTGAGGGGGTGCAGAGGTCACACTCCCTTTAATGAAACCCCACGAGCACACGTGGCCTCCCCGCTTGCGTGCCTACCCACATACACAACCCGCGGGCCCAACCCTGGCCCAGGAACATGGTTTCTCCTGTTTATTTTCCATTTCCCTTTCTATTTGTCATTGTTCTAACGTGGGAGTCGGGCAGAGGGCCAGGAAGAGACTGTTTCTAGGTGGAGATTCCTCAGGAAGACTGTTAATGCCTCTGGTTCCCCAAGCCTGGGCAGGCCGGGTCAGGAGGCAGCGGGGAGCAGGTACTTGGGCGTCAAGGGGGAGCTCTTTCAAGGGGGAGGCTGCGCGAAGCACCAGCGAGAGTGGAGCGAAAGGAGCGGGGAGAGCAGGGAGCTCCTTCCAGCAGGAAGTCACGGTGGGGAGTGAGGTGGGACAATATGGATGGCGCGTGGGGCTTCTACAGGTTGTGGCCCCAAATTCCTGGGTCTGGGGGAACTAAGGCTGGGAGGCCAGAGAAGGCGGGGCGGGCATGGCGGGAATCTAGGGAGGACTAAGAAGAGGAGGCGCCTATAGTTGCTCTCCCTGCGTGCAGCCTTTGAAAGGCACATTTGAAGCCCCGCTGGGCTGCACGCAGGGGACGCAGGTCACGTCCTGGAGAGAGGCTTGGAGGGAGCAGGTGGACAGACCCAGGGAGAGCAGCAGGTCAGGGTGGAGGATGAAGTGGGGCCAGCCTTAGTGGTGGGAGAGAAGCCCCACTGATGGGAATGGAAGTGGCTTCCCAGGCTGACCCTGAAGTTAGGAGCACCTAGCCCCCCCTGCACAGGCAGCACCCCGAACCCAGCGCCAACCCCAGCCTTCCGAGCCCCTTCCTCCTTCCCCAGGTGCACTCACCAGGCTCAAGCTGGAGACAGGTTTTGTTGGCGTGACACACACTGGCCGTGCTGTATGCGGTCTCCATGTTCATCAGGATCTGGTTGTACTGCAGGGGGAAGAAGAGCGATGAGCTGCACCCCTTGGCTACACGCACTGCCCTGGGCAGCATCACGGGGTGGGGTGACCTGGGGGAGCACGTTCCCAAAGGAGAAATCAGGGACTTTGTAGGTAGGTGCGTGTCCGCGGGACAGACGCCACGGCTTGACAAACCGAGGGAGCAGCAGCAGCAGCAGCGTGAAGGCCAGACCTGTGCTGGGCTCCTCACCTCTGAGCTCCTCTGAGCTCCTGACTTTGGGTCCTCCACCCCCTGCCACCGTCCCCCACGCCACACACCTCCTGCAGCTCCTTGACAGGGAGTGCTGCCCGCTCGATGTCCTGAATCTTCTTTATTATCCGCCTCATGGTGGTGTTCTGGAAGTGGGTCACATCAAACTGCTTGGCCCGAGTGCCATAGTGCAGGCTGTGGTTGGAGACCTGAAGGTTCTTCTGCAGCTGAAGGCACAAAGGGAGGCAAGTCATGAGGCCCTGGGGCTCTGGTAAGCCTCTGAGGAGGGGTTGTGGTGGTGAGGGCCAAAGGGACCAGGGGTGGCCGTTTTATCAAGTTGTTGCTTTGCCTGTCAAACCCTCTTCAACCTGGGCTGTCTGAGAATGATCTGGATGCAGCCCATGCCCTCAGCAGATGCCCACCATGGAGCAGGACATATCCCTGTAGGGGGAGGGAAGGGACTCCCTCGCGTCTTACAGGCTGTTAGGAGGGAGGCTGCTGGTCCTGGCCTGTCAGCTCAGGGGCCCATCTGTTAAGTGGGGCCAAGGTGACCAGTTTCGCAAGACTGTTGAGAAATGCACGGAGCAGCTGGCCTACAAGGCCAAGGAGCAGGGGCCAGCTCACAGCTGCCGGAGGCGGCTCTGCAGCTCACCCGGGTGTAAGCTGCAGCCAGCCGCACAGGCGGGGCCTGGGTCGCAGGGCAGAGCGGCCCTTGCCGTGGTGGCAGACAGGGGCACTTCACCTCTCACTGAACCAACTCCAGCATCGCTGACCTGCAGCTAAATCATTCCTTTACTGACAATGCTGATTGTTCGTGAAAGTAAAGAGCACGGGCATTGACTATGCATTTTTCACCAGTTCCACCGGGGAGGGGCGGAGGGGCGGAGGGAGCGTCTGCTCAGCGTGGGTTTGGAGGACTGGAGTGTGTGCGCGCGTGCGCCGGACACAGGGCCCTACCAGGATCCCGCCGTTCTCTGTGGTGATGTTGGTGTTGTAGTTCCAGTTGGCCTCAGTGTATTCATTCCACACCCCCTGGGACCGCTGGTCATACTCCTCCACGAACTTGCTGGCTTCAGCCTCGTCAGTCACCAGGTCTGCGGGACAGTGGAGGGAAACGGTAAGTCGCCTTGTCCGCGCCTGCAGCGTGGTCGGAGCTGGGCACGACCCTGCCTCCCCTCCCCCTCATGCCTCCCACCCCAGCTGGTCCCACTTGGGCTCTTGGTTTTCGGGCTGCTGGTTGTTGCCTGGCTGGTTGTTGCCTGGCTGCTGGTTGTTGCCTGGCTGGCTGTTGCCTGGTTGACTGTCACCTGGGGGGTGGCCTCCTGGCTGGGAACCAGCACCGGGTGCCCCCAGCAGAGTAGGAGGAGGAAGAGGCTGGGCAATCCTGGGGCAGCCCAACCGTGGCCCATGGCCGCAGGAGAGCAGAGCCCGGCAGCCGTGGCTCCTTGGCCAATAGAGTGGATCCTGTAGTGTGACCTCATAGAGCAGTGTGGCGGCAGCTGGCCCCCAGGGCCTCAGATCTGGGGCACGCCCTCCCAGGATGCTGGGGGAAAGGCTTGCCCATCCCCGTTCCAGGGCCTGCTACGAGCTAAGTGGGTGCCTGTCCCTCCAGAGCAGGGTGCTGGGCTCACTTGGGAGGAGCTAACTAGGAACCAAGAACTGGGGGCCCAGGTCCAGAGCCCGGATTGAGGACTCCCCTTAGTGCTGCACCCCACCCTCACTCAGGACTTTACCAATGCCCTCTGGGTAGTTTTCGGGCAGCGGGGGTTGCCACTGGTACTCCGGCCAGCCCAGGACCTCGCCGTTCTTCTCGTTCTGCTGCTTTAGCCACTCGGTGAGCGGCTGGAAGTAGTGGAGCAGAGGCTCAGCGTCCATGTCCCTGGAGCCAATCATCTCCATCAGGGTATCCTTCCAGGGCCGCGAGGACCCCGCCTGCAGCAACTTCCTGTAGGGCAGAGTGGGCACTGTGAGCACAGGGCGCTCAGGCCAGTGTCCACTAGCGGTCCCTGGCCTGCGTGTCCCACCGCCAACCATTTCTGGCCGCGGTGGACTACAGGAATGGCAGCACCAAGGCTTCAGGGCCTAGGAGCTCTGTGAAGGCGGTGGTGGAGTCTCTCTCGCCCCATTCCAGCCAGAGGTTCCCTCCGAAATAGGAGGGGAAGGAAGAATGGTGCCCTCCGTCACTCGGTGCTGTGGTGACCCCAGAGTCGCCCGCTGCCTTCCAGACAGCCCCTGCACTGGCCCTTCCCTTCGTCCCCCCACCACGGGCCCTCCCCTTGCCCCCACATACTTGAGCTTGGCCCCTGCCTTGGTGGACTCGTAGATGTCACAGTGATGCAGCGGGCCGGTCTGGCCCGCCTCCTTGCACAGGGCTTGATGGAACTGGAACTGCAGGACGAAACTCACAAAGTACCTGTAGGCACAGGGAGGGTGTTAGGGGGACAGAGGGGGCACCCTTGCCCAGAATCATTCAGCCTCTCACAGGGCAGAGGCCAGACCAGGGGCTGCCTGGAAGAGGGGATAACCGAGCCTGGCCCGAAGCCGCTTGAATTCCAGGCTTGGCGTGGGAGACGGCGGGCGGGCGGGGGGTTCAGAAGAGTGAAGGGCGTGGGGAGCTGTCATCACAGAATCCGAGGAGGGGACTAAAGGTATGAAAACACGGGGAGCGGGGAGGCAGAGGGCAAGGGTACCTGATGTACGGTGTCACGTTTGGGACATGGAACTTAGCTCCAGCATCAAAGTGGGTTTCGTTTCGGGCAACCGGAGGGCAGATCCCCTGATACCTGGTTCTAGAAGAGGGGGGTGAAATTGTCTTAGCACCTGAGGGTCACACACAGGCTGACTTCACTTTCGCGGAACAGGCTGTGAAGCAGGCATGTCTACCCTGGGCATCCCTCCCTCCCTCATCCTGGCACATTGGGGAGAATTCTTGGAGGAGGGAGTTTGAGGCAGGAAAAAAGTAGAGTGGGCAGAGGGAGGAGGTGAAACACTGGCTCCCGGTGGCCCAGGAGGGTGGGCAGCGCCAGCTGGGGTTCGGCCCTTCCTGATCCCTCTTTGCTCACCGGAGATACCACCAGTCAAAGTTGTAGCGGGAAGGGGGGGTACTCTCACTAAAGACCCCCCAGCGCCACTGGTCCACCAAGTAGCCAAAGGGCAGGAAGGCAATTTTTTCCAGGGCCATCTTTAACAAGAAGTTGATGTCGCTTTCTGTTGGGAGATGAGGTGAGAAGGGAGCGCTGGAGTCAGAAGGGATCCAGCTAGGACAGGGTGGGGCTATGGGGGGTCGGGGGTGGGGTGGCGAGGCTGGGCTGATGCAGAGAAGGGAAGGCTGGCCTTGGGAGAGCGAACCCTCAGGAAGCACTGAGTTGAGACTCCGTGGGCTGTGAAGCTCCAGGGGATCCCCAAGCCTGCCTGACTGGGGGGCAATGAGGCAGAAACCAGAAGGGCAGATCTGAGCAGCGGGGTCCTGCTGTGGGGGTGAGTAGGTCCTCTCCACACCTGCATACCATGGTCATTGGTGACGCGGTCCAGCAGGCCAATTTTGTGCAGATGCGCGGGAGTGGACACGGAGAGCGCCAGCACGTCCCCGATGGCCTCGTGGAAGCCAGGGTTGGCGCCCTGCCGCAGGGACACCGGCTGGTCCTTGTACTGCAGGTAGTACTGCACGTGGCCCATCTCGTGGTGCACCGTGGCGAGCTGGTCCATAGTGACCCGCGTGCACTGCTTGATCCTGGGAGGGGAGAGGGTGAGCGTGACAGACAGAGCAGGGCAGGTACCAGCGCAGGGGGAGGCATAAATGACCTTTGACCTTTCCCAGACTATCCTGGGGCCTTCTCCCCTACCCCCAGTTACAGAGCTGATGGCCTGTTAGAGCTGCCCAGGGAAGGCGGCCTGTGGCAGGCCTGGAACAGACCCAGGTGTGGGGCCTGGGGGAGAGGACGCCGGGAACCGGTTTCTCCGTGCCCAGCTGCCGCCCTTCCTGGAACCAGGGCCTCCTGGCACATGTGCAGACCTGAAGTCTTTCCTGTTGTAGAAGTCCCAGGCGGAGGCGTGGCACACCACCTCGCGGCCATCTTTGGGTTTCTCCAGCATGGACTCTGCCCAAAACTCAGGAGGCATGGGCTCGAGCCCCAGGGAGGTGAAGAACTGCTCGGCCACCAGGAACATGGTTGTCGCATTCCAGCCCTGGTGGCAGGGTGGGGAGGGGGCATTTTAGGGGTCAGAGCCCAGTGTGGTTGTCCTTGGGGGGGTAGGTCTGGGGTCAGCTTCCTGCCAGGGAGGGTGTCTCTGCTCTGGGGCCCCCTTCTCAAAGGCAGGGTCCCTATGCACCACCTGGGATAAACAAAGGGACCTGGAGGGAGGGGTGGGGACCTCACTGAGGACAGAGCCTCCAACTGACCTCTGCCCCACACGCCAGGACCCAGCTGGCCCCTGTGGTCCATTCCTGGTCTCTCCCCAGGTCTGACTTCCTCTCATTATCCCCACCCTGGCCTGACCTCGGACTGACCTTCTGCACCATGGTGCTGGTGACGTCGAGATTGGGCTTGTCCGGGAACGGCACCACCATGTCGTAGATATTTTCCCAGCTCTGAGCCCACATGTTCCCTAGACAGAGGAGGGCAGGTCCAGGCAGCGTCCTGGGCCCCAAGGCATCCAGGGGGCACTCTAGGGCAGCCCCTGGTTGGCTGCCTGAGGCCAGGAATCTCACCCATGGGGCCCACCCACACTCCTCTGTGCTCCGAGCTCAGGGCTAGTGGAAGCCAACAATTAGCCAGGCGATGATGCTGGGGTCCTTTCTGACAGCTGGGGAGTCCCTGCCTTCCAGTCCTGAGACTTGCTCCCTAGGGGATAACCTAGGATGATTATTCCTCCCCTGCTGGGGCCGAGGTCTTTGGTGTGCTCCTAGCGCTCGTGCGTGCAGAAGGGAGCGGCACGGTGCTCTGACACGTGAGACCCAGGGACCGTCCCTGCGTGCAGCGAGGCCAGGTTCTTACCCAGTAGGTGAGCAGGGATCGGTCCCCTGAGGTTGATGTATCTGTCCCCGTAGCGGCGGTGCAGCGCCCGGCGGACATAGGCGTGGAGGTTCAGGTAGAGGGGCTCTAATTGTTTGTAGATACGCTCCAGGTCCTCCACAAAGGTGGGTGACTCATACCAGGAGCGCCAGTAGGCCCCTGTGTCTGTGAAGTCTAGTGGGGGGTGGGGGTGGGGTGCAGCTCAGGCCCAAGGCTCTGGCACCTCATCTCCTCACCACCCTGTGGCTGTTCTTATGGCTCGGGACCCACATAGCCACCAGCTGGCTGGACAGCGTGGCTGGGGGGGTTACAGCTCTGTAATTTCCTAAGTAGGGGGTGCTCCAAATCCAGCCAAATAGATCCCAGAAAGCACGAGAGGCAAAGCTGAGCACCCGGGCAGGGAGGAGCGCTGGGGTGGGGATGGCGGGGCGATGTGCAGGCAGGACAGCAGCCTGGGGAAGGCGCATGGGGCTCCAGCCCAGGCCTGCCCTGTACCCCCCCCCCGGCCCCAAGCCATAGGGCCTTGGCTAGTGTATGGCGCCATAGGAACAGCAGCTCTGCTGGCCTCGGGGAGAGACCGGCTGGGAAAGACCTTGCCAGCTGGGGAAGGGCACACTTACTGTCACTCCTGTAAGCCTCGTTGCTGAGGGCAGTGAATTGCTCATACAGCGGTTTCAGCGGGACCCCCACAGCATTATGCCACCCTTCCCAGGCGAACAGCTGCCGGGCGTAGCTTCGTGAGGAAGTCAGGATGTGGGTAAGGTCTGAGACACAGGGCGCAGGGGCAGGCAGGACATTCTGCATCAGAGTCGGCAGTGGCCTTCACCAGAGTCCCCACTCTGGGCCTCCCCAGCCCCACTAGCTTCTCAACATAGGATAGTCCCCTCGCCTCCCCAAAGGGGAACCACAAGCTGGCGAGGAGAGGGCTGGGAGCTATAAAAAGTAGGTGCCCAGGTAGGGCCCTTGTACCCAGGGAAATGATGACCTAGGATGGGTGGCACAAATTGGGCATCCAGCGTCGAAACCCAGTGAGACCCTTTTTGGGCCACTGCATGGAATGCGTGATCTCAAGGTGGCCTGATGGGTAGTGGGGGGGGGGTGTGGGGGAGAGGAGGACGCGTGAACAAAAGCCACAAGGGGTATTAGTCCCGTGGAGGGCTTGTAAGGGGAGAGAGGGTGCGAGGACCACAGAAGAGAAAACCAGGCAGCCAGGAGTGATGGTCAAGGCACCTGTTGGGTGGGGGGAGGGGCTGGAGGTTGGAGATTCTGGAAGTCAGTGTGCCAGGAGAAGCAGGGGCACGGGGGCATCTCACAGGCCAGGTGGAGGTCGATGACTTGGGCTTTTCCCACTCTCTCCACTGACTCCTCCCGCCATAAGAACCCGCCGCCCTGAGCGGAGCAGGTGATGGGGAGGGGCGGAAGCCCCAGGAGAGACAGCAGCCGCAGGGCGTACCTGGGTCCAGGGACCAGCAGGGGGCAGTCTTGTTGGGGAAGCAGACCTTGGCGGTGGAGTAGATTCTGTTCATGTTGCTTAGCAGAGAGTTGTACTGGGGAGAAAGCGTGGACAGCATGTCAGCGATGAACGCCCCGAGCTGGTCGCCCCCTCTGCTAGGAAGCCCAGGGAGGGGCTTGGCTTGGGCACGGTCACCCGCTGGTATGCGGGTCACTTCTGGTCACTAATTCCCCGTCCAGGGGCGGCAGCCTACGGAGGCGGAACAGGTATCCTGAGATTCCGGGGTGGGGGCTGGAGGCAGGTTCCAGTCCCCGCTGGGCTGCCACCTTGCAACCAGGGCAAATCCCGCTCAGCCTCTCTGGCGGCCTCCTCAGTGTTTCCCAGGCTTTCTAAGGAAGCCCAGAAACTAAACTGGCCAATGGAGAAATTTTGAAAAATCCCTGTTCCCTCTTGCATTTTGCTTTCTGCGCCGCCGCCACGCTTGCTTTAATACAAAGTGGCGTCTTGGAGGCCATCTCCGGGGAAAGCCGCGCTGCAGGAGCCAATCTATGCTCCCTCCCGCTTCCTCCACAGCCAGGGCAATGCAGATGGCCGGGCCCCCCTCCCCACCCCAACCCCGGTGTGGCACCGCCGCCTCCACCCCTCAGGCCCAGGGCCCACCTGCTGCCGCTTGCTCATGTCCAGGTTGGCAGGGCCCAGGATGCGCACCCCGCTGATGATCCTGCGCAGCGTGGGGTCGTTGAAGTTCTCCCAGACGCCGTCGTACAGCTCCTTGGCCTTCTTGCCCCAGGCCTCGGAGAACTCCTGGCTGAGCAGCGCGGCTTCCTCCTGCGGGCACCGGAGGGCACGGGAGGGATAGAGGGGAGGCTCTGGCTCTGGGGCCAGGGGAGGAAGCCCAAGGGCGCCCGGAGGCTGGGGCAGGAGGCAGCTCTCCGTGCCCCTGCTTCTGGGGCCAGGAACTGGGGGGCTCTGCGGGCGCACGGAGAAGAACCCGGGGCCGAGAGGCAGAGGGAGAAGAGGGTGAGCAGGCGGCGAGAGCGGTGACCCAAGTGACCCAACGGGCAAGTTCGGTCACGACCTCCCCCTGGGCTGGCTGCGGGATGCCCCTGAGCTCCTGCTCCCCCGGCACCCCGACTTCCAGAGTCTCCAACCTCCCGCCTCTCCTTAGGGTGGTCCCCGTGAGGCCCCCGCGGGCCCAGAGTCGCCCCCGGGCGCAGGCACGCGGGGACTCGGCCCGGGGAGCCGGCCTCGCGGGGCACCGTCCCGGCGGCTGCGGGCAGCTCCGCGGCGGGGGGCGGCTCCGGCGCGGGGCGGGGGGCGCGCGGGGGGGGGCGGCTCCGGCGCGGGGCGGGGGGCGCGCGGGGGGGGCGGCTCCGGCGCGGGGCGGGGGGCGCGCGGGGGGGGGCGGCTCCGGCGCGGGGCGGGGGGCGCGCGGGGGGCGGCTCCGGCGCGGGGCGGGGGGCGCGCGGGGGGCGGCTCCGGCGCGGGGCGGGGGGCGCGCGGGGGGGGGCGGCTCCGGCGCGGGGCGGGGGGGCGCGCGGGGGGGGCGGCTCCGGCGCGGGGCGGGGGGCGCGCGGGGGGCGGCTCCGGCGCGGGGCGGGGGGCGCGCGGGGGGGCGGCTCCGGCGCGGGGCGGGGGGCGCGCGGGGGGGGGCGGCTCCGGCGCGGGGCGGGGGGCGCGCGGGGGGGGGCGGCTCCGGCGCGGGGCGGGGGGCGCGCGGGGGGCGGCTCCGGCGCGGGGCGGGGGGCGCGCGGGGGGCGGCTCCGGCGCGGGGCGGGGGGCGCGGGGGGCGGCTCCGGCGCGGGGCGGGGGGCGCGCGGGGGGCGGCTCCGGCGCGGGGCGGGGGGCGCGCGGGGGGCGCGGCTCCGGCGCGGGGCGGGGGGCGGCTCCGGCGCGGGGCGGGGGGCGCGCGGGGGGGCGGCTCCGGGGCGGGGCGGGGGGCGCGCGGCGGCCCTGCCCCCCCCGGCGCCGGCCGCGGCTGCGATTGGCCGGCGGGCCGCCCCCCCGCGCCCACCTGGCGCCGCGCGTTCTCGGCGGTGATGTTGGTGTCGTGCGCCCAGCTGGCCGCGGTGCTCAGGAACAGCACCCGCTCGGCGCTGCTGTTGTAGCTGTCGGCGAAGCGCAGCGCGCCGGCCTCGTCGCCGGAGAAGTTCCCGGGCAGCAGGTCGGGGTGGAGCTGCGGGGCGGCGGGCGGCGGGCGCAGCAGCAGTGCCAGCAGCAGCGGCAGCAGCAGCGGCCCCGGCCCCGGCCCCCGGCGGCCGCTCGCGGTCCCCATGGCGCGCGGCGCTGTCCCTCCCGCGCGCGCCCGCCCTGCGGGTTATAAACCCCGCGGCCGCCGCCTCCCGACACACCCCCCCCCCCCCCCCCCCCCGCCCCCCGCCGCGCTTCCTCCGGCTCCAAAGTCCCCCGGGCCGCGCGGGCCTGGCCGGGCGCAGCGGGGCGGGGACCGAGGCTTCCCGGCCCGCCCAGGGCAGCGCGAGGGGGGCGAGGGGGGCTTGGTCAGCCTCTGGCCGAGGACGCTAGAAAGGGGGACCGTCTCCCGCCCCCGCCCGCGCCCCAGGCCGAGGGACCCGGCGCTCGGCTCCACACCTAAGCCCGCCCGCCGCGCCCGCTCCTCGCCCGCGCGCAGCCCCGGCGCAGCCCCGCCGCCTCGGGCGCTCGCTCTCCCGGCTGCAGCCCAGGCCTCCCTCCCGGGCCCCGAGGGACGCGGCGCGAGAGCCGTCGGCCGCGCCGCCCGAGCAGCGGGGGTTACAGACCCGTCACCCGCCCGGCGTCTTCGCGAGGCCTTGGGGGCAGGGGGTGTGGCCTGCGCCGGTGGGGGAGAGTTTGGGCTTGGCCGGCGCCTGCGGGAGGTGCTGGGGGTGCTGCGGAGATGCTGCGGGCCCGGGCGCACCTTGGGACTGGGTGGGAGCTGCCAGGAGGGGGGCTGTGCTGGGGAGGGGTCCGCGGAGGACAGGCTCGCTGGCACTACTGCCCCCTTCCCACGGGGAACCCAAGCTGTCCATGCGTCACGCAGAAGCAGCCCCCCAGATGGGCAGGTTTTGAGAGGCGCACAGATGAGCCTGGAGATGAGACAACCCCCAGATCCGACAGAAGAAGGTCTGACAGCAGTGAAGACTCAGACAGGGTGGCTGGCTTGCTCAAGTCACCTCAGGTCCCCACTTCCCGTGTCATCCACGTGTACCGCCAAGTGACAGGAGGGGGAGCAGAGTGGCATCTTCTGGAGGTGGTTGTGGAGGCTGCGGGTCCTCCCCTAATTCCTCAGCGCGAGGGTGTCTGTCCTCAGCCATGGGAGGACCTGATACCCCAGCAGACTCCCCAAAAAGGTGTGGGAGGGGACCGTGGAAGAAGCAGAGGCTGCGAGGGCACCAGTGATACCTGCCCAGGAGGCCCCACCCCATTCAGCTGCCCAGGGCCCCTGGGAGTCACTCAGGCTCCTGGATGGAATCTGCTCATGGGATGGTACCTGAGACGCCTGGCCTATGGAATGTGTCCAGGTTGTGACCCGAGTAACCCCATCGTGCTGGAGTTGTCCCACCTGGTACCCGGGAAAGGTGTGGGGGAAGATGCTGGCAGAGGTAGGAAGAGGAAGGTGGCTGTCCCGGCCCAGGGAGGAGGAGAGGCAGGGCATTGTTGAGGGGGAAAGGAGAGGCCAGCTGGGGGCCCCTGAGGCTTACCCTCACACCTGTGGACACTTCAGGGCTGGCTCAGTGGGTGCCTGTGATCAGCGTGGCCCCAGTGAGGGTGAGTGCCAGCAGGCGGGGGTGCAGTGGCTCTCCTATCACCACCGGGCTCTCCTTAGGATGGTCCTAGCAGCTTGGTTTTCCCGGCTTTGAGGGCATGGGCCTGCAAGGGGCACATGAGCTGTCTTTTCCACCAAAGCTGGGGCCTTTGAGAGTGATACCCCATTCAGGACCCGACGGAGGAGCCCCAAGACAGGCAGGATGGGCAGAGAGGAAACAGGCTTAGCTGATAACCAGGGAACCCTTCTCTGCTAGGAGGAAAGAAACCTTATTGAAAGCAAGGAGATGGGGAAGGCAGGATGGAGGCAGCTCTCAGGGGCCAGCCTTGCCTCTGAACAGCTGCTGAGAACTGTGTCCCATGGAGGAGGGGGTGGTCCTCTCTGCTGGTCGGGCCTCAGGTCTAACTGTGCACCGAGAGCGTGTCCACAGAATACCGGACTAGGGACTGCCTTGCACAGGGAGCAGCCTCTGCCTCTTTGAAAAACCATAAGAGCAAAGGCCAAACAGGGTTGGATATAATCTGAAACTAAAACATCCCCCGCTGCCCCACCCACAACCCCCCCTTACCAGGAGCAGACTGAGAGCTCCCAGGGAGGCACCACCCTGCTCCCCCCATGATCACACTTATACTGGCTTGTTGAACCGTACAGCTTGCCCACCACACAGTAAGATCCAGAAGGGCCAGAGTCGTGTTGGCCTTATTCTTTGTTTTTTTGTTTTCCCCCCCAGAGTTCAGCACAGTCCCTGGCACATTCAAAGAAGGGGGAACATGGGAGGTGGGAAGGCAGGCACATTCATAGTCACAGCCTCTTGCAAGAATAACATCCAAAAAGCCAAAACTTACTAATTTGGAATTTGCCATAATCCAGACATCACAACCTTGATCCCAGTGAGTGAAACTCTTTCACCCTTACTCAGGATGGAGAGGGATAGGAATAATATACCCAAGAAATGCAAATCAAAACCACAATGAGATACCACCTCATTCCAGTAAGAATGGCTGACATTAAAAAATCCGGAAACAACACATGCTGGAGCGGATGTGGAGATAGAGGAGCCTCTTACACTGCTGGTGGGAATGTAAACTGGTGCAGTCACTGTGGAACGCTGTGTGGCAGTTCCTCAGAACACTAAAAATGGACCTACTATATGATCCAGCGATTCCATTCCTAGGAATCTACGTAAAGGACACACAAAAACACTAATTCGAAAGGAAACCTGCACTCCTATGTTTATTGCAGCACTATTTACAGTAGGTAAAATATGGAAACAACCCAAAAGCTTCAAAATAGAAGAATGGATCAAAAAGTTGTGGCATGTTTATACAGCGGAATATTATTCAGCGATCAAAAAAGACAAATGCATGCCATTTGCGGCAGCATGGATAGAGCTGTAGCTGGAAGGAAATTTGCTAGCTGAAATTAGTCAGAAGGAAAAGGATAAATGCCGGCAGGTCTCACTTATATGTGGAATTTAGAGAAACCAAACAAAAGCTAGCAAGCTGATCACAGACCTGAGGCATACAGCAGGGAGGGGGGCGGGAAAGGGATGAACACAAGGGAATATGGTGATGGGTCACAGGTGATACGGTAGCAGGAGAATTGCGGGGACTATGATGCTGTAAGAGAAAATTTTAATGACTAATAATAAAAAATAATAATACACCTGATATTTATATTTGGAAACAACCCAAATGTCCATCAACAGATGCATGGAGAAACAAATGTAGCCTACAGGATTCATACAGTGGGATGTTATTCATACAATGGGTCAAATATTCAGAGGGAATATTAATACAAGCTACAACACAGAGGGACCCTAAAAACAAGCAGAGAGAGCGCAGCCGGCGACAAAATGCCACATATCGTGGGAAGTTGGTTGTGTGAAACGTCTAGAACAGGCACATCCATTGAAACAGAAAGTCGATTGGTGGTTTGAAGCAGCAGGGGAGAAGGAACGGGAATTTCTTTATGGGATGATGAAAATGGTCTGAATCTGTTGATAATAGTGTCAGTTGCACAAATCTGTCACGACTAAGAACTACGGAATTGTATGCTTTAAAAGGGGGGATTTTACACACGCAATTTGCAGCAACATGGATGGCGCTGGAAGGGATCATGCTCAGCGAAATAAGCCAGAAAGAAAAAGAAAAATACCGGATGGTCTCACTCATAGCAGGAATCTAGAAAACTTAAATAAGGGACCAGGAAAATGAATAACTATAAGAAAGTGAAAATCAAAATCAACAAAAAACTATGAACCAGAGACACTCTATGGGGGGTGGGGGGCAGGGGGGGGGTGGGGGAGGGATTGGGGTCAAAATAAGGGGGTTGCAATTGTATGGGGAATATAAAAATAAAATTTATTATTTAAAAAAAAATAAAAGGGGGGATCTTAGAGTAAATGGATTGTGTCTGAATAAAGCTGATATTTAAAAACATGCCCGAACGTTCACTGCTATCACTCTACCTTCATGAAATACCTCCTGACTATCGATTTTCAGAGGAGCTTTGCTGAACGCCCACCTACTCCGCTTTGCTCAGCCTCAACCTCCCCATTCCTTGAAGCCCCGCTCAAGGTCTGCCTCCGCCCATCCTATACACCCATCCTGCCTTCTCCAGGTGGACCCCAAAAGCATGGCATAGGAGAAATCCCCCTGGCTTAGGAGCAAGGAAAATCTGGACGACACCACAAGCCTGAGCGAAGTAACCTACTTGAGCCTCAGTTTCCCCCGTAAAGTGACTGTCACCATTTTTATCCAGCCTCTCATTAAGGATTGTGGGAAAATGACGTTGCCGCACTACACCAAGAGGTAATTAACATGATCAAAATCATCGACTAACATTACTTATATGCCAGGCACTGAGCTAAGAGAGAAACACAGGATTATCACCTTTAATGTAAAAATTGGGTGGAGAGACAATAAGCTCTCTGGAGCTAATGTTTATGGCTGGTGTAAACAGTAGGTGCTCAGGAGTTAGAGGCAGACAACGGTGCAGGCAGGAGGGGCCGGGCAAGGGAGTTTCCTGGGGGGAAGGCAGAGTTTAGAGAGTCAGAGAGGGCTAGGCCCCCTGCAAATAGCCTGAGACAAGTGTAGAAAGATGGAGCCCCAGATGCTTGGAGGCCAAGGTCAGGGCAGTTTGTTTAGACTCTAGACCCGCACCGTTCAGTGGAACCCCCTTGTAATGAAGGACATGTCTTTTCAATGGAAATAGAGAACCGATCTAAAAGTTTGTATTTTCTAGTATCTGCACTGAAAAAATTAAAAAGAAACATTCATTTAATAACCTTTCACTTAAACCATTATGTCCAAAATATTATCATTTCCACAGCTAATCCGTATAAAAATTTGTATTGCCTTTAAAGAGCTGGTGTGCATGTTACACCTCTCTGTTTGGATGCTACATTTTTCAACAGCTAGAGTGAAATTTAGTCCTACCAAAGCAATAAACTTGTGTTTAGTGGAATAAATAGCTACACAGCTTTCTGTTTTTAAATTAAGTAAAATGAAAATCCAGATGCATTGGCAACATTTCAGATGTTCAATGGCACATGTGACTGGACTCTATATTGGTCAGCCCAGCCCTAGGGTTAAGATTTTGGGGGGAGATGTCCAGGAATCGGGGAATGGGAAGACAGCTTCCAAATCAGCACCTCAACTCTTTCTGGAAGAATCCATCTGGGGTCTGAATTCTGATGGCAATGATGCTAAGATCCCTTTGCCCTGGAGGCTTCCTGGCTGTGCAGAATTCTTTAAGGCTCAAGTAGGCCGGTGGATTCCAGGGGGAATCCTTGACACCTAAGGGTCCTTGAAGTCGCTCTTGAGTCTGATAAACATTTCACAAGCTCAAACTAACTGAAATCGTGCGCTTCCCAGCAGCGTATCTACACCCCATCTGGTGCTCTTGGCTGACTCCAGCAGCTGAGTCAGGGGACACCACCCCGTCACAAACTTGCTGCTTTAATAACTCAACAAGAGGTGGCTGAGCCCCCAGTGCAGCCAGACTGTGCAAGCTGGGCACTCAACTCCTGGGGAGCTGACTCTGCTCCAAGTATCTGTGGGTGGCAGGAGACACAACAAACATGTGTCTGCGCAGGTGTGTGGGTGCTAATGCTTGGCTGAAAACTAAATGAAGCTGAGGAGGGTCGAATGATGGGAGGATACCCAGATGTCCGGGCTTGTGGTGTTGGGGAGGGCTCCGCAGGAGGGGCTCTGACCCATGAATAGCCGGAGGGGGTGGGGGAGGGGGTGGCCAGGATCATGGTGGTGGAGCAGAAGGATCCAGGAAGAGGCTAAACCAGGTGTAGCCAGCATGCTAGGACATGTTTACTCTTGCCAGACCGAGTAGGGACCAGGTTGCCCTCAGATGAGCATCCAGTGGAATTGTGAGGGTACTGGAGACAGGCTGGCACTTCGGTTAAGGTCTTCTTTCTATAAAATAAAATATCCAGTGTCTATAAAAAGACCGACACCCATAAGCCCAGTGCCCAACAACACTATCCTGTCCAGGTGAGTCCTGCCCGCCCCCTCCTGTCCCCTACCCCCACATGCACGGCCACTGCCCCCCCCGCCCCCTACCCCCGTATGCTGTTTATCATTCTCTTTTAAAGAGTAGTTTTGGTACTTTATACGGATCTCTATGTTTTGTTTTAAAGCTTTATGAAAACGATGGCACCTAATGTACCTCAGACAAATGAAAACACGTCTGTGCAAAGGCTTGCATGCAAAGTCATGTTATTCAATGCAGCCAAAAAATGGAAACCACCCAAATGCCCATCGACTGGTGAATGGATAAGCAAGATGTGGTCTATTCACACACTTGGCAATGAGATGAATGAAGTTTCTGGTACATGAACTCTCGAAACGCAATGCTAAGGGAAAGAAGCCAGACTCAGAAGCCCAAGGCTGGAGGATTCTATTCAAATGAAATGTCCAGGAAAGTCAAATCCACAAATGTAGAGCAGGGTTTGCCCTGGGCTGAGGATGGGAGTGGGGGGGGGGGTCACTAAAAATAGGCATGAAGGTTATTTTGGGGCGATACAACAGAAATTGGACAGTGTGATAGATACACAACTGCCTAAATAATCTAATAATCATGAAATTACCTCGTGCATGATAAAATGTACATTATACAGTCAACATGGAAATGTAAATTATACTTTGAGAAAAAGTTTTCTGCGAAAATAGCATACTAGCGTCTTGTGAGGTTTATTTTATCTCTGACAAAGGTGTTTCTCTATTGGTGGTGGTGTCTAGAGTGGTTTTATTTTCACAATTCTACAACGGCCTATCATCGCTCATGTGATTACACCACAGTCTATTTCTCCAATCTCTAATCCCATCACTGGACAGTTGAGTTACTTCTAGTGTTTTGCTCTTTTTAAAAAAAAAAATTTTTTTTTTAAAGATTTATTTATTTATGCATACAAGAGCTGGGGTACAGGCCAGAAGTGCCGGGGGTGAGAGGATCCACCAGAGACAGAGTGGGGAGCAGAACAGCAGATCTACTGAAATACACTGCTGAGGGGAGCAGCGGGCGATTCAGGAGAGGTCTGCTGTGCCATGTGGGTTGCTCCCTGGCCAGTGATAGAACTGGTGCTGCAGAGGCTGTGGATACCTTCACAGCGCTGCGCTCAATGGCCTGCGCCACCGAAGTTACTTATTTTTACCAAGGACACTTGTATAAGAGTGTCCCCTGCAAATTGTTTTAAAAGAGCAAAAAAATTTTATAAGAGCAAAAAACTTATATAAATGAATAATTTTTTCTTTTTTTTTTAAAGAATGGCATGTCAGGGCTTGTCTGTTGGATGTCCTTTTTCTCATTTTTTTTAGAAATTCATTTTTATTAAATTTTATGAAAGTCATATTCCCTTGAAAGACTGGAAGTGAAAACAAAAGCAAAACGGGTCCCTGCCACAGTCTGGAAATTGTTGCTTTAGGAACATCCTGGGAGTGTAATTGCTGGTCAAGGGCACGCAGATGCGCCAAGGGGTGCCTTTGTCAAACAGCTTTCTAAAAGTTAGGTTATGGGGCAAGAGTCTAAAATCTGTCCCTGGGTCAGAACCTCTCAAGCCAGTTTTAGGTCTGGCCATCTGCAGCCACAAATGCAAACAAAAGGACTGTGGGTGCAGCAAAGAGAGAAACTAAATGAACTACTTCAGCCAAAAGGTAAAGGATGAGGGAGGAGCTCTAGCTACCAACCCACAGTGCGAGGTGGACCTGCAGCTACAGGAGCCGGCAGGGTGGTGCAGAGGTCTGAGGTGGGGAGACGCCCCCCCCAACCTCCTGGGGGGTGGGGTGGCTGCTTTCCACGCAGCTCCAACAAAAAAGAGAAAGCAAGGTTGCTCATTTTTAGAGGAGACGCACAAGAATGGCCACTCAGCTCTCCGCCACCCCCCCCCACCCCGCCTGTTGCAACAGCCCCCCTGCTCAGGACTTCAGCGGCATAGCCCAGGCCTTGTCCCCTCCAGCTTGGGCGGTGCTGATGTCAGGGGTCAGAGTTCAGCCTTTCATCACATGAGGGTCTGGGGGTGCAAAGCTCCCCTGGCTCCAGCCGCCCCAACAGCTGTCCTGGTTCACCTTCCCGTGGCCATGCGAGAGCCTTTCCGTGTCTCTCCACGTTGTCACAGACTCTTCAGAGTGTCCAGTTTTAGAATTTGCGCCAATGTTATGTGTGTGACACATTTTCATCCCCTTGTTGTTAATGAGGTTGGGTGCTTTTCTTATGCTTATGGGAGATTTTGCTTCCTCTTCTGTGCTATGCCTTTGCTTCTTTTCCCCAATTTCCCCCTTTTTCTTGATTCATGAATTTTAAAAGATACAGATTCTGGATATTAGTCCCCTGTCCTTTAAATGTGCTACAGATAATCATTCCCAGCTGTGATCTTTGCTTGAATTTCCTTGGGGTATTTTTGATGGCAGAAGGCCTTAGAGTCATTGGACTTTTGTTTAAGGATTTATTTATTTATGCATTCAAGAACTGGGGTACAGGCCAGAGGTGTGGGGGGGTGAGAGGATTCGAGACAGAGTGGGGAGCAGAACAGGAGGATCTACTGAAATTACACTGCTGAGGGGAGCAGTGGGCGAGTCAGGAGAGGTCTGCTGCGCCATGTGGGTAGCTCCCTGGCCGGGGATTGAATTCCAGCTGTGGTGGCTGTGGACAGCTTCATAGTGCTGAGACTTAACCCCTTGCGCCACCAGGGAGGCCCAAGTCACTGGATTTTTATCCATTTTTTCCTTTGGGGGCTCATTCTTTGTAGATCATGAGTTTTTCCTGGTCAAAGCCCCTGAACTAACGAGTCCAAGAGAGGGGGCCCGGCCCTTTTGAATCTGCACACTCCTGCCTGCAGCCTCATCTCAGCCTCGCCTTACCCGGTCGATTGTCCCGGAGCTTATACTTTCACCTTTGGCCTTCCCCTTCCTTGTCTCCTGGCCTGACTTCCCTTACCTAAATGCAGAATATCTATGAAATTCAATTAACTGTTCGACTTAGCACATAATCCTACTGTGGTCTGCACCAAGGACCACGGCGTGAACCCTGCCCTACCCCTTCACCTAACAGTTTAGCTTTTCTCAGGGCCAGGGTGGCGGGTTGCTTAATACTTTGTGAAATATTTCTGCTCCCTCAGAGGATGCTGATAGCATCAGTGCCAGAAGCACTCCTGTGGAGCATTTGAAACTGAGAAGACAGAAGAGAGCAACTATTCCAGGAAGGTTACTGATAATTCTGTGAGAGAGGCGCCCCCCACCCCGCCCACTGCCTTCCCAGCCCCTCTGCCAGCCGTCCCTTCCTTACATTCCTTTCTTTTGTCTGATCTACAAAGAGTGAGCCCCCTTCCTTCACTGGACCTTCGAGGAGATGGTCTTAGAGATCTAACGTGGTGGCATGGCGTGTTAATAAAGGACTTCCTTTGTGGAAACAACCTCGTGGCTCAGAATGGGGCTGAACAAGAGCAACATGATCCAGTTAGGTTGATAACAAATTTCGGGGGCCCATCTGGGATGTTGTTCTGTTTGGGGTTCTGGAGCTTCCCTTGGGACTGTCTTTCCCTTAACTTTCACATCTCCTCTCAGCTCTTCCCCTGTTTCATGCCGACCACAAATTTAATTAGCAAGACGCAGACGCACATGCATGTATATGTGAATGTCAACCGTGCAAAGACGAGGCCCGTGGACCTCGGCCTCCTTCCAGCCTGCCGCCATCGCTCTCTGCCCTTGGGTGCTCAGGCCTCGACTCCCAGAAAGCGGGGGGAAGCCAGCTTGGCCATGGCTGTGGACAGCGACTGTTGCCTTCGCCCCCCAGGTCAGGAGCGTCTGAGTAATCTTTGGCTCACAGCTGTCCTGTCTCCTGTTGCCCAATCTGGCCTGGTCCTCATTAAAAATGTCTGCCGTCCACTCTCGCTTCCTTGCACATGTCTCCCGGGAGCGGGAAGCGCCGCCGCTGCACTGGCGCTGAGGGGCTCCTCACCAGGGCCGGGGGCAGCTCTGGCCACAGGCTGTTTAAACACGGCTGTTTAACAAGCAAGTCCCCAAGGGTGGATGGTCTGCGCCCCAGAGCCCTGGCTGGGGTGTCGCTTGGGCTCTGCCCCGAAAGGGGGGGGTTTAGGCGTTGATCAGGTCAGTTGCTGGAAGACTCACATTTCAAGCGGAAGAAACAAAGAAATTTTGACTCGTCAGCACTAGGAGATGAGCACAGGCTGGAAAGGCAGGCGAGGCTGCGGAGGCCCGGCCCCCTCCTCGGGAAGACTTCAGCTCAGGCAGCGACGCCACATTGGGGCCTGAGCGCCCCTCGGGGCGGGCAAACTCTGAAGGTCCCTGCTGGGTCTGAAAGGAGGCGGCAGGAAGGACCTGAGCAGGTGACCATGTCTTGCAAGGAACATGCCAGAAGCAGAAAGGAGAGAGGAGGGTGGGACGGTGGGGAGAGCTGGACCAAGCTTTGGCGGGCGCAGTGCCTTCACGGGGGGGGGGGGGGGGGGAGGCCAGGGCCTGAGAACCCGGCTCTCCTCGTTGCAGCTGCGCCTCCGGTGCTCTCCGCGGTGCTGCCATGAAACACTGTGACCCTTTTTTCTGCCTGCCTCCTGCCTCAGGTGCTGCACGACAGGACATCCACCCCAGAGAAGCTTCCGGGAGGCGTCCAGTACCCCCTCCCATCTCCAGGCGCGCTGTATTCAGTGAAGTCACCACGGTGCTCATCTCAGCCACTGCTGGGTCAGGGTGGGGCGGGCCAGGTGCGCACAGAGGACCAGGACCGGGGAGCAGCCCAACGTCGTCCTCGACCGGGGAAGGCGGGCCCCTAGGCTGCGGCCTTCTGAGAAACCAGACCTGGTATCTGCCCTGCTCCTGCTCCTGTCTCCATGTCACCAACACAAATGTCAAATGTCCCCCTCCCCCTGGTGCTCTGGGAGCCACGTGGGTGGAGCAGGCATCCGGGCGCTTGCTCTATCTCGGTTAATTGAAACTTCCTAAGCACCCTAAGATAACTCATGGGGAACGACTGATTCCTCTTTTCCAGGTAAGGAAACTGAGGCACACAAGCGGTCAGTATGTTGACTAAGATCACACACGAGGGGAGACCCAGTGCAAAGTCGAACAAGAGCCCCATACCTTCCAGAAAACTCCCTGCCTCAGCCTGTGCTCGGGAGACAAGAGTCACCTTGCTTGGAGTCAGGATGCTCCTCTTTTTTTTCTTTAAAGATTTATTTATTGGGCCTCCCCGGTGGCGCAGCAGTTGAGCGCTGGGTTGCGAAGCTGCCCGCGGCCTCTGCAGCGCCGGTTCGGTCCCCGGCTGCTCCCCGGCCACAGGAGGAGGGTCCCACATGGTGCGCAGACCTCTCCTGCCGCCCGCTGCTCCCTCAGCAGTGTACTTCGGTCCTTCTGCCTGCTCTGCTCCCCGCTCTGGCTCTGGTGAATTCTCTCACCCTCCCGCGCTTCTGACTGTACCCAGTGCTTGCATAAATAAATAAATAAATAAATCTTAAAAAAATAAAATAAAATTTATATGGAAAAGCAAAGGAACTAGAAAAACAAAAACAATTTTAAAAAGATTTATTTATTTATACAAGAACCGGGGTACAGTCAGAGGCGCAGGAGGGTGAGAGAATTCACCAGAGACAGAGTGGGGAGCAGAACAGGCAGACGGACCGAAGACACTGCAGAGGGGAGCAGTGGGTGAGGCAGGAGAGGTCTGCTGTGCCACGTGGGTAGCTCCCTGGCCGGGAATTGAACCTGTGCTGCAGAGGCTGCGGACGGCTTCACAGTGCTGTGTTCACCCCGCTGCGCCGCTGCGCCACTGGGGAGGCCCTTCCTCTTTATTTTCAATCCCAAATCTTAACCCTACTCCTGCTGATTTTGCTCCCAGGGGTGCCACCTGTCTCTTGCCATCTACCCCCTTCCTTGGGCAGCGAGCTCCTCCCCACCCCCCTCCCACTGCAATGTCAGACTCTCACTGGGCCCCTCCGCGCTCTCGCTGGGTCTCTCCCCTCAGGTCCAGTCTTACACAGATGTGAGACAAACGCTTACCCAGAAGCGGAATCTGCTCTTTCACTTAAAACCCTTTGGGCTCCTCACCTACAGGACAAGATCCACAGCGCTGGGTGGAGTCGTCCAAAGGGCCCCCAGGGGTGGCCTTGCCTGCTCCGTGTCCCTTGTCCCGCCCTCGGTGTCCTGCACGGGTCCCTCTGTCAGCGATTCCCGGAGGCAGGTCCTCTGCAGAGCCTGGTAAGGTCTTCCAGACTCAGCACTGAAGGCAGAGAAACAAGCGCGCGACACAGCTCTGGAGCCCTCGGGCACCCAGCTGCCAGGCGCCAGAGGCTTCTTATTCACAATGGCTTTTCTTCTAAGAATCCCGTCTACTTTTTTCTTGTGGTGGAAATGGCTCTTCTTTCATCCAAAGGCGGTGAGAGAAAATGATGAATTTTTCTCAATGGTGAATCTGTCTGTACCGGGCAAACGGAAAATTGTTTGCAACTCTTTTCAGATTCTATTTTGCTCAGACAATCCTTCAGGTGTGCCAGGCAGCTCCTGACCAGCCTCTGGCCCTTCCCTGCCATTCAGTCCTCCTGGCTTGAATGTCCCTCCACCTCCCAAGCTCAGTTGCCACCCATAGTCCCTCAAGGCCTGCTCTGCCTTTCGTCCCCCAAAGCACGTCCTGGCAGGATTTGACAAGCAGGACGACTACCGTTTGCACAGAATCTGTCTTCCACAGGGTGCTGGCAGCTGGGCCCTCGCCTATCTGCATTTCCGGGGACTGGTGCAGCCCATGCACTAGGCAGCTTTGCCAAAAACCTCACTAGAACAAATGAATTCCAGTCTCCCAGGTCTCCCCTGGCCTCAGTTGTCAGGCCAAGGCCGGCCAGGCCTCTGGGGGCCTCAGGGTCCAGCTGGGTGCCAGTGACCCTTCCCCAACTCCAAGCTTGGAGCTGGGGGACCTGAGTTCCTAAAGTGGCTCAGAAGCACTCCCGGGGCCCTACGTGTATCTGTGGTGTGTGTGTCTCATTGTCCCCCCAGAGGGGCCAGGGAGCGGGTGACACACCCACACTCTGAGGTGCTGGGTTATCATCTGCCTCCAGGAAGCCCCGGGAAGCTCAGGTCAGACAGGAAGGCAGATGGAGGGAATGAGGAGAGTGTGAGAGAGACGGAGAGAGGGGGGCAGGGAGAGGTGAAACAAGGCCTGCAGCGGTGTGGAGAAAGAAACCTGGGGACCCACGGTGTGGGAAGGACCCCCTGGAGTGGTGGTGGGGCCTGGAGCTGGGGGTCTGGCTAGCTGCTCTCGGGACTCAGGGAGGCTCCTCTGTAAGCCTCTAATTCAGTCTCCATCATGGGATGGAGGAAATTCATCTTCGGGGTTCACCCCTCACCTCCAGATGTTTTGGGGTTCACCCCTCACCTCCAGATGGGGTTCACCCCTCACCTCCCCTCACCCTTGACCTCCCTGGTGAGACCCTCTGGGTGCGAGGACCCCAAGGGGCTCTCCAGCCCCAGCAACATCCTGCTTCAGCCAACCTCCGGCTCCTTCTCGGAGGGCCCTGCAGGAAGCAAACTCCGGGGTGTCAGAGCCGTCAGAGGGGCCCTCGGGGAGAAAACACGATTGGCTCTCCCGTCACCAGGGAGTAGTTTGCTTTGTTTTAGGAGGCCCCTCTTTAAGCAAGGGTCAGGCTAAAGTCCCATGTTGAGGGGGAGGAGGCGTGGACTTCTGTGGCCGGCCAGGGGTCACCCCCTGGAGACAAGGGTGGGTGAGTCGGCAAATGTGCGTGGGAGATGAGACTCGACCCTTCATGCCAGTGGATCTTTGTCCGCTGGCAGGAAAGGCGCCAGGGGTTCCAGAGAACCCCCTGGGGGTGCCCGCGAGGAACCGCCACAGCGGGCCTGATTGTCTAGGGGGCGCCTGGGACTGGTCATGGCGAGTGACTGATGCTGGCATGGACACCCGGGCAAGTGGGATGCCGTGGGGGTGGGGGTGGCAGCGAAGAGAGCACTGGGCCGCTGGGGAGCTCAGGAGCCGGGTTCACGGGCGCGGGGCCATCATTTGCCCAGGCAAGCAGGTGCAGCCAGGACCGAGCCCTGGGCTCAAGTAAGCCCCAGGGATGCCTGGATTTGCCAGATGAAGAGAGGTCCAGGGGAGAGGAAAACGCCTCGAGACAGATGGAAGCACCCAGAGTGACTCCTGCGTGGACTTGACCTTGCCCCTCGAGCTGAGAAGGGCTCCTCACCTCACAATGGATACCGGGATGTTGCAAGGGATGACTTTCAGAGTTTCCAAGCAGTAGCCCTCCTTCCAGAAGCCTGAGGCCCTGGAACCTAACAACAGCCCTTTGGGGACTCTTTTGGGCCCTGGGACTTTGGCCAGCCCTGTGGGCGGATGGCCCTGGGATTCCCGCAGGAGCAGGCTCCCCGACTGCCCCCGCTGGCCACCGAGGGTCAACCCACATCCGGGACAATAGGGGTGATTCTCCCAGGCACCAGGCCACCTCTTAGCGTCTCCCACTGGTTGGAGGGATCAGAGTGTTGGCCTCTGGGAGGAGAAAGCACCTGAACTAAGGTCAAGGTGCCTTGGGATCTAATCTGCTCTAAACAAGGCCCAGCTGGTCTGATAGGCGCACTCCAGGGTGGAGGTGCTGGCCCAGGCCAAGAGAAGGCAAGGGGGTGGAGTGGGGAGGGAGCGCAGGGCCAAGCGTAACCTCTAACTCAGGACGAGGGTGCTGCTGACCTCGGATGACCTGGGGAGAGTCACGGCTACCCTTAGTGCTGATGGGGTCTCTGCCCCCTTCTTTCTGCTCCTCTGGGTTCGGCTGATGTCCTGGCCCGGGGCGGGGGGCGGGGGTTGCCACGAGTCCTGGGAAGCACTGCATGTGCCTTTAGCCACCTCCCACTCGGGCATCCTCGGGCTGGACCTTAGCTACCCTGCACTTGTGGGTCAGAGCAGTCACCACCATCTCCCTGACATGGCTTAGAATGGGGGTGTGTGTGGGGTGTGTGTGTGTGTGTGTGTGTGTGTGTGTGTGGGTGTGTAAGTTGGGGGCGGGGGAGTCAGAGCTGGAAGACCTTTAGAAGCGAAAATGAGAACGTGGAGCTTTCACAGGCTTTGAACAAAGTGCAGGAGCCCCAGCCCTAAAGTTTATGGTTGGTTTGTTATGAAGATTAGATGGTTATTAGCGCTCCCCTCCCCCACGGTTCTGCTGACACCATCCAAGGTTCTGGTCCCCTCACCCCAGGCCTTACATCCTTGCTCCTTTGACTCTCCAGCTTTCCACAATGTAGCATTTATATAGCAGGTCTTTTTAGTTTGTTGATCAACTGACTGACTGACTGACTCAGGGAGAAAAATAGGGAGGTAGGGATTGGGGACACAAAGTTCCTCATGATCTTCCTCTGGAGGGGTTAATGCTGGGACGAGGTTCAATGCCCCGGCCTTGGCTATAGCAGCAGTGACAGGCAAACCTTTTGGGAACCTGGTGGGACCCTGCTGATGTCTAGTGCCTGAGGGACATGGTCAGTTCAGACACAACTCCAGCTACAGGCCCACGGGCACTTCCTTGACCCCAGGAGTACCTGGTGGGGTTCTGGCCACCCATCTCACACCTTTGACCTCTGCTCTCTGCAATTACCTGCTCCACTGCTGCTTTCCTCTCCGCACGTGCAGCTCCTCTCTCCTCTGCCGGGCGAAGAGGCGCCTGAAGGAGGGCAGGGCAGAAAGAAGGTGGCTAAGCACATTCCTGCCTCAGGGCCTTTGCCCTGCCTTCCACTCCCTCGGCCTGGAATCACTTTCTCTAGATCTCCCCGTGGTCCGCACCACACCCCTCTCCTCAGCACGCCTGCCCGAGCACCCCTTGCTCCCTCCACCTGCTCTATGTTCCTTATCAAACCTGGAGCCACATGTAAATAGTTTTCTGCGTGTAGACACGTGTGTGGGTGCTGTACTCCCTCTTCGTCCCCCCTTACTGCTTTCTGCAGATTCACTCCCTGCGGGCAAGCACAGTCCACAACTGCGACCTGCAATAAAGTGCTATAAGGGCCTCCCTGGTGGCACAAGGGGATGAGCACAGGACTAGGAAGCTATGGGCAGCCTCTGCAGCACGAGCTCGATCCCGGCCAGGGAGCTACCCCCATGGCGCAGCAGACCTCTCCTGTCTCGCCCACTGCTCCCCTCAGCAGTGTTTCAGTCAGTCTGCCTGTTCTGTTCCCTGCTCTGTCTCTGGTGGATCCTCTCACCCCCCACACCTCTGGCCTGTACCCCAGTTCTTGTATGCATAAATAAATAAATCTGAAAAAAACAAGGTGCTGCAAGACCTGGGGAGAGCGACCACGTCCACATAACTTTTACTGTAGTATATTGTCATGTTTGTCTTCCATAATTAATTAATTAATGCTGTTTGTCTCTCACTGCGCCTGATTTCTGAGTTAAACTTCAGCATAGGCGGGAGTGCACGGGAAATACAGGGTGCATGTAGGCTCAGTGCTGTCTGAGGCGCCCCCTGGGCATCTTGGAAGGCACCCAAGATGTGCTGGGGGGAAACAACTGAATATGTTGTTAGTTTACTTTTAAATTTTCTGTCTCCCCCACCCCATGCCAGTCACGTGAAAGCAGGGGCCTAGTCTGTCTTGTTGACTACCTGCAAAGATGCCTGGCACAACGGGTGCCCGGTATTGCCGGAAGGAAGGAGGGCAGGGAGGGCGGGAGGGAGACAGGGCTTCCTCCTGACTCCTACCTCCCTAGAGGGCAGCAGAGAAACACCTTGGAGATGGGGAGGGCCACCCCTCTCTCTCCCACCTGGGTGCCTGGTGTAGCCAAGGCACCATCGGGGGTGGCCTTTGGCCTGACCTGGGATTCCCCATCCTTCCGCAGCGTTATTTTGGCTCGTGAGCGGGTTCCTCCTGCTTGTCTAAACCTTGTTAGTCAGCCCAGGACCCCGGCTCAGTCCAATCCCTTCACACTCTGGGGCGCCCAGGTGACTCACTGTTTTCATGGGGGTTCCAGAAACTTCCCTGCTTCGCCTGCCACCATGGCTGCTGTCCTGCTAGACGCTCCGGCTGCTCTTCTCTGGTCCCCAACACTGGCCCTGAAGTGAAAGGATTGTAGTTGCCGCTCAGACTCACCCAGGTAGCCGTGAACACTCAGCTTTTGGTGCAGATGTGTTGATTCTGGCCGGGGCCCAGATGCCCCAGGGGCATGCTGGTTAGGCCTCAGCCTTCTGCCACCCACTAATGTTCCCCAGTTGTTCCTTTGTCCAGGAACAAAATGCCCCCTCCCCAGCCCCCACTGCTGTCTCTTTGCCAGGTTAATCCCTGCTGGTTCTGTCACTCTGAGTCTATGTCCTGGAGGCTCCAGAAGGTTCCAGAAGACTTCCCTGGGCCTTCCCTCTTGGTCTTTCTGTGTGCTGTCTTGGCATCCTACTTTTCCCATTCCAGAACCCACACCTCCAGAGAAGGGGCAAAGATGGGAGTGGACTCAGGGGTTTAAGAGGCTCTCCACGGAGTCTACTTTGACCCCAAGTGACCATTCAGTCCCGAGAGGACAGGTCTGTGCCAGTAGCCCAGTGAGTGGCACATCAAAGGGACATGATAAAAACTTCTGTGAAGAGGAAATGAAGGCTCAGCCTCCCTGGTAGTGCAAGGGGTTAAGCACCATGCTGTGAAGCTATCTGCAGCCTCTGAGCATGAGTTCGATCCCCAGCTGGGGAGCTGCCCACATGGTGCAGCAGACCTCTCCTGTCTCGTCCGCTGCTCCCCTCAGCAGTGTATTTCAGTAGATCTGCTTCTTCTGGCCCCCAGTCAGTCTCTGGTGAATCCTCTCACCCCCTGCACTTCTGGCCTGCACCCCAGTTCTTGATGCAGAAATAAAAATAAATCTTAAAAAAAATAAAGAGGAAATGAAGGCTGTCTGGGGACCCCAAACATCTTATAATGCCTTGGCCTGGGGACCCCATATCCTCTGCCTTTTATTCCCTGCAGCCCTATATTAAGGCCTCTGCCTGAGGCCAGAGCTGAACAGGAGTTAACTGGCTATTTCAGCCTGGGGTTTGATGGGCGTGGGGAGGTGCTGCTGGGAGTGTGCAGAGGCCCCTCTCTGGTTCTTCCTTCCCACACAGAAGCAAGGGGAGAGCTGCCAGATAAAATACAGGACACCCCGCTGAATTTCAGATAAACGACGAATACATGCGAAGCATGTTACATGTTACATGTAATCTGTGGGACATACTTATGCCCCCAAGCCCCCACCTCCATTAAAATACAATTCAATTGGGTATCTTGGTTTTTTCCTTCTAACTCTGGTAACCCTCCAAGGGCAGATGAGATCAGCCCAGTGCCGGAGGCCTGAGGTCCTGTTTACGAGGTACATTCAGCTCACTGGTTTCCTCCTGCTCTGAAATGCTTTTTGCCAGATAATAGGGTGACGTCAAGCTGTGGCTTCCCAGAGTTGCCACCCGCAGGGTTAGCCCAGGTTTCCCCTCACATCTCAACTCCCTGACTCCAGCTGTTGGCCTGGATGGTCAGGGAAGCCTTTTCTGAAGGGTGGGGGGTGGGGGTAGCTGCCTTGAGATTAGCAGGAAGGAGACAAGTGGTGATGGGGAAAGACGCTCCAAAGGAGAGGTGGTGGGTGTGAACTTGGGGAGTCTGAGGAACGTAAGGCTAGTAGTGTCGCTTCATGGGTTTGGGAAGGGAGGGCGTTTGCCTGGAAACTCTTGAAGTCCTTGGTCCCCAAGAAGCCTGGGGATGCGTCCCTTGGCCCCGCCCTGGGGGGGCAGGGTAGATGTCTCTCTGGTTTCCAGGGAAGGCATCTCAGCAGGGGGTGGGGAGGGCTGGGAGGTGGTGGTAGGAGGGCCTTTCCCTTGGGGGGGGGTGGTTCTGGTCTTGGTCTCGGATCCAGGGCCCTGGCACAGCACGATTCTCTAAAATGGGTGGGCGGAGCCTGAGTGCTGAGAGCTAAGTTCCTGGGCGGCTGGCTGGTCTCCACCGAGGTGCTGCCTCTTCACTCAGAGCATCTCCACCCCCTTCCCATGTTAAGTAGACCCCAGAATGTGGCGGGGTAGGCTCTCCCTTCTAAAGGGAAAATGCTGCCACTCTGGGCTGCAGAGCCACGGTGGGGGTGACCCAAAGGGCGGCACCACCCTCAGAGGAAGTCTCTCTGGCTTGAAAAGGCTGACAGCCCTGCACCGGCAGCCCCAGGCGGGGCAAGGCTCTGGGCCCTACCTGTCCTGCTCCCCCCCCCCCCCCCCCCCCCCGTCCTCCCCCAGGGCAAGCGTCAGATCAAACAGTGGGACGCGGCCCTGTCCCACATTCAGCTCGCCAGGCGTTTGTTGCCTGTTGCACACCGAGGAAGCGGCTTCTTCATTGAACATGTCCGTTAACTCCCTCCAACTGGAAAGTTACCCCAACAAAATTTCTGTCTGTGGAGTTTAAATTTGGTCACTTGGAGGGTGTGGGCTGAACTGCGTACCCATGGCAAAGCACGCCCAGGGCAGTCTGGCACTCTTGGGTATTGCAGGGGAGCAATTTGCCACCCCAAACGTCTTTTGGGGGGAAAGCTTGATTTCAGGGTGGGGCTCTGAAAGCTGGCTTGAAGCGTGGAGAAGGCAAAGGTACCTTTGTTTTCCCTCGTGAGTGACCTGACCTCCTCGCTTCCCCCCCCCCCGCCCCCCCCCGTTCGGGTCTTAGTTGAACTCCGCAGTCATGCGGGCTGGGGACTCAGTCCCGCTGGGTGCCTCCTGTGTGCCCAGCCTTGCCAGGCATCTGACAGGAAAGGACCTTTTGTTCTGAGCTTGTAGGAAGTCTGAGCTGCACGAATCTACCCACAGCGTTTCCTGGAGAGGGGGCCTGGATGGGGTTGCTAGGGACCGGCCCCCAGTCTTGTTCTTGGTCCCCTCCTCCCAGGGACTGGGAGGGGAGCGGCTGCCAAGGCAAGATCTTTTTTTTTTTTTAAGATTTATTTATTTACTTATTTACACAAGTGCGGGAGGGTGAGAGAATTCACCAGAGCCAGAGCGGGGAGCAGAGCAGGCAGAAGGACCGAGGTACACTGCTGAGGGGAGCAGCGGGCAGACCCTCCTCCGGTGGCCGGGGATCGAACCGGCGCCGCGGAGGCTGCGGGCAGCTTCGCAACCCAGCGCCCAACCGCTGCGCCACCGGGGAGGCCCGGCAAGGTCTTTTCAGAAGTCCCCAGGCGGTTGTCCTCTGACCTGGGGCGGGGGAGACGTCACCTAGGCTATGTGTGTGTGTGGGGGGGGGGGCGGGATCAGGGGTTGGACTCGGAGAAGGGGGGAGTCCAGCCTTTCCATAAGTGGGGCTGGGGGCTGGGAACTGCAGCACGCCTGACACCTAGCGGCCCCCGGAGCAGGGGCCCTCGGGAGCGGAGCGCAGACCCGGGCAGGTGGGCCGGGCTCGCCTCCCCGCTGCACCCAGGCCGCGCCCGGCCCAGCGCCCGCGCGCCGCCCGTCCGGATCGCGGCTCCCCGGCTGGGCGCGCGGCCTGGGCCAGGAGAACCCGTCTTCCCCCCCCCACCCCCCGCGCGGGGCCCCGGACTCCCTCACGGTCCGGAACCCCGGGGCTCCCGGAGCCAGGCCGCGCTCCAGGCGGGTCCCGAAGGCCCGAGCTCCGAGCCGCCGGGCGGGCGGGGGTCGGGGCGGCCGCGGCTCTCGGCCCTGGGCGCCCCGGGATCCGAGCGCCGGGTCGTGTCGCGGGGGGCTCGGGGCCGCCCCGCGCTCCGCGTGACCCGCCGCGTCGCCCCGCGCCACCCGCCCGCCGCCGCCCGTCGCCATGGCGACCCCGAGCGCCGAGGCCCGCGCGGCCGGCGGAACCGGCTGAGCAGCGGGCGGCGCCGGGAGCGCGCGGGCGGGTCGGCGGCCGGCGCTGGGGGACGAGCTCCGGGCCCGGGACCTGGCCAGGTAGGAGGCCGCGGCCCGCGGGTGGGCCCGGACGGGGGGGGGCGGCCCAGGTGTGGGGGGCGGCCCAGGTGTAGGGGGGCGGGGGTCGGGGGGCCCCGCGGGCCTGGGTGCCAGGCTGGGGCGCGCCCGCGGCGGAGCAGGCCGGCCGCCCAGATCCGGCCGCGGGGCCGCCGGGCCTCACCTGCGGCTCCGGGACTCTCACCTGCCTCCAGCGCTCGGGGGCCGCCGAGCGAGGCCGGAGCTGACGAGGCTGGTCCTGCGCCTGCCGGGGCCGCGGCCGCCCGCGTCCCCCCGCGCCCCCCGCGCCCCCGCGCCCAGCGGCGGCGGAAGTGAGAGCAGAGCGGCAGGTGCGCCCGAGTTTACCTGCGGGCCGCGCGCGACTTGGCCTGTTCTAGAAGCGAGGCAGGTGGGATCAGCCTTCCGCACGGCAGGTGCTTTGAAACCTGAAGCCGAGGCTGCAAATTGCTTCCCGGTGGAGGCGCTTCCCGCCCCTTCCTTAGTCCTCCGGGCGGGTGGACGGCCAGGAGGGCCCTTCGCCTTCTCCCCTAGCGCCCGTAGCTTGTTGGCACGACAAGGAGCAGCTTCTCCCTGGGGCAACCCTGACTGGCCTGGTGGGCGCTGAGCTGAGGCCTGCGAGGAGCAGAACTGAGCTGCCTTTGACACCCTGACACCCACCGGAGCCTGCTCCTTCCTCCAGGGCGCGGAGAGGAGCCCCTGGGGCCGGAGTCCCAGGCATGTCCGCAGAGGCTGCCCCCTCCCAGTCTTCCTCCCTTCTGCCCGCCTCTCCTTGTCCTGCCCCGCAGCCTGGGGAGTTTCTGAGACTCATTAGATGAAGCCCCGTCCAGGATGCCTGGATTGATTCCTCTGCATTGATAGCAAATGGAAAGAAAAGCCCAACAGCAAACAAAGCATGGCCACTTCCTTGTAGCTTTCTTGATTTCCCTGTGCAACAGGATTGAGGAAGAAAAACACAGGCAATGCATAAATGCTAAGGTGAGACCCAAGGGAGAGAGGACTGTTACCACCCCACCCCCTGTTTGGGGGAGTCTTCAGGAGCTGGAGCACCCTGCTCTTCCTCACCCTCGCAGGGCAGGCTGAGCCGGGTGTCTGCTCACCCCAAGTGGCTCAGCAGCACTGGAAGGCAGTGGTGAAAGATGCCCCCCTCCCCCCGCCCCCTGAGCCAGGGGCTTCTGCCCAGTGAGGGACTGACGGTGGGTAGAAGGGAGTGTGGACTTACTAGAAGCCATGCTGTTTGCTGCCATCGGCTCTCCGCGTCCACCTCCTCCGGTGTCAACAGCTTCTGATGTGGGATGACGCCTCAGGGGCCATGAGGACCAGAATTTGTCAGACTATGGCTTGATCCAGGGTCTGCTGCGTGCAGCACGGGGCTGGGTGCTGGTACCTACTTACCCCACTGAAGCTTTGCTCCTGGCCATTAGGTGGATCTCAACATCCCCCCACCCTGTGGGTGAGGAAGCAGGAGCTGAGAGGGGACTTGCATTTTCCTGGAGCACAGGGTCCTAAACCGGGGGGCCAGCTTTGAAACCACATCCGTCTGATCAGGACTGCTGTGTGACTTTCCTGCTACCTCTGTGGCCCATTCTGCCGTAAAACAAAAAACAAACCAACAAACAAAAACTCCAAAGCTGCATTGGTATAAAGACACATATAATCCGGGCTGGATTCAAAATGAAAACAACTTCCTCCACTCGAAAAGTTAGTTTTTTCCTCCCGAAATGGAACGCTTTTGTGGGTCCTGCAAGTAATTGGATCCCTGGCACTAACCCCTTGTGTCTCAGAGAGAAAGGGGCTCGGAGTCTGTCTTCAAGCTCTGCCTTCCCCCTGAGGGCCACTTGCGTGTGGGGCAGTAAGACAGTGCCTAGCAGCGCAGTCCGCATTGTGCCTTCCTCCTCCTAGGACAGCAGGACAGCTGACGGGGCCCCTTCCTCTGCCCCCCCCCACTCCAGACAAGATCCGCCCCGCCCCCACCCAATCTTTCCTAACCCAATTAAACTGATGCCGTGGATGGGGAGGGCTGTGGCCTGGCAGGCTTCCTGCTTCCAGGTTGCAGGACCTTGTCTGGTCCCCCTAATGAGATTAGGCTGGTGGCCTTTTAGTGCGAAGCAGGGAGAGTGACGCTCGGCTCTCGCTCCCCATGTTCTGGCCCTGAGGGGAGCGCCTGGCCTGTTTGATTGCGCTAAGTGGAGTCTGATTGCAAACAGCTGTGTGTGGGAGGGGAGGCCAGGCCAACCTTCTAGAAGCTGTCAGAGATCCTTACCCTGATCTCTGACAGAGGAAGGAGGGTGGCCATTTAAGGGACCCCAAGGGGCACCCCCTACCCCACTTCCTTCCAAGACTTTGGTCTTCTGGGCCATGGAAACCTTTGGGGTGGGGAGTGGCTGCTGCTGCCAGGCTCACACTCTGCTCAGAACACTGGGCCAAGAACAGTAGTGCTCTGCTCTGGTGTGGGGCGCTGGGGATCGGGGGGTGCCGGGACAGTGAGGAAGGCGGGGTCAGAGTGTGTACTCGCCGGCCAGTCCAGTGGGAGGTGAGGGATATGACTCAAAGGCATTTGTTTGCTGGGGAGTGAGTCTCAGCTGATTTCAAGGTTCGCAAATGCAGACGTGGCTGTGAGTAGGTCATGTTCCAGCCGGGGCCTGGAGAGGTGTTCCTGCCTCCAGCAGCACCTGCACCAGAAGCCGCGCTGCTTGCGCGGAGCCTGCCAGTTTTGTTGAACTGAATAAGCAGCAGGAGGAAAGCCCAGAATCACTGATTTGTCTGTTTTGTAAATCTGGATTTTTCGCATTTTAATCTTCCGGATGCTGAGGTCGCTGGTAGGCAGGGCGCTGTCTGCCTGCTGTGAGGTTTCCTGTCTTCCCTCAAGCTGGGTCTGAGAATCACCTTTAATTTGGGAAGGGGCCTGGCGCCTCCACGGTGGCAAAGGTCGCCCTTCCTCCCTGATGCCTCGCCCCCAGGTTGTACGCATCGGGAGAGCTGTGTTTGGGCCGGTGGACTGGAGCATCCTGATGGGGCTAATTTGCCCTCTTGTCATCCTCTCTTTTGCCCACTGTCCCCTCCTGCTGCCCCTTCTTCCAGGAGAGCCCACCTGGGGCACCAGGGCTGCCGCTGTGCTGGGCTTCGTTCTGAAGGGTGAGGGGCCCTGCTTCAAAGCTGCTTCCTCCTCTGACTTCAGTGTTTGGAAAGCAAGCCAGCCAGCGCTGCCCTGGAGCCTGGGCGTGAGAAGGTGCACAGCTGTCACACCTCACGATAACGTACCCCCACGCAGCATCAGCATGCGAGGCAGGGGCAATCTTCAGTGTGGACGGTGGAAAGTTCTCATGGGGGCCTGCATTTAACCTGCGGTTTGGGTCCTTACTACCTTTTCTTAATCCGCATCTGCTCTGCAACCTGTCTGCAAGGCCCCTGAAGTCGGGGCCAAGTCTTACCTGTGTGGCCCCAGCATCTGGCCTGGTGTCTGGCATAGAGTAGGTGCTCAGTAAATACGCATCCATCACTGAGGTGCCAATCCCATTATGGCCACAGCGTAACCGCAAAGGTTGAAGGAGAGAAAGCAGGAAGTGCTGAGTACGGAGTAGGGGTCCGCTTGCTCCACATATTCTCGAGCCTCATCTCCACACTGCCACCCTGGGTGCAGTGCAGACAGCAAGGGGGCCCCGACTTCTCGGGGCGTTCAGTGCACTCGTGTTCCACGCAGCGCCGCGGGCCTCGGGCCTGGCCCTTGCTCTGTTCCCATCTGTGTGCCCTTTCTCAGCGCCCCCGGCAAGTCTCCATTTCTCAGCGGACACCGACTCAACCCAGTTCTGACACTGCCTGCCTGGAGAGAGCATCAGACCCGGCGATGCAGGCTTCAGTTCCCCAAGGCGCCCCAAGTCCAGGCTGTTCCCTGCGTTCTGCCCAGGGCTTCTCCTGACCCCCTCCTGCAGTTCAATTTCTCTGCTAGAGAAACTCACAGAATTCAGAGAAACGTTGACTTACTGGATTTATTGGTTCATTATTTGAAAATATAGCTCAGAAACAGCCAGATGGAAAAGGTGCTGTCCAGGGATAAGGTCTCCAGGGAACGGTGGAGCTTGGTCTCTAGCCCCAGGGGCCTCCCAAAGGTCAGGGAGGGTTCTGGAAGGTGCACAGCTCCAATCACTTGGTCGGTTCCCTTGGCAACCCCTTCTGGGTTACCTGGGATCCTGAACAGAGGCACATGGCTTGCTTTCCTCGTCGGGAGAGTCCCAGGGTTTTAGGAGCTCCCACCGGGACACCACCCCCAAGACCAAATATATATTTCTTGTTATTGTCGGGGCACAGGGGACATCCCCCCGCCCCTCCAGGTTCTTCTGAGGTGGGGCCCACAACAAATGAACACCAGACAGATCAGGAGGAGAAACAGGCGTATTAACACACTCGTGGAGATTCACACCAGTGTCAATTCTAAAGTCAATGCGCCCCATCCAGGGGTTACGTCCTGAGCTGAGGGGCTGGGGTGGCGAGGAGGGGGCGGGGAAGGGGCTGCGCGAGACAGGGGGAGGGCGGCTGCCCAGGGCAGACCTGGCCTCGGGGCGCTTGCCCGGCCTTGGGAGAGCGTCTCGCTTGCAAACGGTGCCTCTGAGAACACCCCACATCTAAGCAACCCCATTCCCGCACTCTCCCGAGGCCCCGGGGCCTCCGCCGGCCTTTGCGCCGCGGGCGCGTGACATGTGTCGGGGAAGGCCTCTCGGGGCAGCTCGGGGACAGCCTCTGGGGGAGCCGACCCCACACTGCGAATCGCAGTCACAGCCCGCGGAGCCCGACTCTGATCTCTGCTGTCTCCTGAGGAGAGGGACAGGCGCCCGCTGGGGGTGCGCACGGGGAGCTCGGGTTCCGGCCCCCCCCCCCCCGCCCCCCGGGCCCCCGCCTGTCCTTGGCGTCCCTGCCCGCACAGGCTGTGACGTTCCTCCCCAAGTCGGGGCTAATCGGATTCTGCCCGCGCCCCCGGCACTCTGGGGAGGAATCTAATAAAGGGGAGGACAGAGAACAGGCCACAGGGAGCCTCTTTCCTGGCAGAGTCGGGGCGGGGAGCAGATCTCCGAGGCAACCCAGGGAGTCGGACGCGGGTCCTGCCAGCCAGGGGCTGCAGGCAGAGGCACCCCCAGACGGAACACTGAGCGGAACACCCGCCCAGGCGAGTGAGCCCCAGGCCGGCCTTGGGGCTGCAGAGGAGGGGTGCGTCAGGGGTGGAGCAGACAGGTGGGGTGCGGGGAAGGGAGTCTCGGGGCATGCCTCACGCGTGGCACCGCGGGGGTGCGGTGGGGGAGCCATCAGAGGTGGGTGCTCAGAGCCAGGGAGCAGGAGAGGCCCCCCTGGATGGGCTGGCTCCGAGGAGCGCCTGGGGGCCGCCTTTGCCCTGGCAGGACTGGGATGTGGCCACGTATGAGGGGAACGGGGTGCGGGAGGGGAGGGTCACTTGGGGAGTTGGGTTGTCCCTGCCCCTGGCCGGCCGGCCGGATTGAAGAGGGCGGCCAGAAGCTCGTGCCCCGGCCGGGGGGTGGCGCGGAAGGGGGCGGGGGCGGGGGGTGGCCGGGAGCGGTGGCAGGAGGCTGGGAGCACCCAGGACGGGCAGCCCCGGGCCTGCTGGTGCCGCTGCCAGCGAGAAGGATCGGCTGGGTCCAGCCGGGAGGCCAGGAGAGGGCATGACCCGGGAGGCGCTGGGTTGGAAGGACCGGCCGGGGCCAGCCGGGAGGCCAGGAGAGGGCATGACCCGGGAGGCGCTGGGTTGGAAGTGCAGGGGGGTGTCTGGGAAGGGCTGGTAGTGGGCAGAAAGGAGGTTGGCGTTCAGGGGAGAGGACAAAACTGGCACTGAGCCTAGGCGCTCTCTGTGCCCAGGCGACAGGGAAGAGGCAAGAGTCTCAGAGGCTGGGGGTCGCCGTCTGCCCCGGCTTCTGGAAACAGGTGTCCCCACCTGCCACGGGGGTGTTTCTGGAAGATGCTGTGGCAGAACGTATCAAAAAGGACGCGGCTCCCGCCTCCTGGGCCGCTTCTCCTCTTAGGAGTTAGATGTGCCCAGCGGCGCGCCTAGCGCTGCTCATTTAGGGGCACCGGAAGCTGCCCGCACGGGGCTGGGGCTGGGTAAACTGGGGGTTGTCCAGATGCAGAAGCGAGCAGAGGTGCACGATCTGCCGCTAAGCTGAGAAAGCAGCTTGGAAACTGGGGTGAGCCTCTGCTCTGCAGCACCGCGGCTGTTCTACCCAGTTCTGGAAGAGAAGGCGGGAAGGCTGAGCACCAGAATGGGGACGACTTGTACATTGTTTCCACCCGGGTGCACTGAGGTTCGGCAGGGAGTGTGAGTGACTCACACCCCCCCACGTTTTTTAACGGCGGGGTTGCCCACGGTGGTCAGCCGAGCCAGAGACGCCCCGGGCCCGCGGAGAGAGGCCGGGCTGCTGAAACGGGCCACTGGGGGCAGCGGGCTTGGCGCGGGAGGGACCCCGCAGCCCGCCCCTCGGCCCGCTCGTGCAGCGTGCTCTGCTGATGCCAATGTGCCCCGCAGCCGGCGGGCAGTGCTCCCTGGGGGCCCGGGGCCCGGTGTCCAGCTCCCTCTCCTCCACCCGCTGCCTCTCCCGCTGGGCGTGGGACGGGGCAGGGCCCCGGAGAACCAGCAGGCTGGGCAGCGAGGGCTGGCATGAGGGCCCTGCAGAATGTGGAGGGGCAGGCCACTGGGCAGGAGGCCACGAGGCCCCCACGGGCTTCCCGCCCCTCAAGCTGCCCCCCTCTTACCTGCGTGGCACCTGCCGCACTGGCTCCCCGGACGGCTGGGTCAAGGGACACAGCTGTCCCCGGGGCCGGGCCTGGGGGAGGGGTGTGGGCCACCCACGCACCTGTCCCCCTGTCCTGTCGGGGCCGCGGGGGGGGGTGCGCAGGGGTCTTCTCTGAGTAAGGTGGAGCCTGCTCTCGGGCTGGGCCAGGCCCTTGGGGTGCACAGGACTCATCTCCAGCTTTGAGCCCAAAAGCCAGGCAGGGGCCAGCGTGCCCTCTCACCCAGGCGTACTTCGGGACCCATCCGGAGGAGAAACGTGCCAAAGCCTGCACCGTGGAGCAGTCGGCTCGCCAACCACCTTGATCCACACCGGGCAGCCCGGCCTCCCTCGGAGAGCGGAGCAGAGCACGGCCCGGCCCTCTGCTCGCGTCAGGACCCGCGGCCCTTCCCCGGCAGCCCCTGCTCGCCCGGTGCTGGGCTCTCGGCCCCGCGTGGGCTGTGTCCCGGGAGGCTGCCTCCCCGCTGCCGGCGGGGCCTGGAGGTGGGCAGGCGAGCCCTGCTCTCGCCCCTGGCTGTGCTCTGACGCCCCGTCTCCCCCGCAGCATGGAGAGCCCGGCCGGGGGAGCGCCTGCGCCCCGCGCGCTGCCTTACTACGTGGCCCTCTCCCAGCTGCTGGGCCTGACCGCGGTGGCCACGACGGGCGCTTGGCTGGGTCTGTACCGAGGCGGCATCGCCTGGGAGAGCGCCCTGCAGTTCAACGTGCATCCGCTCTGCATGGTCATCGGCCTGATCTTCCTGCAGGGGGACGGTGAGTCCCGCCCGCGTGCCGGGGGCTGCTCCCCCTGAGAGCTGACCTCTCACCCCTGAGGTCTCTTCGGTCAGACCAGGCTCACACCCAGACATCAGACAGGAAGTCAGCTGAGAGCCTGGGGACATGGGTCGGACTCAGCCCCTCCCCCCCTTCCCAGCTCCCACCTCTGTGCCCCGGACAGAGCACATCCGAGGGGCGGGTGCTTCCTGGAGTGGAGGCTTTCTCTGCAGGAAGCGGGGCGTGGGGGTGCGGGGCCTGGCAGAACCCCAGCGTCTTTCTCCGGCTCTGGGTGGGAGCAGGACTGGGTGGCCTCTGCTCTGTATGGACCTGCTTGTTCTTCCCAGAGGTGGTCCTGGGGAGGGGGAGGGTCCTGGCCTCCTCCCGGCCCCCTGGCCCACCTCACCCAGCCGAGGGGGATCAGCCTGGGATCACAAGGTTCTGCTTTCGGCACCAGGGGTTTCCCGGGAGCCTGCTTGCTGGAAGCACTGTTTGATCAGGCTTCCGCGCTGGACAGTTTGAGGGCTGTCACAGCTAAAAGGTGAACGCAGAAACGGGACTCCACGGTGTGACTGCACGGTGACCCAAAACACAGCCTGGAGCGCCTGACAAGAAGGTGGGGGGGTATGGGGTGTCCTCTGTGAAGGACCCCAATGGGGTCCCTGGATCTCGTCTCCTCCTCCACTTCCTGTGGGGGCCTTAACCAGACCGCCTGTCCAGCCGGGTGTGCCTCCTTGCTGCGGGGGCAGGAAGGCCTCGCGCTTGGGCAGGGCTCCCCCACACCCTGTCTCTCTCCCCGCCAGCACTGCTGGTTTACCGCGTCTTCAGGAACGAGACCAAACGCACCTCCAAAGTCCTGCACGGGGCGCTGCACGTCCTGGCGCTCGTCCTCGCGCTGGTGGGTGAGTGCGGGGCTCCCCCCAAATCGGGCTCCGGAAGCGCCGCGCCTGGAGGCCAGACCCGCAGCTCAGAATGGCCCCAGGCCCCGGGGTCTGCTCCCCCTTCCAGGCGTCCTGGGCAGGGCTGGGGCGGGGGCCGGGGGCGGGACTGGCACTCACGCGCGCCCGCCCGCCAGGCCTGGTGGCGGTGTTCGACTACCACGGGAGGCAGCGCTACGCCGACCTGTACAGCCTGCACAGCTGGTGCGGCCTCCTCGTCTGCGGCCTCTACTTCGCGCAGGTGAGCCCCGCGCCGAGAGATGGGGGCCAAAGCGGAGTCGGCGCGGAGGGGCCGTTTTCCAGGGTGTGCTCGAAGGCGGGAGCTGCTTCCTCTGTCCATGCCGCCCTCGGGCTCTGAAGGGAAACTGGCGAAAGGCGGGATCTGCAGGCCTGCGGCCCTGGACCCCCAAGGCTGACGCCCGCGTTTGGCCTGAGGCCTGGCCCCGGGCGCGGGGGGACAGCTGAGCCCGGGCCCCCCGGGCGGGAACGGGGGTCTCCGCCGGGGCTGGCCCTCGGCGCGGGGGCGGCGGGACGGGGTGGCCGGCCCCAGGCCTGGAGGGGCCGCCGCCCCTGGCCGGCTCCGCCGCAGCCGCGCTCCTGCTCCGCCTAGTGGCTCCTGGGCTTCGGCTTCTTCCTGTTCCCCGGAGCTTCGTTCTCCCTGCGGAGCCGCTACCGCCCGCAGCACGTCTTCTGCGGCGCCGCCATCTTCCTGCTCGCGGTGGGCACCGCCCTGCTGGGCCTGCAGGAGGCGCTGCTCTTCAAGCTCGGGTGAGCGCCCCGGCGGCTCTGGGCCCCCCCGGGCGGCGGCGGCGGGCGCGGGGCCGGGCCGCAGCGTCTCCGCGGGGCGGGCGCGAGGGCCTTGGGCCTCCGGGCCCCCAGGTGACCCCCTCCCCCGCCCCCGCAGGGCCAAGTACCGCGCGCTGGAGCCCGAGGGCGTCCTGGGCGGCGCGCTGGGCCTGCTGCTGGCCGGCTTCGGCGCCGCCGTGCTCTACATCCTGACCCGCGCCGGCTGGCGGCGGCCGCCCCGCGAGGAGGAGCAGGCGCTGTCCATGGACTTCAAGACGCTGACGGAGGGCGGCGGCCCCGGCTCCCAGTGAGGCGGCGGGCCCGGCCGCGCGGCCGCCTCGGTCCTGGGGCTCCGAGGGTGTCTTCCCCACCCGCCCGCGGCCCGAGGGTCAGCGGCTCCAGCGCGGGCTCCGACGGGGCGGCCGCCTCCCCGGGCGCTGGTCCCGGCGCGGGGCTTGCGCCTCTGCTCCCCGCTCCTCGCTGGGCGCTGGAGTCAGTGATGCAGCCCCCGCGCCTGTCGCCCCTGCACCCCGACTGGACTGTCCTGGTCATTAAAAGCGCAGGTGCCCCCCCCCCAGGCCGCGATCCCGGGGCCGAGTGGGCTGTGGGAGGAACCGGGCCTCGCGGGCGGCCCCACAAAGCCGCGACCCGCCCGGCGGCGCCCCGGATTCGAGCCAGGACACGCGCGGGCTGGAGCCACGTGGCAGTGGCGCCAGCGACACGACGTGTGAAATATGTGGGTGTGCAGAGCGGGGGTTCCCAGGACGGAGGGGCCGGGCGGGGAGCCCCCGGGAGCTGCTTTTTGGCCCAGGGCGCGCTGAGCCCGCCCTGTCCTTAACCCCCTAGCCCCGGACGGCGTGGCTGGGAGAGGCGCAGGCGCCGCGGGCGGCCGGGGAGCGGGGAGCGTCCCCGGAGCGGCTGCTCTGGCCGGGTCACCTCAGCGCTCCTGGGGGCCCCTGCCAGCCCGCCCGCTGCCCCGCCCGGCCCCGGCGGCGCACGCCTGTCTCTGTCACGAACAGCCGCCCCTGCCGCCCCTGCCGCCCCTGCCGGGAGGGCGGGTGCCGCGGCCCAGGGAGCCTCGCCCTCTCGCCCTCTCGCCCTCTCGCCCTCGCCCGCCCGCGCTCGGTCTTGCGCTGAGGCCGCGGCGGGCAGAGGCCTCTCCCCCGCCTCCCGCCCGGGGCCGTGGCTGAGTCACTGTTGGGCTTCGGCCTGGAGGAACAGAGTCAGGACGCGGATCTCGGCTCCTCGGCTGCCGGGGTTCTCGGCGTCCCTGTCTGCCGGGCGGGGCACACGCCGGGGCGAGGCGCACGCGGCTCCCTTCCCGAAGAGAGGAATAAATTTCCGAATCTGATGCCCGTTCTCGTGGCTGCCGTCGCGCGCGCAGGCCGCCTTCCGAGGGCCGGGCCTCCCCCGCGCTCACGTTTCTAACCATCGGATCCTGCCCGGGCGATGCCGGGCCGCCTCTCAGAGCAGACGGCGCCGCTCCCGGCTCGGGCCCGGGGCGTGGTGACCGCGGGCAGCCGGGGCTGCGCTCCCTGGGCAGGGCCTGCGGATCCGTGTTGACGCGCGGGAGGCCCCGCCTGCGACAAGCCGCCCGGACAGTCGAGCGGCTCCCTGGCCACACGCCAGACGGGAGGGGAGCTTGAGCTTGGAGTGAGAGTCTGTGAGGGCGCGTGGCCCGCGGCCGTGTGCCCGGGATGTGGCCGCGGCCGGCTCCGAGCCGCGCGCTGTGCTGCTGGCGGCCCGGCTGACCCAGCAAGCTCCCCAGCAGGCCTGTCGCCCGCCGCCGTCTTTCCCTGGCAGGAAGCGGCGGGTTGAGCTGTCAGACACAGGGACCTGGTTCTCCCGGGCCCGGAGCACTGAAGGCAGCCCGGGGTGGGGGTGGGGGGTGCGGGAGGTACAGTGACTCATGATGCCAGGCGCAGGCTCCCAACTGGCCCGGTGCCCGTCCTCTTGCCACCGCGGGGACGCGCTCCCACGAAGTCAGAGAAAGCCTCCCCGGCCAGACAGCAGCCTGCGGGGGGAGCTGGAGGACATGGGTGAGGCCCTGGCAAGCTGGTCCCCCCACCTTCACCCCCCAAGCTGGCCTCCGCCCAGTTGGGGGCTGGCTCTCCATGCTAGTGTGCCCGCCCCCTCCAGGCGGAGTCTCTGGGGTCTGTGTGCGTGACTATTCAGATGACCCCTCTGCGGGGGCGGTGCCTCCCTCCCCTGCTGGGAAGGACCTCACCGTCTCCGGAGGCTCGGAAGCCCTGGAGGTCTCACGTTATTCCTTTTGGCCTTGGCACGGGGTTATTTCTCCAAAGCTTCCTTTGCTGACTGTGCCTGTGCGCCTCCTGGTGTCCTCCGGGTGCTGGCTGGCGAGGAAGGGGGGGCGCGCCAGGAGGAGAAGCCTTCTGGGAAGATCTGACTCATCAGCACCCCCCCTTTGCCTCTGTGACTTGACACTCAGACATCCAGGACCTGCCTCCTCGCTGGAAGACAGGCACAGCATCCTCGTCAGGGGTGGTGAGAGGAGAGGACGGCGTGAACTCGGGATCCAGCATCTGGGAAGTCATCACGGGCCTCTCGAGACGGCGGCCGTTAGCGTGGACTCCAGCGCCACCGTCTGAGGCCCCGTCCCAGGCCTCCATCCAGGGCCTCCCCACGCCCCACGCCTGTCAGGAATGGCCCCTCCTGCGCCTGCAGGCGGAGGAGTCGGTCTCCGGGTGTCTCCAAGCTCCTCCATTCCTAAAGCTGAGGGAGGATGAGGGCCTCTTGCCCCCCAGTCTCTGCCTACCCCGCGCAGCCCACGGAAGGGGGGCCTGGCTTTCCGCGCGTTCAGGCCGGGCGGCCGGCTCCAGAGCTGCGCGAGGCACCGGCTCGGGACTGGAAATGACACGGGACGACGCGCCGATTTGGGGCCTCTGAGAATCCAGACGCCGTTGGGCTCTGCTCCGGGTGGCTTTTCCCGGGGCCAGGGCAAATTCCACTGAACTGGCTTCCCTTCCCCGTTCTCCCAGGGCCCCGGGCGCCCTGGAAAAGCTGGGTGTTGTGGCAACCACTTGTCCTCTTGATTTTCGATGAAATAACCGAGCAACCCAGGAGTGGTTTTTAGGCCGAGCACGCGGCTCCCTCCAGAGTCCGGTCCTCGCCCCTTTGAAGGCAGTTCTGGAGCCCGGCTGAGGGCCGCTGGCCCGCCCGCTCTCCTGCGTCCCGGCCCTGGCCCCGGGGACGAGGAGGAAGGGGTTACACGGCGGGGCCGGCCGTGCAGCAGCCCAGTGTCGAGGCCGTGGTCTCCTTCCGTCTCTGACGCAGCCCAGGTAGCCGCTGGGCAGGAAAGGCGCAGGACTCACGCTGGCCGGTTTCCAAAACAAGGCGTCGTGTCTCCCAGCGCGTTTCGGGACACCCGCGCCCTCTCCATTCCAGCGCCGGGGTCTAGCTCTATGGCCAGCTTGCTTGCTTGCTTTCTTTCTTTCTAAAGATTTATTTACTTTATACAAGAACCAGGGTACAGGCCTGATGTGCGGGAGGGTGAGAGGATTCACCAGAGACAGAGCGGGGAACAGAACAGACAGACTGATGAAATACACTGCTGAGGGGAGCAGCGGGGAGACAGGAGGGGTCTGCAGCGCCATGTGGGACCCTCGCCGGCCGGCCGGGATCGAACTGGCGCTGCAGAGGCCGTGGACAGCTTCGCAGCCCAGCGCTCAACCACCTGCACCACCAGGGAGGTCCGGCTTCTGCTATTTTACACGACGAGCTCGGTGCACCCCTGGAGCAAACCTCCCCCACGAAGGCAGCTGGCCCCGGCTGACAGGTGCCTGGCCGCTGCCCGCTCAGGTGCCTTCAGAGGCCCCAGCCCGGAGAAGGTGCTCGGCGACTTCACAGGGGGCCGTCAACCCGCAGGGCCGACTCCAGTGACCCGCGCAGGCCAACCGCGTCATGAGGATTTGGCCTTCACCTTCACCTGCCTGGGCAGCCCCGGGGAGGCTTCCTCAGCGCCGCGGCCTGATGAGGGCCAGCTCCCCAGGGCCACTGTCGCGGAAGGAGAAAGCAGACACCGCCATGTTTTTCTAAGTGTTACCCATTTATAAATAAGTACATTTGCTTTCATACATACAGTTCATTGTACAGATGGTGCTCTGTATACATGGGCAGGAAAATGCATTCATTGAACTTTTCACATCTATCTCACACAGCTCACATGTACAGACAATAAAACTGCTCAAGCAAGTACAGCAAAGGAGAATGTCTTTCCTTATACACAGGGGCTACCGCCTCTGCTGCGTGGGGGCCGTCCCCACTGGCGAGTCACAACCGTGTGGTGTTCAATAGATCGGGGTAGAGGACAAACATGCACTTGAGGATACACTGTACAGAGTCCTTTACATCTGAGTATAGAAAACCTAAAGGAAAACTAAGTGCATTAAAGCTTTTTCCAGCAAGTGTCTTGAAAGGACAGCAAAGAGGAAGAATCAAAATCATATTAGTACAAATCACTCTTGAATTGTAGACTGTACACGTCTGTACTAATTAAAATCATCTTGGGTTTGGAGGAGACAGAACAGAGACAGAGATGCTGGGGTAGATGGAAAGGAGGCCACACCTGAGAGTGGCACCTGCCCTGAGCCTGACGAGGAACTGGCCCCACTCCGCAGGAATCAGCCAAAGGACAAAAAAAAAGAAAGGACAGAAACAGGAAAGAAACCGGAACAGGAAGTGTTGCCGCCACGAGTGACCTGTGAGTGCAGCAGGCCTGGGCCGGCAGGACTGTTTTCCCCAGAAAGTTGGAACACAATAAGGCAGGTACATTCAAGTACTGAATTCCCAGAATCGACTGTCTGTCTGGTCCTGGGGATCGAGGGGATGGAGTTGAGTCCCCCTAACCGGCTGTTCCGGTCAGTGATTGGCAAAAGAAAAATCCAGCAACGAGCGCTACGAAAGCACATCAGCTAGGCCCCTTCCCTTCCAGAGTAGGTGTGTCTGCAAAAATGAGAGCCACGCTGGCCTGCGCCTCCAGGCACCCAGCCAGGCCCCGACAGGCCAGCTCGGTGCAGCTATCAGTCAGCAGGAAGGAATGAGATGATGCGGGTGAGGAAACAGGAAAGTAACGCTTGATTTTTGGTGTCCAATTAGGCGTTCATTTGGTACTGACTTTCAAAGCTCTGGCCGTGGCCAACACGTGGCCACAAGCATCTGAGGGTGGTTCAGCTGCTGTGAGGCATTGGACACCGAAATGCAGGTTACCAACACTTCAGCCCTTGAGTGGTCTGTTAGAAAAGGAGTGATGAAGACCCAGTGATTGTTCAAGTAGCTCTGCACAGTGGCCCCACCAGCCCCATTGTGCTTGTGTCCAGGCCCCCAGCCAGCCACCTTTTCTCGGAAGCAGCCAGAGCTGAGTTCAAGGCATTGCATGGTGAAGGTTTCCATGACACGTCTTTGTAGGTAGCTCTTACCCCTAAGCCCTTGGTTCATTGTTGTTAGTCATGGTAGATGGTCAGTCTGGAGTTTCCCGAGGAAAAGGAGAGAAGGCCACACCACACCTCCCCATGCCTGGTGGGGCAGCGGCGGCAGCAGGCTGCCTGTGCGCGCGGGCGTCCGGAGGAGCGGGCAGCCCAGGACAGGCAGGCGGGGCGGGCACATCTTGCCCCCTGGGGGAGCCTGTTCCATTTTGTGGCAAAGATTCAGGGAGCAACGGGTTTTGTCCAAGGCATTTCTGCAGTAGAAAAATAGCTGTCTTTGACTCAAACCACCCACCTGTGACCCCTCTGGAGTAATAAAAGCCGGAGGCGAAGAGGAGCTGAAAGGGGCTGCTCCCGGGCAGGAAGGGGGTTTTCCACCTCCCCGCATCCACCAGCGCAAGGGAGTCCGAGTCAACCTCCCAGCCTCCGCCCAAGGTCCAAAGAGCTGCTCTTGCCACAACTGGCACAGACGCGTGAAGACACTTCCCAGGCCTTTGTTCCCCACCCCGGAACCCTCTGAGCCCATGGGCCTGCCCGCTGCCCTGGAAGAGACTCCTCCAGAGGAGACGCTGCCATTCTGTGCCCCCCGCCAAGCCTGGTGCAGAGCCACAGTGACACCTAGTGGTGAAACATGGTGAAGCAAGGGGACGTCCGGGTAACCCACCGTGTGATGACTAAAGTCTAAGGAAAATACTCACGGATATCAAGTTAGATGCGGATTAGTTTTTCTATTGGGTAGTCTCTGGAGTATAAAAATACCAATATTTAGAGAGGGATTCATAAACTACTATACAATATAAGGACGGCGAATACCTTTACTAAGCTGTCTGTTTACAATAATTTAGGAAAATGTTTAATAATCCAGGCTTTACTAAATTAGCAAACTTGCATCTCTGGACAACGACCTGGGGTACTGTACATGATTCTAATTAGTGGAATCTTCCTGAGCCTTCGCGTTTAAGCCAAACACTAAGAAGAGGGCGCGTGGGGGGAGCAGAAGGGCTCGTGCGCTGTCACCGCGGGGTGTGACAGCGCAGCTCGGACGAGACGCAACAGCAGACACAAAATGGCCTCCATTTTGTCCTTGCCAAATTCTCATTTTACACAGGTTTTCCCTTTACGTTGTAAATAAACATTAATTTTTAATTGTTAATGTGTGCCTTACTGATCCAGTAAATAAAGTAACCATGTCTCAGGAGTCCCTAAGAAAATTGCTGGAAAAGCACTTTAAAATCACTGCAAAGATTTTTTTTTTGTATTTAAAAACTCTTAATCGTTTTGATGCTTATATACAACAGTTATTTCTTGTGCTATAAATGTTGTGATCCACTGCTTGATTTCTTTTTTTTTCCTTGAAAAATACACTAAAAGACAAGAGCGGTTTTGCTATTTTCTAATGAAGACATTACTCACACTTAAATATCCAGTATTTATCAGTTACAAATTCAAACAGTAAAGTGCACCCATTTATAGACATGACATGATGGGAACCCATCACTGCAAGAATTCTGGGTGAGCGGCACATACGACTGGGCGAGAAACCCCCAAGCTGAGGCTTGTCACCACCGCGACTGCGTTCCGGGGTGATGTGAATTGGGAGGGAGCCCCCACCTGAAGCCAGACCCTATTCAGCAAGTGTTGCTGGGCAGGGGCATCTCTAAGGTACAGTACTAAGATCATCTCGTGGCAGTGAAGTAGCCAAACAGGGCACAGGCAGTCTGCTTACCAGGAAAACCTCGGTCTCCTGTCCCCCAAAAGTCCAGTTGGCATTTTCTAGGCAAAAACTGGCACCCTGCAGTGAGGTTCACGTGCTCCTACACTGGCCATAAAGGAAGTGCATTCTGACTACTGACAGCGGTTCTGCCCAATAGCTCGCACCTTAAATCCTGGGTTCGTCCTGGAGAACGGAGAGGCCCGGGAAGAAGGGGTGCATCTGCACAACCACAGGACCAGCTCACCCACCCAGACGGGGTGCGGGTGGTGGGCATGGTGTTGCGCACACGGGCACTTTGCTAACAGACACTGAGCAATGCCTCAAAATGTAGCAGCGACTCCTCAGTGAGAGGCGGTTAAAGGGGATGAGGTGCCAAGAACCGGGCCGACACCTGGACCAGGAGGAGCTGGGGGGCTGCTGGGCTCCTGGCCTGGGCTGATGGGACAGCTGCATGTTTCATCTTTGTGAGGAGAGAAGGGGGGGCGGGGAGGGGGAGAGGACACGGACAGCCCTGGCCCGGGGCAGGAGACAGCCCTGAGGCATCAGAGTAGAAAGAGCCTGGGGCCCGAGTCAGGACCGCTGTTTGCATCCAGCCAGAGACCAGCCTGATCCGTCCGGGCCGGCGGGCGGGGGCCCATCCAGTTTCTGATCTCACCTCCCCTCGCCGAGTGACACTTTCAGGGGACACGTACTGTTACAAACAGGTCTGGTCACATCTGGACTCTCACTCAGGAAGCTGCGCTTCCTGTCGCCCTTTACCAACAAGCGCAGAATGATTCCTAGCAACAGAGAACCCGTTCCCTTTTGTTTAGTTTTCGTTGTTTATCTTGTTAAATTTTACGAGCTGATGTGCGTCAGTGCCAGGCCTGTGCTAAGGCTTTGGTCTCAGTGATCTTGGCGTCCAACTCGTGCTGGCCTGGGTCACTGGTCACTCACACACCGGACAGGACAGCCAAGGACCACTGGGCGGGGAGGGCGTGTGGGGGGCACGGTCTACCTCAGGGGCGCTCACCAGGCCTGGGAGGGGTCTTTCTTCACCCTGAAACCCCTCTGCAGTGTCTGCTTTCCAAATACCACTCCCCAAACACTCCTGTCTAGAGAAGGAAAAGAGGAAACAACCCAATAATAATAAAGAAACTATTGATCTTGAAACGGATTTAGGCGACACTGGGCAGGGAACGCGCCAGGCCTGGTGTGGACTCTGGGCTGCACCCTGGGTCTCAAAAGAACCAGTCCCCGCACTGCCATCCGGGTGTGAAAGAGAGGGCCAGCGGCCCACAGTCTGGCTGCAGGTGAAGACCCTACCGTGATTATTGCACCAGTCGATCTTCAAGAAGTTTGCTGTTTTGTGGAACAGGATACTCGGTGATAGAGCAGGACCTAAGAAAGCAGACTTCTGCAAGACCAAGATTTTCTACAGCCTTTCCTCAGAATCCAGAACAGTCTTTCTTTTGGTCTCTCTCTCTCTCTCCATATATTTATATATCCCCTCCCCCACCTATGGAAAATCAGCAGCTTTTCATGGTTATTGTCTAAAAACCTAAAGAAAGACTCTCACTGAATGTTTAAGAACACCCACGATTCCCATCCATAGTTTCCTTGGCTGACTGAACTCTTGAAAGGGTTGGTTGTTTTCTGTATGTCTCTTGGAAAGATCAATGTCATGACATTTCAAATAATTATATATTTTTTTCCTTCCAATTTAGCGGACTGATTTCTCCTCTTTCCCCTTGATACCCCCCGAGGGAGACCAGCAACGCTCGCAATGGACATCCTGGCCCCGCTGGCCAGGGAACTGGCGGTCCAGGGGAGGGGCCGTGGCACGAGAACGTGCTGGGGCTGGCGATCTGGGTAACACTGGGGCAGAATGCAAAGGCAAAGGGGCATCACACTCTTCCTACAGTTCCTAGAAGAAAATGAACAAGAACATCTTATTTTTGTAAAAAAGGAGAAAGACAGTTACACAACAAGAACATCAGTGAAAGCGATTGTCTCCTGGAAACAGCTGACCAGAGTGTCTGATCTCCCTGGGTTAGAGCTCAGGGCGCGACAACCTCCTCGTTGGCGTCTGGAGAGGGGGAGCACGTGGCTGGGGCACAGACGAGAGAGACTGAAGTCCTGGCGCGCTGAGGCCAGCTTCCCGGTGGGCTGCATGCAAAGGGTTTCAGCATGTGGGCGGCCACCTCTGAACACCACACAGAAACTACATGAGAAATGAAGCCGGAGAACTACCTCGGATGTGGAAACCAAGCCTGAAAATGTGCAGTGATAACATACGGGTCTCACTCCAACAGATGTCTTTTAAACATTAGACTCCACAAATGGTCTCTTTGGTTTGATAGGGGATGTCTGCCCTTGTCGAGAGTCCCGGGACAGCTGCCGGTACAGGTTGTCCTGGTATGCCTGAGCCACAGGGAGGGTCCGAGCCACCTTCACGTCGGGGTAGGAGGAGGCCTGGCTGACTCGCTCCAGGAGGTCTCCGCGGGACCCGTTAGCCAGCATCCCATGGGGGCTGTAATAATCGTCCTCCAGCAAATGGCCGTTCTGTGCATTGTTGGTTTTGTTATAAAAGGCAATGTTGCTGATGGAGGATGGCGGGCTGAAGGACTCGGGTGGAGGCAGGTTGCCTGGAGACGTGGGGCTGAGCACGGTGTCCACGGATGACACTGCCCAGGTCCGATTCTGCTGGTGAAGGTGGGGGTACTGCTGAGTCCGGGCTGTCTTATCTATGATCCCCATGAATGGTGTGGTCCTGGATCGGGTGGGCTCACTGGGGTAACCTCCCTGAGTGGGAGACACTGGCGATAGCTCGTCACATGACCTATCATACGCCGGTTTTAGGGGGATCTCCATTTGCTGAATGGAGGAAGACGGCCGGAAGGTAGGCGTTAGGCTGGAGGTGGATGAGATGCTATTGCTGGATGGCGAGAAGCGAAGGCCTACACTCTGGGAGTGCAGCAGCGGCCGCGGGGTGGGGGGGTGGGGTTTGATGTCATTAGGGTTGACACTGATAGGTCTTCTGATCAAGTGTGACACATCAGGGGACCCCAGTTGGCTGGAGGAACGCTCCAGATCTAGTTTTGAGTGACAGACTGGGTAATAGGACGCAGACTGGCTCCGCCCGATCTGTGGCGTCTGGCTGTACCTCATGCCACCTCGATAGGCTGAGGACGGCCGCTGGGGCAGGTCCTCCTTGGTCAGCCCTCCATGCTGACAGATGGCGCCCGCGCTCAGGCTGGCCTGGACGTGCTGCACAGGTCTCGCATCCCCCACGATCCCCCCAATGGACCCTTGATAAACCAAGCGGCTCTGACTGACTCCCATGTCTCCCTGTGAAGGCTGGTACTTACTGGCCATTGAATGGGCTACCTGGCCATAGGCCCCTGTGGAGATGACGGTGCTCGAGTGGACGGCTGCGCTGGGCTGGTTGCTCCTCACGATCTGGGCCTTGGCAGGCTGCAGCCTCAGCCCTTGCTGGGGAACCGCCACAGGAAGCTGAGGCATCTGGTAGGGCCGCTGGGCCATTTTAGATAATGGAGACTTTGGTCTGCCAGGAAGCTGACTAACATTTGTTTCTTGCTGATAGCGCACCGGTGAGCCAGACTGGGACCTGTAGACACTCATGCTTTCTGCTGGGGGGCTGGCCCGGTACTGAGGGCCTCTGCGGAGCGGGGAGGGAGGAGGACTCGGGTATTCCTTGCCCTGCCCGCCCACGGGAGGGGGGCTGAAGCGGTAAGACCCGCCCTGATGAGCTGGGGAAGTATGTGGAGGGCTAGGCCGGTAATGAGAGTTCTGGTGAGTTGGAGAGAGAGCAGGTGAGGTGGACTGATAGCCTTGTCTAGTGGGAGACCCTACAGAACTACCAGACCGGAAGTCAAACACCTGATGAGAGCCGAGCGGTGAGCCGGAGATGTAGGCCGCGTCCCGGTGGGCTGGGGAGGAGGGCGGGCTCTGGATGATGGGGAGCCCCTGGGTGGGCCGCGCCTCTGTCTGGAGGCCAATGGAAACGTTTTCCACATCCTGTTCCAGGTATTCCTCTTCGAATATATCCTGCACAGCGTACAGCTCTTCGTGCTGGGGTTCGGGCTCGGTTTCTTCGGGTAACTGTGGCTGGGGTGGTGGTGGCGGTGGCGGCGGCTGCTGTGGCTGCTGCATCTGTCTACACTCCTCCTCCACTCTCATCAGGAGCCGCTGGATCTCACGGTTGTTTGGACACAGCTTGATGGCCTCGTTCAGGTCCTCCAAGGCTGCTGCAAACTGTCTGCTTGACAAAATGTAAACACAGGAACTGAAGTTATTCTGAAGCCACAGGAATCACCAAGAGCTGAGAACACGGTCGCTACTTGGGGGAACTTGTGGCAGCAGCGGTAGGAGAAGGGGCTTTCGTTTGACTTGAAAGGAAGGAAACAGGTAGGCTGTCATTCTAGAAGAGTCCAGAATGATCCCCTGGCCCATTCAGCCTCCATCTTCCTTCTGGCCTCTCTGGGATTAGTGGAGAAACGCTCCCACTGTGTCAGTCCCACTGGCCCTTCAGGAAGATTCTGAGTGCCCAAAGGCACACCAGGCCGTACCAGGCTGTGCGAGGGGTGGGTGGGGTTGTCATTTACAGGGTCACTGTCAATTAGCTTAGGAATAAAACGGTAACTACAATCTTTTAAAATCTTGCTGATTCAGAATTTTTTTATGCTCTCGATTTTTTGGCTCCAGATTTCAAGCCTGTTCCACCCTAGGCGGGAACCCTGGCCGCTGCGCTTTCTGCCCCTTGCCCCTCGGCGCCGCTGCTCCTCCCTGGCTACAGAGCTGGGTGGGCGTTAGGCTTGCTGACGAGGCAACTCTGACTATACCTGACAAGGGGGGACAAGAACTGCCAGACACCCCCTTTCTATTAATACTGCCTGGAAAGAGGGTGATGGGCCTGTGGGGAAGGAATGACGCAGGGGGAAGAGAATGTGACGGTGAAGCTGCAGGAACTTTGCTCCCCCAGCGTGTTAAGACTGGCACTGCTGTCGCGGTCACCACCAGGCTGGACGTGGGCTTGACTTTCAGGACCGTTCGCCCAGGTCACAGCAGGGAGCCCGAAGTAGCAGAGTTTGGGAGTGGGTGGGGCGCTGGGCAGGAGGCACTGATGGCGACAGGTCATCCCAAGATCACTGACGACTGGTTCTAGGTCTTTCTGGAGCCTTTCCTGCCCACTGCTAAGCCACTGTGAGGGACGAAGGACGCAGGTTTCCTTGGGTCCTCTCACCCCTCGCAGCAGAGCCGCTGACTGTCCAGGAGTGTGTGGTGTAGTGGGGGTGGGGGTGCAGGGGAGAAGGAGGTGTGATGCCACCAGACTTGAGCAGAGCCCCAGAAGGAAGACCAAATAATCCAGGGGATCCCCAAATGCCACAGGAAAAGAAAGAGGAGCCTGTGATGAGTGACCCACCTTACTTTCCCACTTAAAGGGTTAGAGGATGTTTTCTTGAGTGACCCCTTGTTAAGTCACTGATGTCTCGCTGCACTATTATAGGCTTTGGGGGTCACCAAGTGACTGAGATGCGGCAGAGGCTTCTCGGGGCCACTCTCCAAGGAAAAGGCATTTTTCTCCACAGCCCGCAAGATGAGGCACCACGGGCAGGGGCTGTGCTATGGGACGGCCCTGAGGTGCACCCCAAGGCCCCAAGCGTCCTCAGGGACAGACATGCCTGGACACAGGTGCCAGGGCGGCCTTACCGCCTCGGCCAGATTTCCAGAAGGGAGCCTCTTGCTTTCACCCTCTCTCTCTCTCCTCACCTGCTGCTGCGCTTTGCCCTTGCTCTCGCATAGTAAGCTTCGTAAGATTTCGGTTTCAGCTCCAGGGCCTTAGTAGCGAATTCCTCCGCCATTCCAAAGTCCTGCCATCACAATAGGTGTGCAAGTGAGTCATTGCAGAGACAGGGAAAGAGACAACTTGGGAATAAAACAGATTGCACGCAATTTGACATTTGTGGGTGGGACACCTGGATTCTCGATGTGCCTGGCAGGCACTGGCCACGCAGCCTAGACTCAGTCACTCTGCCCTGCTCCTGTGCAGCCCTGCAGCTGCTCGCAGGAACCTGTCTGTCCTCAAGTATGGAAGCACTTCACATCTGCACTCTCGCCGCCCTTCCAACAAAGTCCTTTTTAGCCCAGAAGATACAAGTCCACCCCGTGAGGCTCCTGAAGCTGGAAGCCTATACCTGGTTATACCCGCATGTGAGGCGCACACACCCACACCTCACGTGGCCCCTCACCCTACCTCCTGTTCCTTGGTTACCGGGGACTGGCTGGAGTGGGTGTGTCACACAGATGCGGGTTCAGTTCCCTGGTCTGCTTTGTAATCCCCCAGGGTGTGGGGTCCGTTCCTCATCCATACCTACCTCACAGGTAGGATCAAGCATGATGGGCATTTGAAAGCCCCATACACAGTGCCTGCACACAGTAGGTGCTCAATAAATGGTAGTTTCCTTTCTATTTCAGAGGCTTCTCTGGCCTGTTCCTTCTTTTGACTGGCTCCTTACTTAGGAAATGCATCAAAGTAAAGCAGGAGAGGCCCGGCTGTGCCTGGGGTCTGTGCTGTGCCTCATCTCTTGATCCTGGAGGCTCCGAGGATCACGGCCTCATCTACCCTTGCTCTGAGGAGCCAAGGAGCCGAGACCCATGGAATAAAGCCGCAGCTGGAAGATGCCCTCCGTACTGTGTGAGTAAAGGACAGGTCTCTCCCCTCTTTAATGTCAAAGCCACAGCACAGTAGCTTCTGCAGACACTTGTGATTCCTAAGGCAGAAAACCAGGCCTTGGGCAGGACAAAGGCTCTGGGTACAGGCAGTCATTTAAAAAGTAAAAGTTAACAGGTGATTTTCTACCAAAGAAGATGGGCCTGCAGGTTTAGTGTTAGCCATGGCAGGTGAGGGCCTATTAATTGTTTCTGAACCGTATGGGGGTAGACAGTGCTGCACCTTACAGGGATCATCTTCTATTCTGCTCTTTCCAATTTTACCCTTAAGCTTTCTTTTGGGACACTCATTATTTCTGGGAAGATCAGAGCTCCGCAGGTTGCCAGCAGCTTCTGAGCTGTTTCATTCTCACCAACTGGGCTAGAAGAGGCCCTTGGTATTACTGCTTCTGTTTCACATAAGACCCTCACTGCTTCCCTGAGGCACCCTCCCCTTCCTGGGGATATCTACTACGTCTCCTTGACACCATGGCACCCCTGTCTCATGGGGCCGTGACTGTGTTCCCTGAGACAGGGCTCTTCCCACTGTCAGGATTTAGATGGATGACAGGAAGGCTAGACACACAAACAACCTTCCTGGATGGAGGGCAGGGCGCTGCCAGCGAGGCGGGTCTTGTGTCTGCATAGCTGAGTGCTCTACCGGTCAGCATTCCTGCCTGGCTTGAGTGATTTCTATCTCCGAGGGGCTGAGAGACCTCAGGTTGGTGAATAGCAGACTCCTGACATATAGTTAGCTTTTTGGGGGGTTCCAGGCCCAGGAGGGTCTGCGTGTCAAGGGAGCAGTGGCATCTGCAAGGCAGGCAAGAAGGACTAAGGACTGCTTGGGAAATAATAAAGAAGCAGGAAGGATTCAAAGATTCCCTCTGCTACAAGAAGGGACATGGCATGGCGGAATAAAAAGATGAAGAAGAAGGGAAATGTTCAAGATCAGCCTTAGAAATTATACCTTGAAGTCCATGATCCTGACCTCTCTTTCTAGTCCTTCCTTAAATAACTAGGGGGTCTGCTAGAAAGGAAGGGAATGACTAAAATCCACATGCAATTGCAGCTCCTATTCCAGGGACCACTGTCCTCACATCTCCCCAGAGATGCGGGCTGGGGAGATGCTGGCATTTCAGTGGGAATTATGAAAACCCGGAACGCTACAGAGTGCCCATGGCATTCGATTTTTTTATGGTTTAAAATACAGATTGTACTCAGACTTGATTTCTTTCAAATTGCAAATGTCAGTGCTCTGTGAAGGACAACCAAGTTCCAAATGGGGCAGAGAATAATTTTGGAGGCCTGGGAAGAGCCAGTGAGTGGCGTGGATGTGACCTTCCAGGACTGCAGAGAGAAGATGGGGTGAGAAGGACTTACGTTCATTTTCCTGCGACATCGAGAGAGGTTGAGGAGGAGAGACACCTTTAGTTCCCGGAAGGTTTTCAAGTCCTCACCAAACCCTTCTCTAGGGAACTTCTTCAGAGCGTACTGGTACCGCTGGGCAGCCTCCTTCACTTTCCCTTTCTAATGGGGGTACAAGACGGCGAAACACACGGTTGGTCTGCTGAGCAAGTCTGGCCCCCACCCCCTTCCACCTCCTCTCAGCAACTCCTAGGAAGGGTCAGCTCCCCAATACCAGCCTCGGGATCAGGTGTGGCCTAGGCAGTGACAGCGATAGGGCCCAGCATGTGCTACAGGAAACTGACCCGGCAAAGGGCAAGGTTAAAATGACACTGAAGCCACAAGCTGGAGACACAAAGCCCATCAAAAGGCCTGGGCCCAGCTTCCCAAGGGAATCCCTGAGGAACCGACTCTGCTCATGTCAAAGGAACTTTTCCTTGACCTGATCTCCAAGGGACCCCTATCATTGCCTCATTCCAAGCACTCCGAAGTTATTAGTTTCCTTCTTTTCATCTGGAAAAGTCTTTTCGTGTTTGACGTTCCACCTTGCCAGTCCTCTAGGCCATTGTCTTCCTCAGAGGATGTGGGAGCTAAAACAGTCTACCTGTTGCTCCCCTAATCTCATGGCATAAAATAATAGCAATCTGTCTTCTCCCCATTTTTGGAAAAGCCATAAGGAGAGAGTGGTAATACAGGCGTGAAGTTTAGAATTTGTGGTTCCATCTGATTATGCAGGAGGGAACTTCCAAGATGAAGTTCATCTATGAGCAATCCAGGGGCCTGGTTACAGGAAACATAAACTTTTCTTACATTTTGTGTCTGGAAATCTAAAGGCTGAGGCCAGCACAACGCAGGAGCTCTAGCCCCGTCTTCGGCTGACCTCTGCCCACGCTATTCCTTATGGTGAGCTGCAGCTCCACCACAGACCCCATCTTTTATTTTCCCCTTAGCATCTTTTACTAAGGAGAGAGCTGCAGTCTGCCAAGGCAGAATCCTGGTGGGAACAGTGTAACTCTGCCCGTTCTCATTAGGAGGCAGGTCTCCTTGTCTCAGACACCGCTGTTAGGGTATAGCAGGCCTCAGACTCTTGACAGCAATGTCTTGCGCCAACCGTAATCTGGGTTACTTCATGGTTGGCTCAGCTCTCAAGGTCCTTAGAGACCTCACCCATGACTCTCACCCAAAGGGTACAGGTAACACCACCTGCCCACCCCTGACCCTGGGGGGAACAATGTGTACTGCAGTCATTTCCTCATCTTTGGTCCTGGGGACGTCTTGGTGATGCCCGCTTGGCTGGATTTGTACTGGCCTTTAAGAGAAGACTCAGCAAATCTTAACATATGGGGTAATGCTGAAATGGACTGTTCTTGGAGGACAGCCTGCAGGTCAGGGGAGTTAGTGTTAGGTAAGGAGCCTTCAACTTGAACTGTGACTACAAAGAAATCCCACCCTTTTTTGTTGTCATTTAGTGAGGAACTTCAGGTAAATCTCTAACTGCTCTCTGTCTCGGTCTCCTCACCCTCCTCAGGGATGCTGATAAGCTATTATTACTATAGGCCTTTACATCCATGCATATCTGACCACAAGCGCTAGCTCGATGCCTCGTCCCCACGGCTGGAAACATCTGCACGGCATGATTTTACCCTTTCTCGTCCCATGAGTTTCTAGGTCCCGCTCAGCAGATCCACTCAGAATCTAGGTAATTGCCTATGAGTGATGGGGTGGAGCTGGCTCTTTGGGCCCATCAGCCTCATGAGGCATGTTCTTGTTCTCGTGTAGGGAAGGCAAAGACCCAGGATCCCCAACCTTGGAGCCCCCCACTGAGAGATGGTGTTCTCCCTTTGTCTCGAGAGCCAAGGATGAGACCTGTCAATACTGGTAGATTCTACAAGCAGAAACGTCAGCAGCGGCTGTTTTGAGGAAACTCTGTTCCTCCCTCCCCTCACCTTATAAAACATGTCCCCCTCTTCCATCAGCTTGCTCAACAGGATGATCATGATGTCTGGCTTGGAGGTGGCCATCGCCCATGTGGCTGGACCTGCAGTGTACAGGATGCATGATGGGTAAAAAACTCATACAATGTAAGGGTGGTAGGAAGCTAGGTGAAAAAAACATCCTGGGGGAATTTCTGCTGAGAGAACAACTTGCTCCACGACAATTTCCTCATCTTTTAGACCTGGGAGTCTCTTAGGGACTCCCACTGCCAAGAAGCTGCGTTGGATTTGTATTCACCTTAAAATAAGAATATCTGACCTGTCAGAGTCCGCACCACACGAGGGCAGCAGAGTTATTTTAAATAAGGAAATTGAGAGGAAAGGATTTATATTCAATGTCACCACAGACTGGAAAAAATCCAAAAAGGGCAATTTATTTTAGAGTCTGAGACTGAAATCCCCCGGCTGTTTAGTGTCTCAATTTTGAAGTATGCGCTTTGCAGAAGGGGGACCATTACGAACTGTAAGGGCTCCCTCAGCGTGGGGTGTCCAACAGGGCTCCTGGGGTCTACTCCAAACCAGGAGTACAGTCTGAATGTCAAACACATGAAACAAGCCAACGTCACTGAGGATACTTTACCCACAAACGGAGAGAGAAGGTTAAACTGATTAGTTTACAGATGGCTGAATTATTCACCAACTAAGCTTTCCAGGGTTAGTTATCAAAAGTTCAAGTTATTCTCTACAACAGTTATTAAAAAAAATCTTCTTTTAAGGTGAAGTAAATTAAAAGATTAGAGGTGTAGGGAACTCATGCAGGCTAAATCAAAGAGGAGAAGGCAAAGCTGACCAAGCCATCAGGCCGCGCCTGATGCTGACAGCGGTGAAATATACCTCGTGGGCGACTCGGTAACGTCTGACAACCTTCAAAGAAAGGAGAAAACAAAAAGTTGTAGGAGAGGAAAAAAAAATGGATGAAGGGTGAAAAAAAAAAAAAAAAAAAAAGAAGGAAAAAGCAGCAGTGAGAGGCAGGCAGCAGAAAAGCCAGCACATCAGCCAACCCTTGTCTACGGGTCTGTGGGATGGGGGAGCGATGGGACGGCAGCAGCAGGGCCTGGGAGCCCAAAGCGCACACAGAGCAAGGGAAGCGAAGGCTCGGGCAGCGCAGGGATCCAGGTGCTCGCCGGGCGGGCTTCGTGGAGGCCTTGGCACCCAGAGGTGCCTGGCTCAGAGCTGCCTCCTGGCTGAGGCTACAGGGCCTGGCAGGTAACTGTGATTCTGGACACAGGGCGAGTAGACGTGGCCCAGAGGGTGTTTTCTCTGGGCCAAGAGCCTTTCTGTTCACTTGGAGTGTAACTGGGCCAGGGCGGAGGGGAAACTATATACACTCACACCAAACTCCCAGGGCAACCAGACCACTGGGCCAGCCTGGCCCCTGGGCACAGATGGCCAGCACCGTCTTCCTTTCTCCTACCTATCTTGGCGCCTTTCTTCAGAAGGGTGACAACAACAGAGGTGTTCCGGCACCCCACCGCCCGGTCCAAGGGGCGCATCCCGCTGTAGTCCACGTGCTCGATCATGGCCCCATGATCCACCAGGAATTGGACCTATGACGTGGAACAAGCACAGCAGTTAACACGAGGGTGCGGCTCAGCACCAGGCTGGGCAGCCACGGCATTTTGGGTCAAATCCACATTCTTGGTCTTCAATGGTGTTTTGAGTATTTCTGCCCTCTAGCAAGTACAGACCTAAGAGCTGTGTCAGGACTCCACCCTCAACTCCAGATCGCATGATGGACGGCGCCCCTCCCCGCCCCTTGACAGGCACTTACCACCTCAGCATCGCCGTAGAAAGCGGCCAGATCGAGTGGGGTACGGCCATTCTTGTCAGCATGGTCTGTGGCAGCTCCGTTATCCACCAGAGAACGTACGACGGACAGATGACCCTTTAAACAGGCCCAGCTGAGGGCTGTCAATCCTTCCTTGTCCATGAGAGCAATGGAGGCGCCTACAAGAGCAAGAATAACACAGGGCTGAGAAAACAGAATTCACAGTGTGGGTTCAGCCTCCCCAAAGGCTGTCCCCAAGCTGCCCCGAGTAGGCCTTTCCCGATATGTGCATGGGCATGTGGCACGAGGCCAGTAGAGACTCTGTAGATGTGGAGTGTTTTCTTTTTTTTTTTTTTAAAGATTTATTTATTTATTTATACAAGCACGGGGCACAGTCAGAAGTGCGGGAGGGTGAGAGAATTCACCAGAGCCAGAGCGGGGAGCAGAGCAGGCAGAAGGACCGAAGTACACTGCTGAGGGGAGCAGCGGGCAGCAGGAGAGGTCTGCGCGCCATGTGGGACCCTCCTCCAGTGGCCGGGGAGCAGCCGGGGATCGAACTGGCGCTGCAGAGGCTGCGGGCAGCTTCGCAACCCAGCGCTCAACCGCTGCGCCACCGGGGAGGCCCATGATGTGGAGTGTTTTCAGAAGCAACTTTTGTAAGGGAGATAGGCCGGGCAAATACCCAGAGGCCAGATCTGTCCTGTGCAGTCGCCCTCTCCCTGTCACACACGGCCCCTTCCCTCCCCCCTCCTTGCTACCCCAGCCCCTCAGCTCAGGACATAAACCCCTGGATGGGACGCATTGACTTTAGAATTTACATTGGTGTGAATCTCCATGTGTGTGTTAAATACGCCCTGTTTCTCCTACTGATCTGTCTGGTGTTCATTTGTTTGTGGGCCCCACCTCAGAAGAACCCGGAGGGGTGGGGGGATGTCCCCTGTGCCCCAACAACAGCAGGAGTATGAACTGGTATTTAAGGTGGACGCTCTGCCCAAGTCCAGCAGCTGCCTGTAGTATCTGAAGCATCTCTCTACTAAACTTTAAAAAAAATGGATCCTATAGGCTATTAGCAGAAGAGAACCCGGTTGTTCCACTGAGTATCCGAGGTGCCCTGCAGCCTGTCCCCGGGCTGACTATCCACACTTCTGTTTCTTTACTCCCCTATGAGAATCCTCTACTGGCCGAATGGAAGTTCTCACGGCCTCCAATCTCCCACAGCCTCCTGCAGCCCACGTCTGCTCGTGTTAGTTCATGTTTTATTACTTCTACTCCGCCTGCAGGAACCTTCCCACAGCCCCTGCCTCCAAGAAGCTTCTCCAGTTCACTGTTACCTCATCTTGAATCTGCTTGACATGTCACCTTATATGTTATTATTTTTTTAATGTATGTTACTTACAGGTAATAAATTCTCAATGAATGCTTTCTGAACTCAGTGAAAGTCCTCTACTTACAATAGTATAAACTCTGTGACAGATTCTCCTAAAGCAGGCACCTGGTACATGTTTATCATAGCTGATGGTGCCAGGTCACCTTCTCCCACCCCAGAAAGTGGGGGAATGGACTCATGGGAGAGACTGGGCCCAGGTCCCAAAGAAACTTGGAGTCTGGTCCACTGGCCAGCCTTCAGGAGCCTCGATCCCTGTCTCTTACTCCCTTTACGCTCTGCATCTGCTTCCCTTCAACGTTTTTATTTTCATCTGTGAGAATAAGCACACTTGACACACTGATTTGTAATTAGTCAAATTCAAAATACACTTGGTTCTTGGATGTTTAGAGCCCGTCACTTCCTTGCTGGTTCTAAAGAGCTGGTTCTGAGACAATTCTTTCCACAGAGCTGGCAGGTCATACTTAGTAACTACATGAGAGATCAGTTCACTGCACACAGAATACTTCCCAGCTCGCCTCGGAGGCGAGGACATGCTACAGGCAATCCACGCACAGCTCAGGGGCTTCTCAGCCGTTACCTGACCCACCATCAGAGGTGATACCTTTGTATCCTAGAGGTCAGATGACTGGACTGCGGTTTCTCATAGTAGGATGAGGGGCAGGAAGAAAGTACGGTGTCTCTAACTGATGAGAATCCTTTATTTATGTACTGGGTTAATTTTTCACAGACAGCTGTTTATATACAGGGTGTCTCCGTAATTGTATAGCTTATAATTAAAACACCAACTCTAACATGGAAGGAACTTAGATATGAGATAGAATCCAAGAATTTTCTCTGATGCAACATCCATAAAATCCCCAGACAAAGCCTCCAGTGGTAGAACAAGCAGGAAAAGAAGGTTCTGGATGTATATTACAGAGAAACTGATATTCCAAAGATAAAGAATGCTGGAATTTAAGAAATTAATGATCCATAATGCAACAAGCCCATATGCTCAATACTTCCAAATTTCAATTTTTAATCTTCCTTTTTCTTCCCCTTGCAGTTAATGGTTTTCCCAAACATCCATCTTGAAACTGGAGTTATTGTTAACTCATCTACGCTTATTTTCCACATCTAATCAATCTTTATATCCAAAATGTATTCTTTGCACCTGGCCCTCTGTTCTACTCTAACAGGGAGGGCACCTGGATTAGGGCTCATTACCTCTCCTCTCCTCTATGACAATGGCTCCCTAATTGCTCCCCTGGCCCATTATAATTCCTTCATCAAATCTACCACTCACACTCCTGACAGAGAGATTTTTTTCAAAGCACAATTCTGGCATCAATGCCCCTCTTAAAAAGCTTGAAAGCTCCCCACTGCCTTTAGAATTAAGTCCAAACTCTTTTAATCTGTTCCTTTAAAAATTATTTCCACATACATTTCAATTTTATTTCCCAGTAGTCCTCATGTCCTTCACTGAACTCACATACGCCCCCAATCCTACCCCCAATCCTGTTCCGTACTGTTCCTTCTCTTGGCCTTTCATTTACATTTCCTCCCCTCCCTAAATATAGAACATTTTCCTATTCAAATTCCAAAGTCTGTCCTAATCTAATTCAACACCTTTATCACAGCACTGAGGAGCCTCTGCTTTTTAAGGTAGTTAACCTGTTTCATCCCCTCCTTGCCACGTTATGGACCCTTTGAGGGTCCATAAAAAAATCACTCAGTTCCTAGCATAGTGTTCTGCAAATAACGCAGGCTGTGTTTGTAAAATTTGTTGATTTATTGAAAATTTCTGATTTACACGTGAAAAAAGAAACAGGACAAAGCCCAGAACGTCTGCAGGGGTGTGGGAGGACGAGACTCAGAATCCATGGCTGGCAACTGTCCAGGGCATGAGGCCGATACCGTGCCGCTATTGGAAGGTTATGGGGCTGAGAGGCCCTGCTGCATCCGGTAGGTTTTGATCGCTCTGGGACACTTATCCTCATCACATCTTACCTTGACAATCTAGGTGAGTCCCCCACCCCCTCCAGCATCCCCTCAGCAGAAGCGAGGACAGTCACCCTGAAACCAGAGTAGTTTGGTGGCCGGCAGTGGGGAAGCAAGACCCTCCCCGCACCGTGGGAGGGCAGCTCTGACCTGAGTCTGTGGTGGTGGGAACAAATCTCTGGAAGAGGGAGGTTCTTGCACCTAAAGATCTAGTAAAGTCTCTGAGTTGTTGTTCAAAAGCTTAGAAGAAACCTTGTCTGCTTTCTGACTCAAATACCCGCAGTTGCTCCAACCTGACTCTTCAGTAGGCTGGTTTTCTTAAAGTGCATGCGCTTGGGGGTATAATTATACATGCTCAGGGCCAGTTTACCAACAGTGGAGGGTACCTAGGACGGAGTCCCTAGCGCAGCTCTTCCACTTCATGTCAAGGCTCGGGCCCCACTGGGTGGCGCTGTGGAGTCGCAGTGACAAGCTTTTCTGCCACTGAGCTTCACTGTCTCATGAGCTATTGTTTTGCACAGGTGACTGAAGTCAGAGCCACGAAAAGGAGCCTGAAATGCTTTCCATGGTGGTGTGACCACAATTTCCTTTTACTTATTTCCCATTCATCAGAAATACATGGATGCTGGTAAATGTCAAAAGGAATTTATTACAACAGCAGTATAACAATATCCTGATTCCTCAAATAGGGTCCTATTGTCAGCGATTATCTTAACCTCTGTTGACCTCCTCTGTATACAAGAAAAATACTAGTTGTGCAGGTTGACAAAAGAATTGATCAAGCTAACGTCAATACAATCCCTGGAAGATAAACATTTATTGAGTGTATGTTAGAAAAACCCAAGTTTGCAGATTACTGAGTTGAAGTGAGGTTTACCCAAAACCCCTCAAGCCACAGGGGAGGGAGGAGAGAATGTCAAGAGTTAGAAGGGTCTAACTCCTGAGAGGAGATGGTCTTTTACTTTCTAACCAACTGGATTGACAACATTGGTTCTCAACACCCTTGGACGCCATCCTGAGTCCCCTGAGTCATTATGGGCACTGAGCTGCCAGCTCTGGCGTCCCAGGACTGACCTTGTGCAAGTAGAAAGTCCACAGTTCCCAGGTGGCCTTCAGAAGCAGCCATCATCAGGGGTGTGCGGCCCTGCTTGTCTGCCATGTTGACGTCAGCACCGTGGGTGAGTAAGAGATCAACAATCTGCAAGTAGAGAAACGGGCCAGTGAGTCTGCAGGTAAGTCACCTCTGTATGGAACTTTCTACTGCAAGAACACCTTTGGGGTCCTCGTAGCCCTGCTACCATGGGACCTATCTCTGAGCCAAATGGGATGGTTTCAACTCTTAATTTCTGACTCAGCCACTAAGTAGAAAATAGTAATAATAATAATAACCATACTAATAACAAAGCCAGAGCACAGACTAGCCAATCCCATAATGGGAGCTCCAGCACAAGTCACTCTGTGTTGCTGCTGTTTTACTCACCTCTATGGTTGCAAACCTGCCTGCAGGAAATATTTATGACTGAACAGAAGACAACAAAGCACTTCTAGCTCCTAAGCATTCTCTGGCTTCTAGGGCCTTACTTTCTACTCAAATACATTCAAAGATTACTACCAATAAGTTTTCTTTTCCATTCTAAATATATAAAAATGAGTGTTTATCCAGAATCCAAACATTTAGAAAGATCACACAGCTGAATTTACATACACCACACTTCCTTTTGACAAAATAAGTGATTGCGAATAAGTGATTAGCAGGAGTCTGCTATGACATGAGTCTTCCAGAGAATCCTGTGACATGGAAGACTAAGGTCACTCCATGAGCAGGGCAAAGTGGTGAGTCCTCTACACAATCTAGACCATAATGATGATTTTGAATATTATATTTTGGCATTCTCAGTTAACCTGAATTTTAATAAATGGGGCCTAAGTCCTCAAACTCAATGACTGCTGGGTAAGGTAACCTAAACTGTGGTTTTTCCCGCTCTTTGCAGCTCGGATTCCCACCTAGAAAATCACCCCTGCCCGGAGGATTACAAGCAGCTGCCCTGCTTACCTGCCAGTGGCCCTGGCGAACGGTGCTGAACAGGGGCACTGCCCCCCGGCGGTTTGGCTGGGCCACCGCGGCGCCCTGTTCCAGGAGCAGCCGGCACACCTCCAGCTTGCCCCTCCCGGCTGCGGCTGTCAGCGCTGTGGGCAGAGAACAGAACAGAGACTGAGGACAGGCGGGCCTTGCCCTCGCCAGCCCCGCGTCCTGTGTGGGGCAGCGTGACTCTGGCTGGTGTAACTGCTACTTTACCTCCAAGGATAATGCTTTTTTCTACTTTTTCCATGAAGGAAATTTTAAAGTAACAGTAATGAAAAAAATCACATTTCAACAGGCTTACAAAATAATCTCACTCATTTGCAGAAGAGAAATAACCAAAGAGAACAAACTGGCAAAACAACAACCTAATTCTTAGACTCTGAACAATGTACTGGTTACCAGAGGGATGGGGAGCGGGGTTGTGGCACTGGAACTTTGGTGGAAGGTGAGTGAGGCATGAACACATGCAGGTATGTAGTGTATATTCCAGATTGCACAGTTATGCAAACTAGTGGCAAATACACAATAAAAAGGGGAGGAGCTTACAATATATGGAGACAATTACAATTGTAAATTTGCTGCAAAATCACCTTTGATCAAAGTCAAAGATTTGACTTGGATTTGATTTTTTTCACCTAGACATTCCTTCTTTGCCCTCATCTACCTATTTAGGTGCCTCTTTCTAGCGACACACTTGCTGTTGGCCTATGTGAGCGAGGATCGTAGAGGAAAGGTCTCTGCAAAGCGAGGTCCTTTATAGAATTATCTTGGAGCCGCATCTGGCCAACCTCTACTACTGGGTCCTCAGGGCCAGAGAAACAAAGTCAGGAACTCATTCGAAGATCCTGGGGCCAGTTTTCTTTTTTCCTTCCTGTCCTTTTCTTGATTAGTTGAGACAGAAATTAATAACACATTTGCAACCATTTTTACAGGAACATCAGAAGAGGTATGAAAAAGGCTCTTTTCTTCTGAATATAAAATAATGGAGCCACAGATTAAAATATCATCACAGTGAAGAAAAGGATCACAGGAGAAGGAGCCTGGACATTCTTCTTTCTGTGTTGCTGCTCCCCTGCTTGCCATCTCTGGACCGTGGGGATTTCTGTGAGCCCCAGTTTCACCCTCCAAGTCCCCTTCCAATAGTGGCAATTCTAAGCCCATATTTGAACAAATATGCATTTAACCACAGGATCTCACATGCATAACTTTAGTATCTAAGGAATGGATATGGGTACAGAGGATGGAAACATTATTAGAAAATGACAGAAGTTAGGCTTTTAAAGAAAAGAGGACAGAGAATTTGTTTTTCCAGTCTGATGAGAGAGCTGGTATGGCAGCCAACAGATCCTTCCTTTATTAAGGTCACCTATTCCACTGACAAATCAGAAAAAGAGCGTATTTGGCAGGGGCAGACGATATTTCATTTTGCAAATGTTAGCGTCTAATCAGAGAAGCAGTTGAAATTCAAATCAAATGGTCAGTGGTAGTTTTTTTTTTTCATTTAAGTGCAAATTATGGCATTTTGTCTTTGGGTTTAGCCAAATTTATCCACAAATGACTCATATGCAAAACCAAAACCACCTGTAATTTCCACTAAGATAAGCCTTCAAATAATCTTTTCCTTCCCCAAGACAAAGGGCTTAGGAAGGAAAATAGCAGCAATTTTAGAAGATACTAATGCCCTCAAACTCCATGTACCTGTCTGCGGTATATTTTGCGTCTCATTTTGGAGCCCTTAACAGGGGCATTTCTGTCCAGTTTCTCGAAGGAGGGCGGAGGTCCTATCTGAGGTGAGGGGCATTTTTGGTCCTATCTGAGGTGAGGGGCATTTCCAAGCCCCGAGGACAAGTGCTGACGGGCACAACTACTTACATGATGAGGAAATTAGTTTCTTGTTCTTTAAATTAGAACTATCTTTTTGCCCCTCCTGCCTCCCTCCCCTAACCCCCGAGTTTATATTCCTAACAGTTTCAACAAAACAAAACAAAACTGTAGCTCCCTATGTGGGTCTGAACATAAGAGGAGCTTAAGAACTTGTCTGGTAATGATCACACTGTCCACCTAAAACATGTATAATGTTACTGGTTGATGATGTCTCAGTGGGGCTGGGGAAAAGGAGCCCAACCTGTTAGACACTTGTGTAGAACTGTAGAAATCATCTTTGTTGACACATAAAACAAATGATTTGGAAAATTTCTAAGTTGCTTGTTGGGAGCCATTTAAAGTAGCTGCTAGAAGGCAGGGTTGTATCAAACCTCCTTTTAAATGTCCATGTGTGGCTGGGGGCAAATAATTTTGTGCCATGGAGAAAAGAGACATCTCAGAAGCAAGCCTCACCAGTGGTGCCAGCTCACAGAACACTGTTGAAGATTCACCACCAGTGCCCACCTTTAGAGCTAAGCTACACTGTTCACTCTAGCCTGGGGCTGTATTGCTCTGCTGGCCTGTTTCAACCTACTGGATGACTTGTTTATATCACAGGGAATGTTCCATTTGGCCTTTTTCTTGGTTATGATGTCATTTGGCAGCAATCTGCAGCTGATAGTTGGACATGGTCATTAACACAGCCAGCTAATTTCATCTCAGAACCACACAACTATGTAAAACGAGATCTATACTTTTCAAAATCCAACAGTAAGCAGTTGCTTTGGCTGGATCTTGTCAGGAACAAAACTTTTTTGAAAGATTAGGGTAAAGCCAGTTCTGTAAAACAAGAAACTGATTCTTCAGCAAACACCGCAGCTTGTCTCTTCCTAAAAGACCAGTAACAGAGTTTGTTCCCTAGCTTGTCAACATCTGATGAGATTATCTGTCATAAATGGTCTGTTTTCAAAGGGAAACAGCTAAGGAAGTTGAAGAGGCAGATACCACACAGTTCATAGTTGGGGAAATAGCCAACTATGATGCTGAAGAGAATGCAGCAAAACAAATGGTTCTTTTGTCGATGTATTCTGACCTTGAATGAGCTCAGCACAGATGTAAGACCGACGAGAAGGAGGTGTTTGGGGGACATAAACCAATGGCCGCTATTCAGAACAACATTAGCTAAACGTTTATTGCACGATTTGTCAGACTCTGTCTCTGCTCTCAAGGTACCTGTGGTTGAGTAAGAGTCGTCAAATAAACATGTTACTATGCAGGGTGAGAAGCACAGCAGAGATTAAGTCCCTGGAGGTTTAGATGGGTGGCAGAGAGGAAAAAGGGTTCTGAGAAGGTCTCCAGGAAGAGACAACAACCTGAGTAGCTGCTGCAAGAGAAACAGGACACGAGGGACGTGTGCCGGGCACAGGTAAGCACCAGTGAAGGCGCAGGGCTGGGAAACGGACAGTTATTGATACTGTGGTTACCAGAGATGACAGGACGCACCAGAAACTGGAGAGCACAACCTGTCTTTCCGTACTTCATTAAAGAACTTATTCTCCAGGTGGTCCTGAAGGGTGGTGAACAGGCAGGTGGCCCAAACGGGGAGGGGGAAGAGGGCACAATAGACACTGGGTACCTTGGTGGTGGGGGTGATGTGGTAACTACACCTCAGGGGGGTGATCCTGTTCTTCCAAATCATACATTAGTGTTGTAAACCAATGTTACCGCAATTAAAAAACAAAGAAAAGAAAGTTACACGAACAGATGGTGGTTCAGAAAGGTCACTTTGGTTGAAATCTGGGAGATAAATCACTAATGGGTAAGCTAGAGAGGGGAAGATCAACTAGGAGCCAAGTGTAATAACTTAGGCAGAGGGTGATGAGGGCATGAGTTAGGGTATCTTGTTTATTTTGTGATCTCTGGCTTCTTCTGGGAAGACGCTCAGACTCACTGGAGTTGCTAGAAGCTTTTAATATGGGTCCTCTGAGCTCAACAGACAAGGGAGAGGTGGGAGTCGGTGAGCAATACTGTCACCTTAATTGCTTTGCTTCTATCTTGTTCCATAAGAAATCTGTGGAACTCTGTGGGAGGGAAGAGGCTCCACCAGGTGCTGAGGCTGGTGGCAGGAAGATGCTACCTGGAAGGATAAAGAGGCTGCAAAAGGAGGACAAAGACTACCAGGGTACCCTGGTGATATGTTTTTAGAAAATTCAACACCTCAATTAGTATTTCGCTACATGCTAAGCTGGAGTTCACTGATTTAAGATGGACCCTTTTCCCTTCACATTTTAATGTCTCTGAAATCAAGATGTGTCTTACAATTGATGTGGTAATAAAGAATCGTGTCATTTTAATAAGCAGATTTTTCTTGCAGTGGCATATGAAATAGTGGTTACATAGTTTCTTGGAGTTAGTGGAGTGTCAGAGCTGATAGAGGAAGTGATAGATTGTTGGAAACATGATTGTGGTGTTTCCTTAGGTAAAGAAAATGCTGTTCAGTCCAGAGTAGCAGATATAAGACTGCAACCTGCTGGTCACAGGCCTTCCTTCTCCATACAAGGGAAACACATGTAAGACTTGCCATGGGAGAGAACCCCACAATTCAAAGGGTTACTATAAATTTTAAACGAGTATGTGCTGTAAGTTAGAAAGAACATGTCTACTAAACCCATCACTCCACATAGAAAAGCATCTCATACTCTGTCCTGTACTAGGGGCATTTTTACATAGCAAAGATATTCTTTCCCAGAAATTTTTCTAAAGTCAAATTTTTTCATAGATTTATAAATTACATGACAAATGCATTTCATTCAAACATGTCTAGATAATATTTTATGCTTATCATGATGAAAATATTTCACATAAATATCAAGTTAGTGACCATAGGATTTTGATTACCAGCAAATTAACATGAAGCTTTGATAGCTGATAATCCTGAGATATGATACTAATGAAACAAAATTTGTCGCGAGTTTAAAGAATGAAGTATTAAAAAAGTCCTGAGGCCATAAAGTTTTACTCTAATAAATTCATATCAATAAAAATAAGTCTTTCACTTAGTTCGCACCCTTAATGTTCAAGAATGTGAACTAAGTGGAAGACTTAGACATTTTTTAATGTTCAAGAAGGGTGCAGCACTAGCGACTCATTACGTGACTGTCAGTCTTGCAATCTCTCCCATTATCACCACTGGGCCACTGATGTCCTTGCCCTCCCCCGGGGCTGCAGGCGTCTGCTGAGTGGCCTGTCGTGGGGAGACCTGTCCTGGGGCTGCACTGACCCGAGCATGATGCCAGTGTGCCCCTTCTGCAGCTGGAGGTCACTGTGTGTCCCAGAACAGCTGACTCCTGGCCAGTCCTTCCCCTCATCTGTCCCCAGGCTCCCTCAAGGTGGTGTTGCAGACACAGCAGCTGTTTCCAGCTGCACATTTTCTCCTCATCTGTCATGGGCTCTTAAGCTGCAGCTGCCTGGCATCTGCTCCCTTGGTTCTTCCAGAGTGAGGGATTGTTTGAGAAGCAAATTCCTGAGGTTTGGGTCATTCTACATGATATTAAAGGAACCATGAAGCCTACAGAAGATTCTGTTGTAAGTGGAAACCTCACAATTCAACCAGTCACTATAAAATTTAAATGAATTCAAGTCTTATTTTTTAGTAACACCTGGACCTTATCCAAAACACATAACCTTATTTAGTGAAAATATTCTCCCTTAACTGGCCAACATTGGTCAACTTCTCCTGGCAGATGGGAGACACATCTGCGGAGACTCTAGGTTTTTCTTTGTCCTAGGTTCATAAAAACACACAAAAGGTTCTAATGTTTCTCCAGATGGTCCAGTTTAGACTTGGGGGAAAGACAAGAATCACTGTTGTGGAGGTGTCATGGAAGAGATGGCTGTTCGTGAAGCAAGTACCAAGCAGAAATCACTTTTCCACAGGCCACTAAGAACAGCATGAGGGGGCACCTCAGAAGGTGGCACCTTCATTCTGTGCGCAGACAGCAGCTCTGTCCAGCTGTATCAGGCTGCGCAGGTCAGACACCACTCTGCCCTGTAACACTTGGTTAAGTCAGAGGTGTGGATAGACATGGAACCTCCTGGTTTACAACCACAGGTGAAAGAGTTATTTTGATGGGAAAAATGTTTACTCCTAACTGCCTTAAGGACCACATAAAAAAAGGGAAACTCATAACTGCTCTGGTTTGGCATATGGCAAGGAAACTTTGAGTGTTTCAAAAATAGTGGGAAACAGAAACAGGGGAAAGTTCTATATGAAAGAAGACTCTGGTGTGAAAAGCATAGAGAATCCAAAGGACCAAAAGAAGGAAATTGGCTTTTCACTTAAACTCAACTGGTCTCCAACACAAAAGCCACAAGACAGACCCAGTGGTATGGTCCAGAAAGAAATCAGGGTGCGAGGACATGTCTACATGGACACAACACAGTCACGAGGAAGAGGAAGGTGCATGAGGAGTACCTGTCTCTCCCCAGAGACTGTCGAAGCTGTTGATCTGTGCTCGCTCCACTTCCTCTTCATCTTTTTCTGGAAGATCAAGTAGGTAGGAGACAATCTGAAACAAGAAGTTGTGTCAGCTGAAACTTCAGGTGGAAAACTATCTACTGAGACTGAGGCTTGGAAGGTCCCTGGACGATCCCAGTGCCGTGGACTCTCTCACACACAGATGAGTCAGAACCCAAAGCTGCCACAAATAGGATTTGTTCTGTCAGAGTTTACAAATTTCTCTTCAACACAATTTACTTACATATAGTCTGTCATAAAAAAAAATATCACCTATTCTATGTATTTACATTAAAGAAGCAAACCCTCATCTTCTCAATAAAAACCAGCCAAAACAAACCAAGAAGCAAAAACCAGTAAATAAACATGGAGAAAGAAAAGGGCCTACAGTAAATAAACATGGAGAAAGAAAAGGGCCTATATTTCTTCAGAGCAGAGCAATTATCTCCTATTTTCCTCTCAGAAGTACAGAGGCTGCTAACAACAGGGGAAATGACAGCTCTGTTTCCAGGAATTTCACTGTAACAAGAGTTAAAAAAAAAAAAAAAAAACCCTCAGAGGTAACAAAAACTCTAATTTTACTCAGTATTTGCTTAGTGACAGATCAGGTCAGTTGACAGGGTGGTGGCCACTGAAGCATCCCACACAGAAGCGAGTCGCCGTGTACTGGCTCATGAAAGCCGGCTGCTACATTTCCAGGAATTTTGCAAGCCAGTTGTTAAACAAAGGCTTTTATTAAAGATTCAATGACAACTAAGTATGTGATATTAAAAGCAAAGGCTAAAAAATATAAAATCTCATAATTTCCTGATTATTTAACTACATTTTAGTATTACCCAGGCTCTCTTCAAGTTATTTACAGTGACTGTGTCTGTAGAGTGGGAAGATCACAGAATGAGGCACTAATACTGTGATGTCACACTGGGTGCTTAAAACCGGCTATGGTAGGGCATTTACAACCTGGAAATTGGCAGATATTACAAGTCAGGGCTTGCTCTAGGACCAAAGTTGAAAAGAAGTTCCAGCTTAATAAATATAATTTGCATGAGGTGAAGTAGCTTAACTGTAGTTTACTTTTCAGATTATTATGAAAATTGTTGGGAAAAGAGTAAGTTGGGGCTCAACTCCATTTACCAAAACATTCTGAGGCCCAAACACAGGTTGGGTATAGACACAAACTTCGCAAAATTCACCAAAATCATTAATCAAGAGTATTGTATATTTCATTATTATTTGTAAATTGCATCCTTCATGTTCTTTATATCAGTAGAATTTAAAATAAGTGTAAGCGGGCCTCCCCGGTGGAGCAGCGGTTGAGCGCTGGGTTGCGAAGCTGCCCGCAGCTTCTGCAGCGCCAGTTCGATCCCCGGCTGCTCCCCGGCCACCGGAGGAGGGTCCCACATGGCGCGCAGACCTCTCCTGCCGCCCGCTGCTCCCCTCAGCAGTGTACTTCGGTCCTTCTGCCTGCTCTGCTCCCCGCTCTGGCTCTGGTGAATTCTCTCACCCTCCCGCGCTTCTGACTGTACCCAGTGCTTGTATAAATAAATAAATAAATCTTCAATAAAAAAAAAAAAAAAGTATAAGCACGTTACTTTGTCTTTCTCCCCTGCTCTAGTCCTCTTCTTTCCCCAGAATCTACAATTCCATATAGTTTCCACTACATTATTATCACCAATAAATACATTAGCAAAAATACCACTTGTATAGTGTTTCCATCACAACAGCCTTGTTAAAAAGAATGCGTTAGCCTCACTTTACTGATGGGCAAGAGATTCCAAGAGATGAGATAAATCACCCAAATCCAGAGCTCATGAGCAGCAAAGCTGGGACTCAAACCTGGGCCTTCTGAGATTCCAAATGCTGTGTCTGCCCCACTCCCACTGCCTCCTTGAGTGAGCACAGGTCAGTGAATGATCCTTTGTGCTTTAGTGTCACTGCCTGTCAAGTGGGGGTGGAAAGAAGAGGAGAAATTGGAGTAGATATCTTCCAATGCTCACATTCAAGGCCCAGAATTCTAGTGTACCTGGCATTTGAGAATCCACAGAGTTTAATCTCCCTGTTCTTAAAGCAGTGCCCAAAAAGCTAATTCACATTCATTAGACTGGTAATTTTGTAACAATGCAACCCCTTTTCTCCTGGTTTCCTAAATGTGTCTATGCAACACTTGGAAAAAACCAACCAACCCACCCAAACCTTGTCAGCTGCTTCCTTACCTCGGTGTAACCCATGCTGGCAGCAGCGATGAGGGCCTGCTGGATGGCGTGGCTCTTCTTGAACACCCCTTGCTGCTGGCCAGCCATGGTCCAGTCACACTGAATCAAGAACTTGACCACCTCCAGGTGGCCGCGCAGCGCAGCATGGACCAGCGCACACTGCCCGTTCTTGTCCAAGTGATCCACCTGAGGGGAAGGCCGGGAAGCTGTGTGAGCAAGACGTGGGCTGTGCTCCCCACTCAGCCACACCAGTCCACTGTGCGGGGCTGGGTGACTCAGATGCATCTTCCCATCCCTGCCTCAGTCTTGAAGAAAATTCGGGTGGGGGTACTCTCCTCTGCAGGCTGGATCACCCTGGGCTACAATCCTGGCAGATGTCCCTCTGGGGTGATGCTCTTTTCATAAGGTTAGACCTTTTGTTTTTTCATCAAAAGAAACCAAACCCCCAAAACTCCCAGCTCCAGCTTTGTTTCCCTGAGGTACATTCTCCTTTTTCCTCAAATAGTTCTTTTCAGACCAGGATCTGAGAGACCTGTAGCTCTGCTGGCACAGAAAACTGACTTTGAAATCATGAAAGGGAGGAGAGCCATTCTGAAGCTCACACTCTCTGGTCTTCCACAGAAGCAAACACCTCATGTATCATGAATCACACATGTGACCACCAGGTTCTGGCAGAGGCCACTGCCCTCCTCCACTGGAAGTGCAGCATCTCAACCACCTGGACAAAATGGCTGGCGGGACCTGGACCTCAGTGCCAGGCTGAGTTGTAGCAGCAGTGTCTACAACTGCAGTGCTGGCCCACAAGTTGAGGCTGAAAGAAGAGCCTGAATAAGATCAATCTACCAGAAGGTCTCTGGCCACAAGTCTCTACCACTGAGTAGCCTCTCCTGGCAGGTGGGCGGGGCATCTGTTCAGCAGTGGCTGGAGCACTAGAGACATAAGGCTGCCTCTGGCTCTGCTGCACTTCATTTCCATCCAGCCACCCATGTAACTCATGGAATGTCTACCGTGTGCTAGGCACCCCAAAGGGTAAGAAGGTGGGTGAGATGGTAGTGCACAGAATACTTTTCAACAACACAGGGGAGATGCGACTGGCATGCCAGAAGTCTGTCCAACAAAGGAGGATGTGATGTCAAGAGAAAAGTAAATGTGCATGAAATTTCAGAGGAAGGAAAAATTAATTCCCAGCCAGAATTATCAATTCCCTAGGAATGGATTCCGAGGGAGCCTGACCCCTCTCCCCAGCCTCTGCAAGTTATTACAGGTTGGCTTTCTAGCTCCCAGGGTGATGTATTAGAGGTGGGGCCTGGTAGGAGGACTCCATGCTCGTGACTGGGACTTGGGTCCTGATAAGGAGGCCCTGGACAGCCCGGCTACATGTTTCTCCCACGTGCAGACACAGCGAGAGGGCCTGGGGGCCAGGGGCTCTCACTGGATACCGACTCCGCTGGCACCACCACCCTGGGCCCAGCCCCCAGGACTGTGAGAAATAAAGGTTGTTTACAAGCTGCTCAGTTTATGGTTTTTGGTACAGAAACCCAAATGGACTAAGAAAAGGCCTATTTCAAGTAGCTGAGATAAGAAATAATTAATTCTAGCTTTTGGAAGGGAGGGTACATGAAGGGGAAGTTTAAACTACAAAGTTGAAAGGACTTTTAGGAAACAGGCCAAGGATATTTTTGAATGCTGGGCTAAGTGGTCTGAATCTTAATGAGTAGTAACAGAGAGTCATTGAGAATTTTTATCCTCAGAACTGTATTTTCAAAAATTAAGGGGATGAATAAAAGAAATCTTGGTTCCTTGGAGAAATGGTTGATTCCAGGGTTGGGACAATACTACTACAAGATGAGTTTGGTACATCTGCAGTCCCAGGAAGTAAGGAGGTCCTCATACAATAATAAGGGAGGGGAGGGAAGGAGGTTGAGCAAGTACAGGAATCAACTTGAAGGAGCCAAATCTGTGGCAATCTTAGCAACAAGATAATAGTGGTAATAATAATGGATTATGAGGAATAGTATAAAATAAATATCTAGGAATCCATAATGCTACAAATAAAACTGAAAAAAAACAAAAAAAACAAAACAACAAACAAAAACTGGGGCAGATTCAGGGAAGGGACATCTTCCTTATAGCAGAATTTCAAATAATAAATGTCAAAGGAATGAGGGAAACAGAAAATCACCATTAGGTAAATATCAAGCAATAATTACTGCAGCAAGAATTACTGACATGTCCTGAAATTAGTGAACAAAAGTAGGAGAAATGGTATCTGCCTGGTCTTGAAGCAGCTCCGTAGAGATACTTCTTAATCACTAAGGGAAAAGCAGTGCCCACCGAGTTGAGAAACCTGGAAGACGCCCCCTTAGCCGAGAGAGAAGAGAGCATGCCTTTGTTAAGACATCAACATCATGAACCCCCCAAAGCGCTGCATCTGTGAGGTGCTGCCCGTGTTTGTGGTATTCTTGCCAAAAAAACATAAACTCAATCTCACAATGAGAAAGTATCAGACAAACTAAGGCTGAAGAACTTTCTAAGAAAAGAACTGGCCAGCGTTCTCCGGCCACTTTAGTGCCAAAACCACGGGAAGGTAGGAACAGGGGAGGCCAGAGGACAGCAGCCTCAGGGGCAGTCACGTCAGGAGGGAGGACGGGAGAGCAACCAGGGAGGCAGGAGGAAGCCAGGACCGCGGGTCACATTTGGAGAAGCGTCGTGGCCGACACTGCAGAGAGGCTGAGGGGCGAGGAGCAGTCACCGTATTTGTTGAGTGGGGCTTGGCAGTGGCTTTTGAGAGAGCAGCTTTGGTTGAATGCCCAGAGGCTGGGGCGGCTGCTTCTTTTTTAAAAGGTATTATTTATTAGACACTGCGTGAGATTAAGAGACTTCATCCTCTTTTTAAAAAGGCTTTATTGCTTTTAATTCTCATGCTGACCCTATTAGTCTTTTTATAGAGGAAGAAAGTAAGATGGAGAGAGGTTAAGTGACTCAGTAGAAAGTGTGAATTAGGATCTGACCACGTTTGCTTGATTCTAAAGTTTATGGTTTGAATGCCTCTTCTCCCTCCCAAGGGAGCCAGATGGCGAGAGGGTGAGGAAGGGAAGCAGAGCTACAGAGGGGTTGACGCTTTGAATGGAGTTGGAGGAGAGGCGGAAGGGGCGAGCCAGGATGGCGGCTTCTGGATAGCAGGAGAGATGGTTTATTTAGGGGTTACAGGAGACAATTTATGGGTGTGTGGAAACCAGAGTAAAGGTAGCATGACTTTAGGAAATGAGGAAATGGAGCGAGAGAGACTGAGCAAATACTGGGATCAACACCACAGGTGGAGACAATTGCTTTGGATGGCAGGTGAGCACCTCCTTCTCTGGGGTCAGGCAGGAGGGCGGGAGAGGTGGCACAGGGTCTCGTGAGGAGCACAAGTAAACAGAGCCAGGGCTGACCAGCAGGACACACCCAGGGAGAGCAGAATTTGAACTGACAGTAATATCGGAAGGCTGGGTTACCATTCTGTTTCTAGAGAGTTCGTTCAAATGAAGGGGGTGTGGCGTGTTGGACCGCACCCCCCCTCCCCGCCCCTGCCAAATTGCGTCTCAGGGAATACCAAAGGCTCTCGGATTTCACTAAGGTCCCAGTTCTCAAAGGGGTCTCAGGAACCCCACTTTCTTCCTTGGTAAGACACCTCAGGACAAGGTCAGACTTATTCCTTATTTTTCTTTTCAGCAATATTTTGAACTTGAGCTCTTTTGTATCAGTGGCTTGAGATACTATAGAATAAGCAGATTTTGGCGAAATCTTTTTAGAGGCCTGACATGTAGGAAATCTTTTCAGAGGCCTGAGGAGCAGTTCTGAGTGCGTCTGGTCAGTCTGAGTACGAACAGATCATGTCCGCATGCCTCTGTAACGGGGTCTTCAAGGCTAGGATGAGGAAGCTTGGTCTCTATTCTTTTTTCCCCCCATAGGGATCAAAAATTCATTTTATATTGTCGGTATAGCAAGCTCTCCAGTGATCAATTATTAAAAAATTGTCTTCCTTCCTTCTCCCCTCTCCTTTTGGTCCTAGAATATTGCAGAGGAAGCAGTCTCTGTGTTCATCTCCATGGCTAACCTTTCTTCTCTACGCTGAAAGGTCAGAATCTGTGGGACCCCCAGTCCCGGCCTTTAGCTGGTGTCCCTGCTCCTCCACTTCTCCCGCACTGTGTGCTCAGTAGAGGATTTCTTGGTTGTCAGGTAGGACTATTTGTGGCTGCTGACAAGTGCAGTTTCCTAAGTGCCTCTAAAAGGTTTTAGAGCCGTGCCCAGATGCCATGTGGCCTGGCAAAGGTGAAGGGCAAACCCCAGGAGGTGCACAGATGTGCTCCCTCTGATCTGCCTGCAGGGCTCGGTGACCTCTACCTGGGCTCACAGGAGGTCGGAAGCCTGTAGAGTGGGAGGGAAGCCGCAGGGGAGATGGGAAAGCAGCAGAGGCACCACCTCACCTTGGCCCGCTTCTTGCACAGCAGCACGACGATGCTCAGGTAGCCCGCCGCGGCCGCGTAGCCCAGCGGGGTGAGGCCACTCTCGGAAGAGGCGTCCACGTTGGCCCCAAACTCCAAGAGCAGGGCCACCATTTCTGTGTAGCCAAGATGTGACTGGACACACAGAATTGGAGCATTATTTAAAACCTCTGTCCGGTAATTAATGTTGGCACCTCCTAAAATCAGCAGTCGGCTGACCTAGGAATGAGAAAATAAATAGAAATAATCATCAGGCCTCTTAGGTATCTTTTGTTAAGTCACCTGGGACCCCACAATAGGGTCTAGTAGCACTTAGCAATTGCTTTGTTTACCATCTTCATTTTTTCTCTTTGCCTTTCCACAGGCACACTGCTTGGGGACTAGAGCAAACACTCCCCGAGACTGATTTACTCCCCAGAACCAGCAGGACCTGATGCAGTAAGAGTCAGTGTATGGAAGGCAGAGGGTCAATAGCTTTCATCTTCAATTCACAGAGTAAAATGTAATCATTTAAAAAACATTAAATTATCAATAAGATACTAATTAGGAGACAGTCTCAGGCAAGTCAAAGAAAACATCCTCCTTATTTTATTTTTTCCACTTTTAATTCTTTAATCTACCTGGAACCTACATGCATTTACCTTTATATTTGGAGTGTAGAGGTTTCGTAAAGATGCCAGGGCCATGGAAAGACCTTCTGTGCTATAGGAGATCCAGAGGCCTTGCAGGATGGAGGATGACACGCCAACCTTTTTACTCAAGCCCTGAAAAAGAAACAGAGACAGTTAAACTCCTACACCAGCTAAAGAGTGCCTGGGTGGCAGGTTGCGGCCTATAGGTTTGTGGTGCTAATGAACGAGTCTCGCTGTGATGACGGCCAATCCACTGCCGGGGACAAAGACTAGCCCTGTAGGAACCAGTTAAATTATCTACCTTACAGTTCTCCGGCAACAAATCTACTTTCTCCCTCTCTTTCCTGCTGTATCTCCAGGTAATCTTCCTCTCCCCGCATACCTTTTCTATTAGTGTTTTTGAATAAATCTCCTAAATTCAGTTGACTATAAAGATAGAATGCAATGATCACTGACGTGATCTCATTTTCTCCTGAGCACACGTGAAAACCATTGCTCATCCTCCTTTACAGTTAGGTCAGACACGTGTCTGAGTTCCGGCTGCTGAAACATGGGCAGAGGGAAATGTCACGTCTAGGCCTGGCCCAGACGCCTGGTGTGCCTCTCCAGGCCTTGTAATGTGCCCACGGAGAATGCCGAGGCCTAGGCGATTTCAGAACTGCTACGGAAGGCGTCTGCCTAGCATTGCACTGGACTGCGATGGGAGGGAGAAGAACCCTCTGTGGGTGAAGCTGCTGGGAACCTGTAGGCTCGTGAGAACCCCTCACCCTGACCAGTGTGCCCTAAAATGATCTTGTCTGTTCCTCCTTAGGAAAATGACACAGGTTTGATTGTCTTCACAAATTTTCTCCCACTGCACACACCAGCGTTTGCCCCTCTCCCTGGAGTTTCTCATAAAGGAAATTAGAATAAATTGTTTTCAGAAGCTCCTGCGGGTCAGACACTCTTCGGCAATATGTGGCTGTGAGTGAAAGCGTAAGTCCTGCAGGCAGGAAGGTGTCCATAATAATGTGTGGGTCCTAATAAGCGACCCTTGGCAGGTATTCTCTTTTATAACTTAAGCTATGTCTTGTTGCTTTTTTCTGTGCCATATGGGTGTGCCTGCCTAGAATACTTATGTCCAAATCAGCAGACGGGCATCAGAAGTCCTGGCCTCTTAACATACAGGACGGGCCTCTACAGAGGGGGCTGCTCACAGGACAGGCTCCTCTACCAGAACCCGAGGATGCTGGGCCTGGCCTCCCCTAAGCAGCTGCGGGCTCCCCAGAGTGTGTCAGGCAGCTGTCCTGTGAGGGATTCTCACTCGTGGACAGGCAAGGATGAGCTCTGCCAGAGGAAGGCTGTGCAGATGAACATTCTGAAAAGCTTCACCTGACAGGCATTTTTCTCCCCCTATGGGGAACCATCTTATGCAGCCTGAAATTAAATCATTAAAGTGTCAGATTAAAGGTTATGTTTCCAAGAAATGGTCAAAGGAGACGCTTTCCCTTTTTCTGATTTATACAAGTGAAGACCAACTCAGATATGGGGGCGGGGCAGTCCAAAGATTTCTAATGTTGAATATCTGTGTGTACACAGATCTTAGTATTTAGGTTTTTGGAGTGATGAAAGTAGTATAAATTTATTTAAAAAAAATCAATTCAGGGGCCTCCCTGGTGGTGCAGAGGGTTAAGACAAAGCCCATAAGCTATCCACAGCCACTGCAGCACGAGTTCTATCCTTGGCTAGGGAGCTACCCACATGGTGCAGCAGACTCTCCTGTCTTACCTGCTGCTCCCCTCAGCAGTTTATTTCAGTCAGTCTGCCTGTTCTGTTCTCCACTCTGTCTCTGGCGAATCCTCTTGGCCCCCCATGCCTCTGGCCTATACCCCAGTTCTTGCATGCATAAATAAATCAATCTTTAAAAAAAAATCAAGTCAAGAGATATGGTATTAAAAATAAAAGTATCTCCAACCTCCCCTCTCAATCCTAAGAGGCAGCTACAATTCAAACACTGGGCTTATCATTTGACAGATTTTCTATGTGTATACAAACAAGCACAGGTGCACAGACATGTGTATATATAAATAATATAAATCTTATTAAACATTCCTTATTAGGGAACATTTCAATTCTGCATTCCAAGGTGGAGATAACAGTGTAATGAGGCCGCCACGACCCCTCATCTCACTCAGCAGTTTCCAGTTCCTGCCCACCCTTGTTTTATTGATATTATACTCCTGCCCATATTCCCCTTTTCCCGTGATGGATCATTTGAAGCAAATCCCAGGCATTTTATGAGGTAATATTGAAACATTTCATAAGTGCCGCTAAAAGATAAGAATATCATACTTAAATCACAATTTGTAATATCAAATATCTAAAGTGTTCAAATTTCCTTGAATATCTCAAAAAAATAAAATAGTCTGGGTATGAATTGGGGTGCCTATGAAGTCCACACATCATAACTTCTTTAAAAACACTTAAAATGTAAAGGAACGATTTGATATTCTTCTATTAGCTTTTTAGACAAAATGTTACAGGTGTATGTCATGCTTATACACAGACTATTGACTTACTCTGGTTCAAGAGTACACACACCTGTGAATGACATGTATGTAGGACAAAATATGGATGAGAAAAGCACATGCTAACTTTAGGACAGAAATTACCATAGAGAAGGGGGGAAATAGTTTAAGGGGGGAGTACACCAGGAGTTTTGAATGTATGTGTTATATTTTGTTCATGAAAATAAAGAAAAAGATTTGAAGCAAACAGAAAAATCTTAACATTTGTTAGATCTGGTAGATAGTATTTGATTATTTGATTTTCGGTGCTTTCCTTTTATATATTTAAAATATTTCATGAAAAAATCAAAAACAAATAGGGACATTTCTTCCTACTAAGGAAGAGTAAAGGAGGTAAGAATGGAAATTGATATAGACTGACTTATTGGTGAGGAGGAGAACAGCTAAAATTAATCACACTCAATGGGTTTGATTTTTTCAGAGACTCACAGGTCAGGCTGTTGAGACAGTCGATTTGGTTAAGAGCTGAAGGAAAAAAGAAATGGGAAAAGGAGTAAGAACAGACCTTGGTAACTGTACTTCAGTGTGGTGGAGTAAATATACATGGGACGAGCATGAAATACAGAGCGGACTCTAGGATTGCAGTGTCAGCTTGATTTGTGTGTAGACTGACTTCTCTTTGGTGGGGTTGTACCTTTGTGCCTATGAGGTATGGGTGGAAAGTGTTTCCATTTAGTTAAACTCAGCTTGACAGAGGTGACAGGCAGGATCCCGTTACTTGGCAGGATGTAGCCAAAAATAACCCATAATTAAATTCTGAGCTGATGGATTCTTAAAGAGAACTTCAGGTTCAGATAACATTAGGCAAAGACTCTCTTCAGTATCCAAAATTATTGCTCAGAAAAGAAGGGACATCTCCTGTCAGAGATAAATGGTGATAGTCTCTTTTAAGTATTTGTTAGTATATCTAGTTTACCTGGCGGAGGTGAGCTTGCTCAGGATATCTGAATACTTTCAGAAAACAGGGAAAATGTGAAGGATCAAGAGCAATCTCATCTCAAAAACCTTAGCGAGGCTTGGGTATCTCAAAATCATATCAAAAGCCAACCTTGGAGCTTATACAATGAGTTCCTTTAAAACAAATTATTTACAAGTATATCATTAGCGATAGACCTATAGATAATCCAACTATCTCAAGTGGATTATTACTGCTCTTATCTGACCATCCATGTGACTGTGTCTGGGCTGTAGTAAAAAGCACACGAGGGGCCAGCACCTCTCACTGTGGAGAAGTGGTCGGCACACCATGGCTCGAGGACAAATCCAGCCTACCATCAGATTTTATAAATTATGTTTTACTGGAGCACAGCCTCACCTATTCATTTCTGTATTACCTCTGGCATTTCTGAGCTTAAACGTCAGAGGTAATTGATTTCAACAGACGCTATATGAACCAGAGACCCCTATCTGCTGATCACTGCCGTGGAGGATGCAAGGTTAGAACCTCTGAAACAAAAGGGAGATGGTATTTATGCGTGTTACCTGGAATTTATGCGTGTTACTAAGTCTTATTATCAGGTACGTGATCATTGTTAATAACTTTGATCATAAAACCTTGTTAGATTTTCATTTTATAATGTGCCGATTTCTCTGTGTCTTGTATTGAGGATCTTCATGATAATGCTGACAGTTAAATACTGTTGCCATTTTACAGATGAGCAAGCAGATCCCTAAGTGGCAGAGTCTGTCCTTGGATCCAGGCCTTTTGATTGATGCTGCCCTCTAAATGCCATCTTACAGCACTTTTCTCCTTGGCCAATAGTTCTGTACTGGTATAAATGTTACAGGATTACACAGTCAAAGGAACACTTTAGAGGATTGTGTTTAGGGAGCTAATCCCAAGGGCACTGCAAAAATCCTTCCAGGGGCTACACTAACCCCAGCAAACCGCCCTATGCGCCCTATGCTACAAACGAGACTGAAATATCTCTGGCCACAATTCACAAACATCCTACTTTCTTTTCAGAGATTAAAAAAAAATCTAAATGTCAATTAAAGGATTATAAAAGAATGAAAAGCACTCAACATCACTGGTATTAGGGAAATACAAATGGAAACCACTATGAGCTACCACTCCCTAGCCATGAAAATGGCTATAAAAACAGACCATGTCTAACAAGTGTTGGCCAGGGTTGAAAAAACTGGAACCCTCAAATATTGCTGGTGAGACTACAAAATGGTGCACCTACTTTGGCAAACAGGTAGGCAGTTCCTCAAAATGTTAGTTACAGGTGACCCCACCATCTCTCTCTTTAGGCGTAGAGTTACCAGGTGACCCCACCATCTCTCTCTTTAGGTGTAGAGTTACCAGGTGACCCCACCATCTCTCTTTAGGTGTCTGCAGGCACGTCCACACAAAAACTGAGCACAGTGCTCAGAGGGATACATGTGTCATACATGATGGCCACAAAGTACGAGCCACCCAGCCACCCAATTGGTAAGCACAGTGTGGCCCATAGTCACACAACGGAATACTTTTTTGGCAATAAAAAGGAACCAAGGACTGACGCCTGCTCTGGCACCAGGTCTACGCCCTTCTGCTGGCAGGCACGTCATCACCACTGCTGTGCACATGGGGACTGGCCGGTCGCATGCAGAGCCAGCCTTATCTCAGGCAGCCTTGTTGTCTGCTGCAACCTAGATAGAACCGTGTCAACAACAGGACTTACACTGTCTTCATGTGTTGGACAAAATCACATTGGGTAAATGAAACATCATGGCATTTATCTGCTAACGTGGAGTTCGATTTATACTAGTAGGCAAAGACTCCTTTGCGTCCGATTCTAGGAGGCAGTGACATTAGAACCTCACGGTGTTTAAAGTGGCGATGCCTAACACGTAAGGTACTTCCCTGTCCCCCTGAAGGAAAATGGTCTTGGAGTTTGTAGGAAGAACAGACATTTAGTCCACTTGAGATTGGAATGAGACACCTTGCCTGTTATTTCAGTCTCACTCTGCTGCTACTAGTAAGGTCATTTCTGGCACAGTGATTTGTTAGACAAGACACTTATGATTCCAACAAAGGGCCCGTCACCATGGTGCCTCTGATGAACAAGCTTCCCTGGCTGTGTGCTTATGCACTAGAAGGGTTGGCGAGGTTCTTAGAGCTGCCCTCGATGCCATCTTTCTCTCTGAAGAGAGCTATTTTATCTTTAAAGGTATCCTTGGGGGGAGTCGACCCGGAGAACTATTAAAGATACTTGTGATTCTCAATCCCAAGGCAAGGAAAGCACTCGAAGAGACTGGAGGGATGGAGCCTGCAGACACAATAGAAAACCGTGCGCTAGGAAATCAGAAGAACAAATGTCTTTCTTGACTTCTGTGCGTTACCCCACAACTATTATCAGGACTACAAAGTCCCTGAGATTAGGGACTGCATCTTTTTGTTTCTGTCCCCCCAGTGCCTAGCGTAGGTGGCCTCAGGAAGTGTTGAATAAACAGATGAATCACAAGTGCACAAACAGATGAACTGTGTGCTCCCCTGTGGGTGTCCCCAGCCTCGTGAACACTGAGGGGGTTGGGGAGCTGATGCGGAGAGATCTTAGATGGACCAACTCTGTGATAAAATCATTTCAGAAATCAGGAACCACCCGGAGTAATGGTGGCTGGTCCCTCCAGCGATGAGAAAAACCTGTGGGAGAGGGAGGGATAAAATCTTCCGCACTCCTCCAATTACCTTAAAAATATGTGCTTTGAGGATGTGGTGTCCCAGCTCGATGGTCTGCTGTCGGTTTAGTTTTCCCTCTTGGCGGGAAAACCAGAAGGCAAGTAACGTGTGACCGCTCCTGCAAAGAAAAAGCAGCTCAGTTCAGCCATGTGACTCGCTCCATCCTGCACTGGAGAGCGGCTCCTCCAGCGTGGCTCCGTGCCACCCGGGCTCCCGGTCAGGCTGGTCTTGCACAGCATTTACCATGCCGCACGTGCTTGCCCTTCTCCTACGCCAAGGGCACCCCTTGTTACCAGACCCCCTATATGCTTCTGGCTACAGGGCAAGCGGGGAGCAAGGGGAGGCTCCTAGCTCTTCCAGTCCTTTACTCAAATCACATGTGTGAATATCGCAAAATGTCATTTCGAGTTGGCTTACACCCAGCCCACGCACAGATGGCAGGCAAGCATCTTCGGATTTATTTTCTGCCTCCGTCAGCTCCTCTCATCTCACCTCTGTCCTAAGTGGCGGTGTTCCTCTGGAGCTGTTTGGTCCTAGTCTGTTCTCTCTGGGACAGCTGTCCTCAGGGACCTCTTCACCACCCAAGTCCTCTAGCATAGAGACTTCTTGGCCTTATCAACAAGATTTCTCCTCTGGGAGGTCCCACAGTCAGTAACTCAAACTCAAAATGTCCCCAGGGGATTAACCGCCTCTTCCCCCAGGGAGTCTTTCCTGATGAGCCTCTAGGATCCCCTGGCTCCCACCTCACAGCTGTTTTAGGCTATACCTGGTCTTGTACAGCATTCCCCATACCATTACATGCTTGCCCTTCTACTACACCAAGGACATCCCTTAACAGACCCCCAGGATGCTCATGAAAGAGACCTCCTTTTTTCCTGCCTCTGTGTGGTGCCTCTGTGTGGTGCGTGGAGCTCCTGTAGGCATGTGGTGAGGTGGCACGAAGACAGCCCAGGGTGGGCTGCGCCAAGAGCGCTGAGGAAAAGCAGCCTGAATCCTAAGTCTACAGTAGCAGGGGCTGCCCTCATTTTGGCTTCTTGCCACATGAAGCACATCTATTTTTTTGGTTGTTGTTTAATCCATTCGAGTTGGGGTTTTCTCTTCTTCGGGCCCAAAGCATCCTAATGATATGCTCCCTGAAATGTGAGTGTATGTGTGAAAGTGTGTGCATGTGTGTAAGACCCGTGCATATAAAGGGTTGTATTTCTATTTACATGTACGACAAAAAATCTGAGTTATTTAATCAATATATTTGGCATAGTGTATTACATATAAAAATTCTCAATAAAATTCTTCAGAAGAGAACTGGGCACTGAAGAAAGGTCTCCACGTCAGCCTGGGGTTTGCCTTCCACCACACCTGCGCCAGCCTGAGGGAACTATGGACACCTAGAACCATCTCTCTGCTCCCTCAGCAGGTTCTTTGCATCACTGGTAATACAACTCCTCTATTCATTTCACTTGGGGTATCATCGAAGAGGGAAATGAAACATTATCTGTTTCAAGTCTGATGAATTACTCAGAGGGAGAACAGCAAGTGAACTTTTTTTCTTTAAAGATTTATTTATTTATACAAGAACCAGGGTACAGGCCAGATGTGTGGGAGGGTGAGAGGATTCACCAGAGATAGAGTGGGGAACAGAACAGGCAGACTGACGAAATACACTGCTGAGGGGAGCAGCGGGTGAGACAGGAGAGGTCTGCTCGCCATGTGGGTATCTCCATGGCTGGCGGGGATCGAACTGGCACTGCAAAGGCTGTGACAGCTTCACAGCACTGTGCTCAACCACCTGCGGCACCAGGGAGGCCCAGCAAGTGAACTTTTGTGGGCAACACTTCCTTGGAAGGAGACCCCAAATGCCTACCGGATGATTTTCTCTCCCATTCAAGACCGGCCACTCTGCCAGTCTTGGTATTTGAAGATGCCTCACTCTAAAGTCTGAAAAGAAACTGCAGTCCTTCTTGCTTCTTCTTTCTGAAGCTGGAGTAAAGAACTCAGAGAACGGGCTGGGCTCCCATTTGACATGAGAATCATCCCTGAGAGGTGCAATTCGATGAGACTTAAAAACCAAACTCTACCACATTCTAATCTTTGACTTCACAGAATTTTTGAATTCTAGTAGATATCAGCTCACCTAATGTGACTGCGTAAGATTAACCACAGTGGGAAGGAAGTTATGTAAGTGAAGGAAAATGTTTCATATGATAATTCTTGTAGCCTGCACAGAACCATCAGCATCTTTTGAGGCCCAGCAGCAGTTCACATGCACAAAACCTAGAAATTGCTACTGAACTGTTATGTATCCCTTGAAAGTCCAGTTAGTTGGAAGGCTATTTTAACAGAGTATAGGTAAGTTAGAAGATAGTAAGAAACATGTATAAAGTGCCTTATATCAAAACCTCAAAATCCTATCCAGTTATTAACAATGAAATTCTAGCCTCCTTGGTTTAAGGACAACTGCTCTTAGTGACCCAGCCATGCTGTGTATAGTGACTGCAGCTACTGAATCAGGCTTCTCATCCACCGATTTGGATCATTAATGAGAATCCACGCCTATCAGGACTAAGGCAAAAACTCACGTCTGAAAAGGAAATGCATTTTAAGTTAGAACAGTTAGACTTTTACCCTCGTGCTTTCATTTTACTACCATTACCAAGAAATCCTGGTAAGACCTTCGCAACCTCCAGCATGCATTTCAGCTCGCCCTGGGTGGCAGTGCCCGCTGGGAGATCAGCACTGAGGAACAGTAGCAAGTGATACAGGGCAAGGAGAGGAGGAGGTGGCAACCACAGTTCATGTCTTTTGGGGCACAATCATATTGCATTATTCATAAAGGAATGGTCCTGATCAGTCATCAGACTCAAAGCTCAGGATGTTTAAGACACAAAGGTTAATAGCAATTTACAGAGTGCTGGCATTTCCATTTATACCTTTGCCTTCCAATAAAATATGGCACCAACCTGCAGTCTGAAAATGTCCCACTGTACTTGTCTATATTTATTACTGTTTTTCTTTTATCTGCTCACACCTGAACTGCATCCCTTTGGCATGACCATTCTCTAAGATCACCAGTAGCCTCTTCATTGGCTCTCTTGCCACCTTTGATATTTTTTATTTTTTTATGTTCTCCCTCCAGCATTAGGCCCTACTGAGACTCTCTTTTCTTGACATCAGCTTGTTACTTTTTCTTCCATTTCCTTCAAGGATGTAACTTCTTTGCTTTATTTCTCATTTCTTCTTCTCCCCTAGCTCACCCTCATTTAATCCCCTGGCTTCATCACTACCTCCACGTGGCTGGAAAGCATGAGGCCTCTCTAGTGTGGAGATGTTAGAGGGGCTCATTTTGCTTCTCTGTCTGCTGGGTCCCTCTGCCTTCAAACAATACTTTAAATGGCCTGTCAAATGACAAAGTCAAAGCTTTCTGTCAAAACAAAGTCCCGTTAAGATCTCATTTACACAGTCATAAATCTTGGCAGTTGTTTTTCTCTCTTTACACTTTCTCTCCTTGATGATCACAAAAGCCTTATTTTCTCCACCATCTTCCCCCTAGCCCATGGCAAAAAAAACTACACGGCAAAAAAACTACACTGCAAAAACTCGGCCAAAATACTGCTCAAAATTTATCAATGGCTTTATATTTCCTTCTACTCATAATCTAAACTCCTCAGCATGGGATTCAAAGACTCCCCATAATTTGTCCCTTGTCTATTTGGCTCTCTTCACCTCCTTGCACTTTAATTCCAGACACACTAAATTATTTTAGGTTTCCAACATGCTTTCCCTTTGCCTGGAATTCCCTTCCCTGATTTCTGAGTCTTGGTCCACACCATCTCTTTGTGAAACCTTCCCTGGTCCCCCAGACAAACCCAGGGGTTCTGTCCCTGAGGGTCCTGTACACACCTCCTCATGGCACTCACGGTGGCACCTCTGTCTCCTGCTTGCTGGTCTTCCCACTAGACACTTTGTGGATGGAAATCATATTCTTTCCACATATATAATTGCAGGCCACAGGAGCACATGTTTGCAGAATGAGTGAGTGATATAATCTTATGTTTGTACTGTACATTATAGTTTTCAAAATACTTTGAATACTTTCTTAGATTCCCACGAACACTTATGCTGCAGGTACAGGAGTTAATACCTGTCATAACATGATGGTGGGAGACTGACGGAAACGCAGTGAGGTAGAAGGACAGACCCCAGCCTGCAGGGCGAGGACAGGAAAGAGCTGACATGAAAACGCAGGGGCTGCAGAAACCTAGTTTTGCCATCACAATGAGATTAGGAATGCAGCTCTCATTTCTGGGCACATTTGTGTGAAAAAGTCAACGAACATAAAGAACGAGATGCCCCTTTATATGGCACAAACTCTGAACACTTGACATAATTAAAACCAACAGCTGTTAACTTGGACATTTTCCGATCGGCACTTCGGGAGAGCAGTTGAGAAAGAGTGTGGCCCCGCCAGCATGCCACAACTGCAGGCAGGCTCGAGACACCTGTTTCCTCACCCTGGAAGATGCGGGTCAGCCAGATTAACTGTAATGTGGGTTCACAAGTGGTTGTGAAGACCAATGGGAGGCAGTAGGGAGGGCAGAAGAATGATTTCCTCACGGCTTACACAAGGAGATCGCCCTGGGGTTCAAAGTCACCTCACAGATTTCCCCCCCTGCGTTCACAGTGTTGCCTCTTCCTCTCTGAAACAAAATCCAACACATTTTTATTCAAATCCTGGCTCTGTCACTTGCAGGCTCTGCAACCTTGGATAAGCTATCCAGGCACCAAGACAGAGCTGCTAATGGCGATCTGTCAGGGCTGTGGCCAGAGCCAAGGGAGATGCACTCAGTATGGGCCCTTAGTATTTCTCTGTGGTCTCCATAGCGACTAACATGGTACTACACTACAGGAGTGAACAGTTACCATACGTGCCTTTAAACATATGGGTAGAGGACCATGTGCTCAAATGGAAGTCTAATCTTGCGGGGAGAAGAGCACTACCCTGCTTTAACCCAAGCCTGACCCCTCCATACCTTGCCCACTACCCTCACAGTTAAAAGGAAACCCATGGGTCCGGGGAGTGGTTGTGTGTGGTGCCATCCACTGCTGTCAATGCACAAAATC